TTGACCAATTCACCAGCGACCTTCCAGAGCATGATGAACGAGATCTTTGCGGATATGGAAAACTGTGTCATCATTTACATTGACGATTTATTAATATTTACAAAGTCGGACGATGAGGCTGAGCATGACAGGATCGTGCAAGAAGTCCTTCGACGCTTACAGGAACGGGACCTATTCGTTAAACCCGAAAAATGTAATTTTAAAGTGAAGGAAGTAGACTTCCTCGGTATGATCATAGGCCAGAACGGAATCAGGATGAACCCTGAGAAAGTTCAAGCTATTTTGGAATGGCCAGAACCTACTCGCGTCAAAGGAGTTAGGGCCTTCCTAGGCTTAGGTAATTTCTACCGAAGGTTTATTGAAGACTTCGCAAAAATCACGAGACCGTTGAACGATCTCACCAAAAAGGACCTTGTTTGGCATTGGGGCGCCAAAGAACAGGAAGCTTTTGATAAGCTTAAACAGGCATTTACAACAGCGCCCATATTGGCATTCCCTGAATTAGACAAAGAGTTCCGGCTAGAAACCGACTCTTCTGACTTCGCCACTGGGGCTGTTCTATCAATCAAAAGCCCTGATGATCTTTGGAGGCCTTGTGCCTATTTATCGCATAGTTTGTCGCCTACAGAGCGCAACTATCAAATATACGACAAAGAGATGCTGGCTATCATTAGAGCTTTAGAGCACTGGCAGCACTACTTAGAGTACTTCATGACAGCCCGAGACCTGAACCGGAGACAAGCCCGCTACGCGGTGTACTTGTCAAGGTTCAATTATAAATTAATTCATAAGCCAGGAAGCTCAATGGGGAAAGCGGATGCTTTATCTAGAAGAGAGGATCATGCCAACGGCATTGAAGATGACAACAAAGGTGTCACCCTGATAGATCAATCAAGGGTTGCCAATGTTAGAATCGGGCAAGATTCCGCTCTCCTGGAAGTCTTCAGGAAAGACATCTCCCCAGAGGAAAAGGCGCGCCTTGACGGCAATGAAAACTATTTATGGAAAGACGGGCTCTTTCATTTCAAAAACAAAATCTATGTGCCTGAGTCCGCAAGGATCAAGGCAATAGATAGACATCATAACACTCCAGTGGCTGGGCACCCTGGATGGCAACGAACAATGGAGTTGATCTCCAGAAACTACATGTGGCCGGGCATGGTCAAAGACATACAGGAATACGTAAAATCCTGTCTGAGATGCGCCATGGCCAAGAATTCCCATCAACAGCCGGCGGGTAAACTCATGCCGAACCCGATACCAGCTGGCCCCTGGCAGGATATATCGGTGGACTTCACGACGGATCTGCCCGAGTCAAACGGGTACGATTCAGTAATGGTGGTAGTAGACCGCTTCTCCAAAGAAGTGGTATTCATACCCACCAAAAAAACCATCACCGCCGCCGGTACGGCAGACCTATTTAAGGATTTCGTATGGTCAATCCATGGGTTACCAGAAACGGTAATCTCCGATAGAGGACCGCAATTCGCTAGCGAATTTACGAAAGAATTATGCCGGATGCTGGGCATCAAACCTAAATTATCCACGGTGTTCCATCCGCAAACCGATGGACAAACGGAGAGACTCAACCAGGAGTTGAAACAGTATCTCCGGATATTTATTAATGACAGACAGACAGATTGGGCCAAGTGGCTAAAGATAGCCCAGTTCTCTTATAATATTAAACAGTCGTCGGCTACAGGAAAGGCACCATTCGAGGTTACTAGATCATACCTCCCCAGAATGGGTGTAGAACCTGGCAAAAGCAAAAACAAGGCTGCTGGGAACATGGCAAAAGACATGAAGTCTGTCTTGGACGAAACGCGCAAAGCGCTATTTAAAACTGCGGAGCAGATGAAAGACAGGGCAGAGCGTAGACGCTCTAAAGCCCCTGATTACAAGGTCGGCGACCTGGTCTGGTTAGACACCGACCACTTGAAATTAAAAGACCGGCAGTCTAGAAAACTGACCGAAAAGTGGATTGGCCCTTACCGGATTAAGGAAGTCAAACCTAATGCGGTGGCGCTGGAACTCCCAAAACGAATGAGGGTGGTACCCACGGTTAACATTAGCCGTGTGAAACCCTACAAAGGACCGCTGCCGGGACAGCGCGTAGACCGGCCCGGTCCAGTAGTAGTCACCCAGGAAGGTGAAGAAGAGTTCGAAGTCGAACGGGTGGTAGATGCACGCTTGAAGCGTGGAAAATTAGAGTTCCTGGTCCTATGGAAGGGCTATGGAGACGAGGACAGAACGTGGGAACCAGAATCCCATCTGGAAAACTCCCGCAACGCTGTTCGCGAATTTTATTCTAGGAATCCCTCAGCTCCCAGGAAGCTTAGAGGCATAGATCCAAACCTTTTTAATTCCCTCTTTCAACCTATGCCCGAAAATTTTACCACTACCTCCGGAATTTGGTCTCGCCTGGAAGTCGAGCCTTAGAAGGGGGGTAGTGTTACGATAACACAATTTCCGGACATCTCCTTTCCTTTTTATTCTCCGCTTTAACTTTATACTTTAAGTGCCACGCGGCATTTCCCTTTCTTGCGCCGCGTTGCCTTTCTTTTACTTTTAGACTTAACTCTCTCACGCAGTGGAGCTGGCCATACGGGCTAGACCCTATGACATCATCAGCCACTGCCTTCATCAACTGTATAGTACACATGTACAAACAAACCTGTAGTAGTATATATACCCCAATAGATCCAGGAGACTCCTCAGCGAGTCCTCCTGTTGTATACCAACTAACTCACTGCAGCCCAAGGGGTACCCACTCCCCATCTTCCACTACCTTTATAGTGTGTTCCTGTGTGTGCCAGAGTAACTAACTCTTGGTTGTTACAGTATTTGTCCACAGTTGTGACCTTCTAGAAGAGGCAGAAATAATGTGTTGCCTTGACCCTCTTGAAACAACAGGTGTTGTTTGGAAGAAGTCCCAGAGGACGCTATACATAGAGTAGCATTATAATTATCCCTTGCTCAAACAACAGCAGTAATTGTATTACAGAGATATGTTTTTCCCCTACCTTCAGCACTGTGAATAAAGAAAGTTGTTCCCCAATTATAGTAAATTGACTGTATGATGATATCAAAAGCATTCCACTTGCCTGAGTTGCTCTACATTATCTTTCACCTCTAAAGTAAGATTAAATCTGTCATAATTTTGCTGTTCATGGAGAAGATTGTTTGCAATAGTATAGTAGGCTCTTGTTGTTGCTGAGGAAAAAGCATTGAAGTATAAAGTTTAAAAAGCACTTATTGGATTGAGTAAATATGGATTCCAGAAAGAAAAGCTGATAGCTGTAAATCTGGTCTTCTGAAAGTTGTGAAATTCCTCTTTGAGTAATAATAATACAGTTAAGTGATCAAATTTTTGCCAAGTCAGAAGGCAGTGAGCTTGTGCTGTCTGTAAAGTATTGCTAAGTCCTATATGCATGTTTGACTTGTCGCTCAGTTGTTGAGTGTTTTTATAACCATGAGAGTTTTCAATGTGGCTATAATTTTCACTGCTACTGCACTATGCTGCTCCTGTGTTGCCACAAAAACCCTGCAAGCGGACCTAAGCAAAATAACTGGTGCAATGTTACTTGCACGCAATATTTGGGACCACCATCCTAAAGTATGCTATTTACATCTACACCACAGTATAATAACTTACTTCTACATTTCAGATATTTTTTGTTACAGGATCACAGTAAGGTTATGATAGCACAGAAGTTTACCGTAAAGGGATAATTTATTTTCATATATAGGACATTGTTCTGGAACATTCCTTTGATGTATTGATGAGGAGGCTTACAATGAGGTCTGAAAGAGGCTCCCACAGAGTCTGTCAAAGAGTATACAAGCATACAGATACTACAAAAGAGGCTTTCAGGGAGTGCACAAAGAGTGTCAATGTTTTTGAAATTATAGTATTGAATGTAGATTAAACCTCTGAAGAGGCTCTCAATAGTGATTGTGGCTATATGCCAAGTATAGTAATTCAATTGTAATTCAATTGCTACTGGGGGCTACCTACAGAGGCTAGAGGGATGGTGGGTCTCTGAGACCTATTTATGACAATATAAAAACCCCATCTGAAAGACCCTGAGAGCCTCCTCAAAGTTCTGCTTGAGGTGTGTGTAGTCATGCATCGTCAAGACATCATATTTGAGAAGTTGTGTGCAGTCATCAGAAGTACCAGAATTAACAACCAGTTAAAATATAGTACAAAAAGTCAGAATATTGAGGCATGCATAGTCTCAAATGGTCTATAATAATCGGATTATTGTGAAGTCAGTTTCTTGTTGAATTCCACTTTGAAAACTCAGAAACATTGTAGTCCTTATTAGTCTAGAGTAGTCACATCATAGTGTGAGTCAGCTCCTTAGCAAAACTCACCAAGTTCTGTTGTCATATCATAGATATTTCATAGCTTGATTAAGAAAGGTGTTATAAAAAATGGTATATATATATATATTATAAAGTTTGGTTTGGTTTGGTTAGGAGGCATTTTTTTCTGTACCCCAAACCAAACCAAGTATAATTAGCACTGAACCAAATCAAACCAATATGAACCAGATTTGGCTGGTTCAGTTAGAGGTTTAAACAAACCTCTGAACTAATTAAAACTGTGGGAAATTTGGGTAAAATGGTTCAAACTGGTTCTGACATGAGAACCCACTTACACAGCAAGCATAACCGACTTTTGTCACACCCAAAATCAATGAAAATATCTGAAAGTAGGTAAAATGTTTAATTGCATTGAATAGCCAAGTAATCATGAACCATCAATAATAGCACTGCGTATTGAGCAGAATAATACTCTATATTGATTTGCTAGAAGGATAAATTGTAGTGGTGTAAATTGCACTTACACTCCACTACTTATTTACATTAACAACATCTGTCTCCAGTGGATTCTAAAAATAATCCTCTAGTCCTTGATGAAGATCACAGAATTTAATCTCACAATTAACTTGAGATGCAAGTGCTGAATGGAGCCATAAAGCACCATAACCTTAACCAGCTACTGGGGCAGCTTGATTATACATAGAAGCATAGTAATGGTAATAATATATTAGACTTACCAATAGTAGCTGGAATAACTTCAGCAGAGAGTTTGCTTTTTTTGAACTTCTTGACATACACATCAAACTAGTTTAAAAGTGAGTAAGAAAAATAGAATACAAAAAGACTACAAACCTTTTTTTTAAGGGCTTTCAAACCATTGAAATGATAGATTTTATCCCAGTGAGCCTGTGTATACTCAAGTTTCACACCAGGATCCAATGCTTATTAAAGCAAATTTAATACAAGATAAAATAGAGATTTAACAACATACCCAAGCATATAAAGTAAATATCAGCCTGGTCAATGGCTATATACCATTTGTGAAGTTTTTTAAGGTCCGCTTTAAATCTAAGCATGACCTATGTAAATTTACTGTCTTGTGCCATTATTTCCTAGTGTTGCTGAAGACACTCAAGTATGGGAAATGCACAAGAGACAATTGGTATATTCTCAGAAGAGAATGAAGCTCGTGCAGACCTTGGCTCAAACAGTACTTTCTTGATGAGTTCAAGTAGAGTCCATTTGTTCTTGGACAAGACAAAGTCCTTGTATTGCTTTTTGTTGAGACATAGAACATGTTCACTAACATCAGCAACAACACAGGACTTATTGACTGCCTGCATAGACTGTTAACCAGTATAGCACTTCAAATCTCAGATATACCACTTTATTAGTTATGACATGCTTAAGAAGATCATACATAGATCCCCAGCAGGTTCTTACCCATTTGATTAGCTCAAGAGGAGCAATACCCTTTTCTTGGCAGACTTTGGCAAAGTATGTTATGGCTTATGGTGAGGCCCTGACCTATTGCACAGTCTTTAGTGATGTAAATCATCTTCAATAGAGACATACTTGGGACATAAGAGCCAATACTTTGCCCAGTAAGCCCCCTGCATCAAACTCTTAATCATTGTCTTGATCATCATTTGGGATGTCATCTTTAAAGGCTGACTCCAACTCAGTTGTCCAGTCCTCATCAAAATCTTCTTCAAAATCTTTATCTGCTGATAATTTAGCCTTGTGATAGTATGATCAGGAGTTGGGCATATAGCCTCTATAAAACTTTTGACAGCCGGATGGGTAGTATGTTCCATACACCTTTTTGGTTGCTATCAAGTTTGGTATACTAATACATTAAATGAGACTTACCTTGTTTAATATTGATGGGCAATCCACTGTTGGCCATTTGGCTTATCCAACACATACTGAAGTGTGCAAACAGTTTTATCATTAACAGTGGCATTATCTGATGTGGTCCAGCCAATCTGCCAAGCAGCTGAGCAAGGGGTAACATTGCCTAAAAATGTACCTACCTTGTCACAAGTATTATACCTATCAACAATTCAAAGGATTACTGCAGCTATATTGGCACCACTGTGATCACCTTCTATTTCAGTGTACCCAAGTACCTTTGACTTGAGCTCCCACTCATTTGGCTTCTAAATAGGCCATGCTCATTTGTGTCCATCTGACCCTAGGCAATTAATTTTAGTCTCAACATATCATATTACTCTTTTCCAGTCCTCCAGAGTCCAATCCTTGTGAGCATAGTCAAAATCCAAACAAGCTTTGCAATACCTAGTAGAGAGAAGGGGGTGTTTGGACTTCACCACATCCTTTATACCAGATTTCTTCAAATAAAGGCAAACAGTATTGGATGAAAGGGGCTATTTTATGATGCTGGTAGATCTGTGGTCACTTAAACAGCATTTTCAGCATTTTCAGAGGTAATAAAATGTTGGGCATGTTAAATATTGGTAGGGGAAAGCTTGGAAGGATGACCTTTAATAGCTTTAGGTAGGGTAGAATGCTCTTTGGAGCAAAGTTTGGATATAATAGAAGGGCTAACAACAGTCTGCTTGGCAATGGCTTCACCAGAGTAGCCATCATCAAGTACTAAAAGGATAGAGCTTTTTTGAGTAAAAGAGAGGGATTTGACCACGATGGTGGTTGAGAATCAGAAGTGTGTGAATTTTTTTTAAGCTCATACATACTATTTGTATATATATCTTTGTTTGTAGCAACACAAAATGGCAAATATTCAATGTTTTAACTAAGGTTCTAGTCATCAGTTCAAAAGTGAAAAAACCCTTTTCATGGTGTTTCTGTTTTAAATCAACCATATCTCTATACCATGTGAACCAAATCACATGACCTATAGGGCAATTTTATAGCCAAGAGTATGTACTATTTATGACTCCACCAAAGCTAAGTGCAATTCTCAAGCTATTTGATGGTATGCTTCATGTATGACACCCAGAGTCAACATGGAAAGGGTTTTTGGAGTCACTGTACTTGCTCCATGGAGAGAATTTGTTGTACAAACAAAAGGAGGCTTGCTTAGTTGGCACATTACATATCACCAATATCAGAAGCCTTATACTGATCATGACTGGATTCAGGAAGAGCATATGGGTGTGGTTTTATCTTTGCTTGAGTACACCCAGCTATATACAATGAACTATGTGTGGCCTATTTTCTCTGCCTTAACAATGAGCTGAGTAGAACATACCTGGAAATATGCTTTCTCAAACTAGAAACACCACCTGTGAACCAGCCTGCCTCTTTTTTAATATGTAGTGAGCTAAAGTTGTTAGAGTCATTGTGTTAGTAGTTTTCTAAGCAGAAATGAATACTATGTGTGCCTACTGGCATACTTCACACCAATGGCCAAACTCAGACTTGCCATCTGATGTGCGCATATCTGCTGTGAATAGTATATGCACATCTTCTGTGCGTGGGTCATTGCCACAGCTGGCTCAGGATTTTTTGTTAGGCTGATAGAGATGTAAGTGAAAAACTGGAAACAAAGAAAGCAGGGATAATGTTCTTACTCTTTAGTACTGCAGGCTCTTCCGCATGATTTCATATACAGCTATGTGGCTCTTCATTGTCAGCAACACTATCACTAATATGACCACTATCGGCACAATCAATGGTAGTGACATCAGGAAAAACTCTTTTGCTATGTAGCACTATATAGCCACCACATGTATATATTGATGCTTTCATAGCAACCATTATCACGCTTGGAATGTGCAAGCCTGGTAACACTGGGTTCCAGATGTCTGAGTAGTTTGATAAGCCCATTGAGGTACAGGTTTGAGACATATTCTGATGATGAGACTTTGTTCTGATGAATACCAAGTTTACACTGTTGAAGCATACAATTGTATTAAAGATGGTAGCTACAATACAAGCACATATATATAGATCTTACTGTAGGGTAGGTGTTTGTGTTGAACAAACAGAGACAGGTAACACCGTAACAGGTAATGGTATGTGGGAATGTATAGGTAATTAGTAGTAGGTAGCTACTCAAGAAAAGGAAATAAAGTCCATAAGTAGATTAGTTTGTGACATTACCCCCACTTTAGGTCTAGACTGCTCCAAAGTCTCCTAGTTCTCCGTCTACATTGTACTGTGCATCTTTGTCAAGGTCATTATGTTCCTCATCCAATCCCCAATTATCTGCAACAAAGGCTAAATTGCATTGCTGGTTACACTCAGTGGCTCAGTGTTCATGTGCATCTAAACCGCATATAAAGCAGGTATGGTATTGTCAATCAATGGCCCTGTGGTCATATTCTTGACAGGCATAATAGCGTTGGATACAAGGGCGGCAGTGTTGTTCAGAAGAAGATTGAGAATGTGTTTGATTAGAGTAGTCAGAGATGGGTGAGGGTCTTTTGCTCCCATGGTGAGAGGTTTGGCTAGTACCTTCGTTGATCTGCAATGGTCTTCCATCCTGAGGAGAGTCATTGCTTGAGGTTGGCATTGACCTCTTGTTTGACTCTGGAGAGTGATTTGTGTGAGCAAGTGTGTAACCCAAAGGGATAGGGAGTACCGGCTCTGGGCGCTGACAGCATAATTGGTGATTGCAACGAGGCGTAGGGAGTGAGGAGGGGTGTTGTTGGACGCATAGGAATCAAGGTCTCTTGAGATTCTTCTAATGTGTTGGCTTTGGGGATTATTGAGTTGGTTGCGCAGGAAGCTGCTGGGGATGATGGAACGGGTGCGGGTAGAGTGAGATCTTGCGTTGATGGAAGAACTACTGGTTGTGGCTGAGGTAGTGAGGACGGGGAGTGCTGACCTGGAAAAAAGGTGTCCCATTGTTGTAGCAAGGCTCAGCAAATTAGGGGGAGGGGAGGTGAGGCAAACGTGTTGGGCGAGGATGTTCCTCGCATTGTTGCACACGGTTTAGCCACCTAGGCGTAGGAATGCTTATACCACTTCCCTCTTCCCACTCGAGCAGTTCTTCCTCAAGCATTGTTCCAGGGATTCTATCTGCATTTGTTCCATGAGCAAAGTTGCTCCAATACTCCAGATGGAATTGTTGTCTCGTGTAAGCTCATCAGGAAAAATGGGGGTAGCTATATAGAGCTCTATAGCACTATAAGTACTCATAAAGCTGTTATGGTGGTCAAACCTGCTATAGAACCTCTGCCATCTATAGAGCCTTATATAGCTCTATAAATGCTTTTATAGATGTTGGAAATTGTTGTGTGGCTGATAAAAAAAATTAACACAAATAGGACTTGAACTCTCAACCTGCTAGTCAGCTTTTGGTTGACTAAGCAACCTATAGCCACACATCACACATTTATCCACTACACCATAAAAGCTTATAAAATGTATTATAAAGGTGTTATATATTGACCTGTCATGGACTTTGGTTATTTTTTTACTCATTGTCACAATTTATATTTGGATAAATCATTATTCTTATTTTTATAAATATCAAAGATACAAACTACTATTTCACTAATACAGGCTACATAATTGATTAATACTGTGTGATTTATTAGCCCTTTTAAGCACCTTGAACTATATTATAACTATGACCTTTACAGCTATAGGAGCTATGTAGGTTGCTATAGGCTATAAGAGCACTTATAGTACCTTGCCTATAATAATATACTTGACTCTAAACACTTCTGGCCTCTTTTTATTGAACAAGTTTATTAGAATAATCCAGAGTTTGAGGGAATTATAGATACTTCTCCCCTGATTAAAATTTTGCCTACTACTGTGCTATAAGAGCTATAAGAGCTATGATTGCACCAATAGTACTATAGTTTCTATGAATGCATTTATATATATAGGTGGTAGCTATATAGCGCTATATAGCAAAAGGGTTTTTCCTGATGTTTTTCTACCAACCCAGTGAGACGGTGATTGCATGCAGTTCATCAGCAACAAAAAGTGAGTTTTTCCAGTGATGAAATGTTAGACTGGTAAAAGAGATAAACATAGGCACGCCTATCTGACATCAGCTCAGTGGTGTCAACAATATTGGTTTGTTCTCAAGTGAGCGCAATGCAGTGAACCCATTGCTCTTTGGTGAGTACTTGTGGTTTGGCGGGGTAGGGGGGAAATAAGGGGAATAGTTTGTTGGTCAATGGGAGTGGTCTGCAACATGGTTGTAGAAATGTATTAGGATAGGATCCTGTTCATACTTTTTGCAATTTGTGTCGCCTTTTACATTTGTTCAGTATCTTAGATGCATTTTGGAGGTTTGCTTCTTCTTCCCATGAGTTTTTGGCCGATGGGTAGTCCTTCCTTTGACTAAACATAGGTATCCTCTTCTGTTCTTTTTATTATGTAGAATAACTTCTGCTTTATATTCTTCTTAGTCATTGATTTTCTCCACCCGAGGTCTTATATACTTTTTTCTGTGGACTTCTGTTTCTTTGTATTGGGTTAGAAGGGTGGCATGAAATACCGGATAGATTTTCCACGAGTCTGAAAGTTTTAGGCGGTAATTAACCGGGGATACCTTTTTGAGGATGATAAACAGTCCTTCATGTTTTCAATTGAACATTTGGTACGGCGTTCCCTTCCTTTTTAAGTTAGTCACTTCTAACTAAACCTTTTGTCCTGCTGTAAATGTGGGCAGTGGATGCTGCAAGTATTTTTGCATGCAAGTTCTCGCTAATTCGAGAGATTGCAAGGCTATGGTTCTTGCTTTGAGTAGGTGGCATAGTCTTTTGTTTACTGCTGGTATGTTGGTTGTTATTGGCATTGTGGGGAGATCCCTGGGATGGTATCCCATCATGAGGTAACATAGTGACCCGTTTTGTGCCAAGTGTGGTCGGTGATTATGGCAGAATTCTGCTGTGGTGAGAAATTCTGTTCATGTGTGGGGTAAATTGTTGCAAAAGATTTGTAAGTACATTTCTAATTCTTGGTTTACCCTTTCGGTTTCCCCATCGGTTTGAGGGTGATACATAGTTGAGAGGCTACTTTTGGTTTTTAGTAATCTAGCTAGTTCTTTGGTGACCTCTGATGTAAATTACGGCCCTCTATTGGATATGAATTTGTCATGTAATATAGTATTACCCCCTTTGTAAGGCCATGGTCCAGCACAACCATAAGCGTGTCGTATCTGTTGCTTTCTGGTAGATCGGTGATGAAGTCAACAGATAGGTTTTTGAATGGTTCAGTATCTCTACCGTGTGGGCACTGCCCATGATGTAGTGTTTCCATTCTTCCAGTCCTCCAATCACAGCAAGGAGTTCTTCATGGTAGATCTGATAGTTCTTTTCAGCTGGAGATAGGGTTTTGGAGAAGAATGCATATGGGTGCCATACTCTGTTGTCATAGGGTTGGTTTAATACTGCCCCAGTGGCGTGTTTGGATGCATCAGCCACAATCTGAGATGGTTTGTTTGGGTCCGGGATTTGGGTAACCGGAAATTTGTTGAATCATCATTTTAGCAACATGAATTCCTCATTTTCAAATATTGTCCAGTTCCAAATCTTTCCCTTCTCTAGCATGGCATTCAGTGGTTTTGCAAGTTCTGAGTAATGGCCAATTAATTTTTGATAGAAGTTCCTGAATCCTAGGAATTTCCTAACTTTGTGAATGTTGGTGGGGGTAGGCCAATTTTAGATTCTGGCTAATTTTACGCAGCAGTCTCTGTAGAACTCCCTTTGTCCACGCGATGTGTTATTTGGATTCTTTATTAAATATTAGCATGTCATCCATATATATGATGAGCCATCCTTCGTCAATCATATCACCAAATAAGTTGTTCATCATGTGTCGGAAGGTGATGGGCAAGTTGCACATTCTAAAGAATATCACCATTGGTTCAAAAATTCCTTTTTGGGTTTTGAATGCTGCTTTCAATTTGTTTCCTTCTTTTATTCTTACATTGTTGTATCCCCATTGCAGATCCAGTTTTGTGAAGTGTGCCGCTCCTTGGAGTTTGTCTACAAGATCTGGGATCATTGCAAGTAGGTATGGATCTCTGACTGTTTGCTTATTAACTTGTCGGTAGTCTTGACATGGTCTCAGTGAACCATCCTTTTTGTCTATGTAGAAGAAGGGGGAAGCCATGGGAGATTTGCTTGGCCTGATGTGTCCTTTCTGTAGTTTGTCATTTTAATTTTTTTCTAGTGCTGTGTCTTCTTTTGGTAACAGGAGGTAGATTTTGCAATCCTTTGGTTTGAATTCAGGTTTTAGGTTTATAGTGTGGTTGTAGATCCTTCTTTTGGGTAGTTGTTCTGATTCCTTTTTGTTAAATACTTGTGCAAATTGTTGGTATGTTTCCAGTAGTTCTGTTATCTTTTTCCCAACATTGTTTTGTATGGCTAAATCCATTGCGATATTGGTTTTTGCAAAGATCCTTGCTTTGTGTACATAATTGATCAACAGTTTTGGTTGTTTGGTTGTGGTGGTGTAGATTATGGAGCAATCTGAGTGCAATTGAATGGTATGGATAGCGTGTTTGGTGTCCATATTTTTTGAAATTCAATCAATTGTGGGATTGACTTTGTGTGGAGACATGGTTATCCGAGGAGGATGCCTTCTCCTCCCAATCCAGTGATGAGGAATTTGCACATGGCATTTCTTCCTCCGGCTTTGATTTATTGATAGGTGTAGTGGGTGATCTTCCCTCCGCTACTGATGGTTCTGTCTATGTTTTTGCATGTGATGGGTGTATGGAGTTTGTTGAGTGGTAGGTGATGTTTGATTGCAAAGTTCATATCCATGAAGTCGTCTGTGGCTTGAGAGTCTATTAATGTTTTTGTTTCAATGGTTTTTTGTTGTAATGTGGTATCAATTTGTAAGGAGTTTAATTTAATAGTGGCTATGGTTACAATGGCTATTCTGGATGGTACCAACATTGGTGTGGGTCATCCTTTAAAAAACCCTTTTTTTCCAATTTGTCAATAGTGCTGGCCCAATCAGCTTCATCCAGTTCTCTCCACATTTTGAGGATGTGAGAGATTCCTTTCCATCCTCTATCACTGTATTGGTTTCATCTTTTTCTACAACTTCTGCCATTCTGATCCTTTGGTCCGGTTGTTTGCCTTTCTTCTTTTCCGGACATAATTGTGAGATATGTCCTTGTTCTTTGCATATGAAACATTGCCCTTCTCTTTTGAGCAAATCTTCTTTGTCTTTAGTAACCAACTATTTTGCCAAGGACAATTGACTCCCTCCTCCTTTCTCTTCCCGTTTCTTGTCACCTTTTTTTCCCCATTTTCCTTTGCTGATGCTGATTGAGTTTGTCCAATTGACATCTAGACCAGTGACAATGCCCATCCATCCAGCAATGTTTTTGGGTTGGGTGGAAAATTTACGTACATTTCTGAGGAGGTATGGGTGTATGGAATTTTTGTATACCATGATGTTGTTTACATCAAAATATACTTTTGCTGATAGCATCCATTCATTGGCTTGGTTGGGCATTCCATCAAAGTCATCTATTTGTCCAAACTTGGTGGGTTTGGGTGTTGCGGCGTTAGACATGGTATGTGGGTGGAACTGGTGGTGGGTTGGATGGTGTGGGGAGTATATGTGGTGTAGGGAGTGGTATTGGTTGACCTTCTGCTGTGTAAAGTTATCTTTGTTGTAAATATCTTCTTGCGGGTTATGTTGGGTTTCTAGTATTAGCTGTGGATGACTTTGTCCGTAAAGTGTTATCCAATGTGTTCTTGCTACATAGAATTCCTCTGCCTGTTCCCTGGTGTGAAGTTGAGTGAAGTTGAGTGACATTGGGTTGGGGAAAGAGAGATGGTGCTGCAACTCTTCCTTGTCTGGATGATACAGGTGGTGTAGCTGTCTGTGTTGGTTCTGCTCTGGTCTGTGCCCTAGTGGTGGGTCTTCTTCCTTGCAACATCTTGTTGCCTTGTTTGTCCCTTCACTAAAAAGTGTGGGATGTGGATATGGAATACGATTGTTTTTTTATGCTTGGAATGTGAAAGCCTGGTAACACTGGGTTTTGGATATCTGAGTAGTTTGATAAGCCCATTGAGGTATGGGCTTGAAACATATTCTGATGATGAGATTTTGTTCTGATGAATACTAAGTTTACACTGTTGAAGCATACAATTGTATTAAAGATGGTAGCTACAATACAAGCACATATATATAGATCTTACTGTAGGGTAGGTGTTTGTGTTGAACAAACAGAAACGGGTAACACCGTGACAGGTAATGGTATGTGGGAATATATAGGTAAGTAGTAGTAGGTAGCTACTCAAGAAAGGAAATAAAGATAAAGTCCATAGATAGAACAGTGCATAACAACCATAGCCCTATCAATGCAATTATAGCCTTTATAGCACAAGATTTAGCCAAAACAAAGCAATAATATTTGATAAGCGTATTTACCACTAAAATTGTTGAGATAGAATTTTGTACAAACATCCAAAACATTATTGTGAGTCCAATTAAGTGGACAAGTATCTATGTTTCCCCCAAAGACTGGAATCAAATGATACACTTGTCTAATTACAGAAAGGGGTATAATATCACCAGACAGGTAGCCAGAAGCATTAGGCCCAGGTTTGGTGACAGAGTATATCATATGATTGCCTTCAGCTGTTGGCCTTAGACAATTAAACCGTTCAACATAAGCCAAATGATCTTTGGGCCAGTTAGAAGGGGCACTATGTGTGCCATATAAAGTTGTAGGTAACTTGAAGACTACTCTAAGAAGTCTAATTCTTGTGTCTGGTACAAATTTTCAGCAGATAGTAGATAGAGCTTTATATTATAGAATTTACCTGTCAAACCTGTTAATTCACAGTCATTGGAGTTCATTACTACAATAGTATCAAACCTAGGAGGCTGTCCACCAATCCATCTGGTCATCAAACAAGTCCACATCATTTCTAAGGATCTCAAGGGAGAATTTGAATGAGTGGAAAACATCAAGGTTTTGAAATAGAAGAGGATAAGATCTTATTTGTGCTCCGCAATGGGGTTGCCGTAATTTTGAGTCAAGATAGGTTTTAAGTACATCCTCAAATCCGGGGTAGGAGTGTGACAACACCAACAAGACACAGTCTTGGGGCACTGGAGCACAATGAAAACAACACTCAAAAGAAGAGAAAGAGGTGAGAGTGGTTACCCATTAGGATTCAACAAATTAGTTGTTGGTAGACAACAGGAGGACTTGCTGAGTCCCTCCCCATGTATTGCTCATGTATATATACTAAAATACATGAGGTACTGTACAGTTGTAAATAAAGTTTAAAGTCCAATACCTAGCATATGACTGGTCACATGCTAAGTCTAGACACTGGTCAGGTGCTGTGTCACATGACTTGGTCATGTGACTATGAAAAGTCGAAAATGTAAAGTAAAATAAATGGTCACATGATTGGTCATGTGACTTGGAAAAATAAAAGTAAAAGTACGAAAAAGTAAGTGTAAGTAGGTACTGGTATGTCAATTGTAACAAGGAGTGCTTCTCCATAATAGATATAAGTGATTGTTGGGATTTGCTTGGATTATTTGCAATAATGATATGATAATCCTAAGACTTTGCACAAAGGAAAACATCTTCATTGTCCTTTTCCATGCTTATTTTAAGATAACTCTCAAAAGCAAATATTTTTTCCCTACACAACAGCCAGGTGATCATTTGAGGAGCTTCATTCCTCTTATTGGAGGCCCTCCATCCATCTTTAGCAAAGTCTATATGAAATCTTTCAAAACATCTCTGTAGTTGGTGGTGGTGCCAAACTATGTGATAAAATCCTGGTAGTATAAGAGGGAATGAAATTTAGGTATGTTAAAATGGTCCCTGACTCCCAGAAAATAAGGATATCTTTGTGTTGGTGAAAAATATTGAGAGATTTGGCAAGGTAGCCCAAGGTGGTATCATCATGCATTGGGTATTGGGCTATCTGAATAAAATCTAAAAGTGATTGATAGGTGATGATAGCATGACATGGAAGTTTGCCAATAAGACATCCCAATAGTATTTTTGCCATATCTTTGTGTTCCTTCCCCCCTATTTGACCAAGAGCAGAAAAGCCATTCTTGAAACAACAGACACCAGAGTAGGGAGGAAGTGCTCTAATGTGTGCATCAAGTTCCTTAGAATCTAGTATTTGCTGGCACCAGTACACCATGTGCTAAAAAACACCCTGGTATAACTGGCAAAGGACATCAGGAGTGATTGCGATATGGATGTTACAGTGAGGAAATCCAGTCCAAAAAGGCTTGTAGACGGATCCAGATAATAGTTGCTCCTTGCACCTCTCTTGAAACTGATGGAATGAATGTATATGCATATCTTCCTTAGCCTTGTTGATTACTGACTCTGTCCATTGACCAATATGTGGCTCTCCTGCAGTAGAAGCTGAAAGCTCTTCTGGAGGTTGCTTGCATTTGGGGCAGGTACCATATTTTGAGCACATTGTCAGATACTGCTCTCTGTCTACAAGGTTGCAGATATCAACTGTGTATATATGTCAGTATTATGAGGGTCATCAGAGAGATGGCAAGATGCTAGTGCACTTATAAAATTAACAATGTATAGTATACTGTGCATTATATAGCAAGATCTCTGTGCTGCAATTTTATCGAGGATGGTCACTCGCAGAGTCTTGATAGCTAGGGACCTACAATGACAAAAGCTTATCATTGTGATTTGACTGCTTGTAAATGTGGCTGAAAGCGGCAAAACCTGACATCCTCTGGTCCAAATAACCTGCTGAGAAGAATGCTGCCAAGGAATCCAAAATAGACAGGCCTTGATAGAGCATACAATGTATTTCGTGTCAAAACTAGTTAGATCAATTGTGCTGTCAGACTGATATGTATTTTACCATCTTACACATTTTATAATGAGCTAGAATGCTAGAGATATGTTTATAGGACTATCATTGTTTTCCTGATGTTTTTAACCTGTCGCACAGAAATCACACCTGTGGTGCCATTTTGGCAGGTATCAGGAGATGTGACTATGTGACATCCGAATACTCAGTAGCATCCGAAGTGGTGGGGAACGACAGTATATGATAGCCAGGCCGGCCTGGGTACTTAGAGAAAATCCAACATACAATGTATCGAAAAACTTCGAACCTGGGGCAAAGTCAATCGGCCAGGTCACGTGAGCAATCGGTCGACCAAATCAAAAATCGATCCGATCAATTTGGTCACTAAAGCCTGGATATAACAAAGTTGCCAGGAATTCATCCTCATTCATATCGGCAAATATGATAAGTGCGAGCTAGCAGAACAGGTTGGGGACGAGCCTAGCTAAACCTCATTGTTGTCGCTCATGGGAGACCCATAAAATAACAGTCAATTATCATTAATTTGGTCGGCGACGGAGGGCTACGAGTCATGATCTTTCACTTCTACTGGGTGCCATGGCCTACATGTTCCCAAGGCGATAGTGACTCAAAATTGCTAGGCACCGATGTCAAAGTCGTAGTTGTATAAATAATTACGAGACGTACCGAAATGCCTGTGTCAACTGCAGGGGTTCATAGACAACTCGCTTCCGCTGTTCATCGTATCTTACTTCAGTATATCCCTTTACGTGTGGATAAGTCAAGATAGCTACATGTTGGAAGAAATATAGGACTTACACTAAGAGGGAAATCTTTGCGCAAAGGATGGCCCTCGAAACCTACTCATGGGTGAAGTGGAATAATCGCACATGACAGACCGCACAAACCTACCATAATCAGTTAGTATACGACGTCTGTAAGTCAAGATTAGCCCGCTTAGTTTGCTGGAGGACATGTAAACGGCACGAACAGATCTGGGTGTCCAGAGAAGAAGATACCATACATGTCCCATGCCTCCCTTTCGTACCAATCAGCACCTCTGAAGATAGAGACTACGCTCGGTACAGCACTGCCTTCGTCGATATATGTCTTGACCCTGATTCTGCCTGCTAGTTTTATGCTTAAGAGATGGTATACTACCTCAAATCTCTTCTCTTTCTCTGGATAATCCCCACCGCTGATATCAGCCATGACCTTATACTGACACTGAGCATGGTCTCGAAGAAATGTTACGACTTGTAAAACTGCCCGGGGTGCCACATAGAGGGTTAGTTCGTCTTTGGAGACCGAGAACCGTTGGATAAACTTGGGAATGCACTGTATGATGTAAGAGCCATAACTGTGCAACGATCCCTTCGTTATTGCATACTTCTTGACTGTCTCATTCGTGGAAGTCGACTCCATAAATGGGGAAATAGAGGCTGGGGAAGGAATGAGCGAGATGCTGACAACTTATCTGGTGTACCACAGCTACCTTTTAGCGGCGGGCCAGAACAAATACCTCGAATGAAGCGTACAGCCTGTATTCTAGCTGAAAATGCGTTTTCCAAATGGCAAAGCATCTTCACTGTGAAGCTTTCTTACAAGTAAGGACTTGCAAAGGAAGGTGAAAATGGATCCGACAGTCTGTAACGGATGTGACTCAATCACGGGGACCTTCCCGAGCGGAGTCGCAATCTCCGGAAGCAGCCCGAATATAATCAATACCTTGTCTTATGTAAGCACGCAGAGGAGAGTGGACATCGGGCCCTATCCTCGGAGACGACCCGATGTCCTGCAACACATGGGGACCCGAACTACATGACAAAACCGGATAAACCCGGTCTCTGCCAAAGCAGCCATTATTCTCCATGGAGCATAGCCACCACTCCATGGAGTAACCATTGTTCTCCTAGGAGCACAATTGTACTCCTAGGAGTCATTATACTGTAGCGAGTAGCACCTCCAACTATAAGTAGTAGGGGGTTTAGTATAGGAATACCTCAGTCGTTTCTATAGCCTCTCGGGCAGCGGCTGAGTTTCACTTAGTTTTATTAGGTTATGAGCCCTGGTGCACAAAAGCTATGCAGGAAATAATTCTTATTTGAAACGGCAACCTCGGAACCATGACCACAGCACGCAATACATCCGCATGTCCAGTTCTCACTGGACCCAACAATTTTCAGATATGGAAACTCTGGATCATCTCAAAGCTACGTCAGGAAAAAGTTCTCCGGGTTGTTACTGGAGAGGAGCTTAATTGGAATGGACCGCTTGCAACGAATGGTTACAAAAAGACAGCTCCAGGACATAGACACCCTTACCGGAACCCCGGAGTTTTGTGAACCTTGTGCTTTAGGAAAGATGAAGAAATTACCTTTCAAGTCCACTGGAGAAAACCGAGCCAAGCGCCCCCATACAAATTGTGCACACAGATGTTGGAGGACCAATCAAACCAACTTCCAGGGAAGGTTTTCGGTACTGGATTATCATTGTAGATGATTTCTCCAAATTTCCATGGATATATTTCCTAAAACATAAAAGTGAAGCACTGGAACGATACAAGCAATGGAAAGAAGATGTCCAAACATTCTTCCGGACTCATTTGGGAGAAGAAAACTTCACTCCACTATACACAGAATTCCTCCGGAGCGGTGGGGGAGGAGAATATACTGGCAATGCATTCAAAAATCAACTCCGAGGAGATGGTGTCATCCAAGAAACTACAGCTGCAGATACTCCGGAACAAAATGGCATTGCAGAACGCATGAATCAGATATTGGCTACATTAGCAACCACTATGCTGCATGATTCCAAGCTCCCAAAGTCATTTTGGGTAGATGCCATGCAAACAGCTGCATATATCACAGCACGCAGCCCAGCATCAGGACTCCATGGAAAGACCCCATATGAAATACTGTTTAAAAGGAGAGTTGATCCAACTTTGTTTCGCCCTTTCGGATGCCAAGCATATACCTTGGTTCCAAAAGACAAAAGGCAATGGAAGTTTTACTCCAAGGGGCGCAAAGCTATAATGATTGGCTACACACATGGAAAGCAAGCCTACAAACTCCTAGACACTGAAAAACGGACTGTGTTTTCCAGTCGGCATGTCATATTCAATGAATCCGGAAAGGTACAAAAGGATGACACTGCTCCCTAGAACACAGACACTAGCACAGATCAGTGGGAGGGACTCATTCCAGAGAATGCTCACTATCCAGACCAAAAAACATTGGAGGAGGATGATCCTGACCCTCGGATCCGAGATCCAAATGAATTGTAAATGGAACCACATCTCCAAGGAGATGTTCCACAAGCAATGGAACCATATCAGCATGAAGATGTTCCGAGAGCAGTGGGGCAATACCTCCGTGGAGACGTTCCGAGAGCAGTGGGAGCACCTGATCAGCTAAGACACCCTCCACAACAGTCTCTACAACCAAGACCTGAACACTGGCCATCTTCAGAACGGAAAGCCAAAGTAGAGTTACAGTCAGTGGGAGGACAGCCCCTCAACATACAGCCAGCTGATGTGGAAAAAGTCCGAATACAGCTAGACAGCCTGTCCATTGGATCAGCTTCTGGAAGGCATACAACACCTCCAAGGAGTGATTCAACACCTTCAGGAGTGAGTGGGGCAACAAATACACAAATGTGTCTACTCCCTGGAGTACCTGCACAAGTTCCTAAAAGAGCAGTCATGCCTGCTAAAGTCCTAGGAGTACGCAGAAGCAGTTGCCAGACCCGTCCTGCAGACAAATACCGAGATTATCAAAGGACTCTAGATGAGGAACAGTCTTGAAAAGAGCAGCATGACAACTCCATGGAGAAACCTAACACTCCTGAGGTTCATGAAGAAACATCTGATACAGAGGAGACATTCTTTGCTGGAATAGCAAGTACCGGTCCATCTAACACAGACCTTCCAAGGACACTAAAGGAAGCCTTATCACGTCCGGATGGAGAATTATGGAAGTCTGCCTTGGAGGAGGAACTCCTAAGTCTCAATACTAATGCAGTATATGACACTGTTCCACTTCCAAAGGGAGTAAAACCCATCACATCAAAACCTGTGTTTCGGATCAAGTTTGATCAAAACGGAAACATTGAGAGATACAAACTCCGGATTGTTGCATGAGGTTTTACTCAAAGGGAGGGGATTGATTACCAGGAGGTTTTTGCTCCGGTTGCAAACTTAGAGTCAATCTGAATTATTCTAGCCCTGGCAGCAAAAGTACAACCTAGAACTTGATCAAATGGACGTATCCACAGCTTATCTCAATGGAGAACTTGAAGAAGAACTGTACATGCTTCCTCCAGGGGGTGTTCCTGTCCAACCTGGATACTGCTGGAGATTGAAGAAATCCATCTATGGGTTAAAACAAGCTGGTCGTACATGGAACAAAACTTTTGATCGCAAGCTCCAGGAGCTCGGTTTCACAAGACTAAATGCAGAAACATGTCTCTATGTATTCCGGGACAACAAACAAATATGCTTTGTTGTTTTCTATGTAGATGACCTCCTCCTAGGAGCTTCATCCCGGAAATTCATGGATATCACAAAAGCCAAACTTGAATCCATATTCAAAATGCGGGACCTTGGAGAAGCAAAATACATCCTCGGAATAGAAATCCAACGTGATCATTCAAACAAAACAATATCCCTATTGCAACGCCAATACATTGACACAGTCCTGGAGCGTACTGGAATGAAAAACTGCAAACCAGTATGGACACCAATGGCCCATGGATCAAAACTCCTTGCAAATGCTCCAGGGGAAGATATTGTACAACACGAGATGCAAGTGTCATACCTCTCAATTGTAGGCTCCCTCATGTATGCCATGCTCGGAACCCGCCCAGACATTGCCTACGTTGTTGGAATACTAAGCAGGCATAGCTCAGCTCCAAGGAGCCATCACTGGGAAGCTGCAAAATGTGTCCTCCGATATCTGAAAGCAACCAGGGACATGGAACTACAATATGATGGCACAGATGTCTCCATGGACATGGATTTCTATGGATATTCAGATGCAGATTGGTCTGGAGACCCAGACACGTCTTAATCAACATCAGGGTTTGTCTTTATCACCATCCGAGGAGCAATCTCCTGGACAAGCAAAAGACAAAGCATGGTAGCTTTATCCTCCACGGAGTCAGAGTACATTGGATTGAGCAATGCTGGACAACACCTTGCATGGCTTTGGATATTTGTTGAAGAAATTGGACATGCTCAAAATGGACCTACAACATTGCACTGTGACAATCAAGCAGCTATCATTCTTACACGATATCCACAGTTCTGTGCTCGCACAAAACACATTCAACGGAAATATCATTTTATCCAAGATGACTTAGTATCAAAGGGAGAGGCAGTAATCAGATACGTTCCTACAGGAGATATGGTTGCAGACATTCTCACTAAACCCCTCACTCATGAAAAACACTGGAAATTCTCTAAAGCTATGGGACTACGGTTGCACTCGAGTGGGAGTGACAAAACCGGATAAACCTGGTCTCTGCCGAAGCAGCCATTGTTCTCCATGAAATAACCATTGTTCTCCTAGGAGCACAATTGTACTCCTAGGAGTCATTATACTGTAGCGAGTAACACCTCCAACTATAAGTAGTAGGGGGTTTAGTATAGGAATACCTCAGTCGTTTCTATAGCCTCTCGGGCAGCGGCTGAGTTTCACTTAGTTTTATTACATCCTTTACATGCAAGTCAGGGCTAACATGAATCTAACCAAAACCTCACCTTTCATACTTTTTCTTCCAATTCACTGGAAGATTAATACCAGGTTGTGGACATGCAGCACAAAATAGGGCCAAATCTCCATTTTTTTGGTTGGGTCTCTACATCATGACTAAATCCAAATTGCTTCCAGTTGAGTAAGTCTCAATATTTCCTGGACACCCTCATGAGTTCACGGTATTGATCCTGGAAAACAGATTATTAAAATGCTATTACTTTAGATGAGATTAGTGAAGACTTTACAGATGCAAGGTGAGGGAATGCATTGTTAGAAAGGTGCCTCAGCTTCTGATAGAAGCTCATTGCTGTAGTTTTACACTCCAAAGCGCCAATCTGGGATGCAATCAATGCATTAAATGTGAAAGCAGTCTGGGGCTGGAGGCTGGAGGCTGCTGGCAGGGAACAGCTTTATTCTAAGGAGCTAAAAGTGTCGGTTATTCTTCAGTTTGTCATATTGACACCATACAACATAATGAGTGAATATTCCTGTGCTGTGGGCAATGACAAATTATGATATTTGTTTATAGTATGAGAAAGGCGTACTTGGAAAGCATACTGATTGGTTGCATGCCCAGAAGGTCCAGAATCACTGTACATGGGTGCGGATCCCATTGTGTTGTGATAGGCAACTCTTATCTTGGTTGTTTTGGATGATGGTGAAATATTGTATATAGGATCATCCACTCTGCTATGTGCCAGGGGACTGGCAGGCCCTTCACAAACATCCTCCCACTGTTGAGAATCTGGGGTAGCAACAGGACATGGATATCCTTTATGCCTAAGGTGCCATATATACCCCTCCTCTCCAAGAGAAGTTTGAGAATAGCAGGTGCCATTCTACTTCTCCAGTTTATGGAATGGGTGGAACTGATGGGTGTGCACAGCACATGATAAACACCATGAGTGGTCTCATAAACATGTAAGGCATTGAATATGCCTATTGCTTTCACCACATGCCTTGCAAGTCGTAAACAGTCATTATTCAAGGAGGAGCATCTCCTGTAGGTATATGCCCTACATATAGAAGTAGGAAAATAAGTTGACAATACCTTGGTAGCCTTTTCATTCCTATTTTGGAAGTCCCTATTATGCTGATATCCAGTATTGGCAAGCTGCTCTGCTTGGTTATAATCAAGATAGCCATGCTGCTGTATGAAGCTTGGCAGTGGCAGAGGAGGAGATTTATTGGGTGAATTCTTGAGAGGTTCCAAATAATTGTAGTTCACCCAGTCAAGTTTTCTTTTTCTTGAACCTTTGGATTTTCCTGGTATTCTCCAACTCGATCTCTTTCAGTCTGATTCTTCAATGATGAAGTTTTCTTGGGTACATCTCTGTGTACATCCATTCATTCACCTTTAGCCATCAGCCAAAATTATAGCAAAAAAGTGAAAATAAAAAGAAGCTTTCAGATACATTACAAATTTTCATTGTGTATACTAATTAGTCCCAAATTGGGGCCTACCCAATTAAGGGCCATTAATTCTATACAGATTTGTACCTAACACAGCAAGCATAACCAATTTTTGTCATACTCATAATTGATGGAAAAGTCTGAAAGTAGTTAAAATATTTGATTGCATTATGGACCTACAAAATGATGTATTTTGGTTGACATTTTTCCATTAATACTATATTTTTGTGTGGATATGTAGAAATATGTTAACAAAAATACATTATTCTGATAAAGTTTTGTAGGTCCAAAATGCAATTAAACAATTTAACTACTTTCAGACTTTTTCATTGATTTTGGGTGTGACAAAAGTTGGTTATGCTTGCTGTGTAACCAATCAAGGCCATGTACATGTAATGCTGGATATTGGGATAAACTGGCCTCTGAACATGTACTTTGTCATGAACAGCATCCTTCATAAATTAAGCAATACAAATTCTTTCTCCACTTCCCCAACTTGAAGCAGGCACAGTATGCCTCAAAACCCTCCCCATAATTCCTATCATAGTCTCAGGCCTATACTCCAGCTCCGCCTTCAAATTATCCAACTGTAATATTGCATTTTGATTAGTACCCAAGCTGACTAATGTGTCCAAAGATGAGGGACAGCCCCCCTTATCGCTGTGTGATGGTGTTTCCCTGTTAACAATCACCTGGATCCCTGAGTATACGGAAGGCCAAGCCCAAGTCCCTTCTCTTTTTGGATAGCTTCCATTGACAAGGATGCTACATCAAACATATCCAAAGCAACCACAGAGATTACTGTTAGAATATACTCTGACATACCAATACTTCATAAGATAATACCTCTGATTTGTAAGCCAGCCCAGCATGCAGCAGCTATACTGTGTAAGATATCCGTGGTTGCATGACATGTTTAAGATCCTACATTGTATAACCTTGGCCATATAGCTCAATTGGTAGAGCAGCTGGCATGTATCCAGAAGGTTCCAGGTTCAATCCCTGGTCTGGTCAATATCCAATTTTATTAGTTACCACATTGAAAAATTGCTGGAAGTTGGAGGTGTCAGACAACCAAGTATTTTCCCATACATTATGCATATCATGGGAAACCACAAGGTTGTTGACAAGACACTACAACAAACATGTAAGCTGACAAACAGCATATTAAAATAACTTGCCTCATGACCCTGCATGAAGTAAGCCGGTGATAATGTGAATAACCCGGCTCCAGAATTGCCTCCCTCTGAAGGTATATGGAAGTTTTATGTTCACCAAGATGATTTCCCTGAATTAGCTTGACATCTCACATTAATTGGGTCTTTTAATTTGGCTGTTATTTTATTCGGTAGTGCCTGGTAGCCAATGGTAAGTGTCAATCCTTGGATATTTACAGAAAAACCTGTTCATACCACTCTCCCTTTTAACAAGATATTTGGCAGGTACCAGGTGAGTATATGTCAATGCTGATTAACTATGGAGGTAGGTTCAGACATATGACCAAGGCTGGTACGTTCAAAGAAGCTGTCAAGCTTCCAGTCCTGATCTGAACTCCCACCATCCAGTCAAGGTTTTGTGAGCTTGGCATGATCAGCAAAATGTTCTACATCCCAGTTTACAAGACCTAAAGGAAGGTGAGACAATACTAACTGCTAACTTTAACAGGGCACTCAACAGGAATTATAGATTGCATGGGCAATTGTTGCCGTTGCCAATTGGATTTCTTCTGGGCTAAATGTATTTGGGACCAAATCTTTCCCATTCAGGAGGTCCTGTAGCTCTGTAATATTCCGCCAGATGCGGAGACTTCTAGGACACCATAGTTGTAGCACAGTTTGATGAGTAAACCAAGCAAGCACATACCAAAGTTTGCACGGCGGCTGACTGTGGGAATTTTGCACTGGACCAAACTCTATTACAAGCACCTTGTTACTTCTGACCCAATATAGAAAATTCTAGACTATGTTCCTCATTGTCACAAAATTCTAGTTCTACTTTAGGTTATACCCAGCCTGGTTTATGCAACTTACCTATATCACTGCCAGCATCAGTATGCTCATAAGGGCATGGTCCTATAGTAGATATATATAGTCAGATTACATATCCTACTCTAGGTTAGCTCTAGTCTGGTTTATCAGCTTACTCATACCAACAACCACAGTATCAAGCACCACTGGCACCGTATTCATACCAGATAGGTTCATGCATTTACCATATATAGTATACTCCCACAATCACATGTCATGTTTTTGCAGCAAACCAACAAGCCATCCATTCATACATTGCACAGAATCCAATAAATTACATTGAGTCAGATATTAACATATAAAAGACTTGTAACAAAAAATATAGAATGCCCAGCAAAAACATTCTGGCACAACTGGAGGGCGCCTCTCCAATTGTACCACCGGCCTTCTCCAGACACTCACAACAAATCCAAGTTGCACAGCTCTCCAACAAGAGCATATGCAACTGAAAATGTTGCAAGAAATATTTCTCGTCATGTAACCCTCCAACAAGAGCATACATGATCTAGAATGGACAAAAAAGACACAATATATATATATATATATACAACTGCCATGTTATACAACTCACCAATGTGGGCATGTATAACCAAACACAGAACCAGTTCCACCATACAACCCACCAACGTGGATATGTACGATGGAACACCAAAACATTGAAAAAATCCTGAAAAAAAAATCAGCTGCTGTGAATGATTGGACAGCACATACCTCTAAGACAATAGTTGAACGCTGAAACGGTTCAAATGGATCTGAAAAAAAAGTCATTAGCTGCTGTGAACAACGACTGCACATACCTAAGAGCACTAAATTGTGTTGGAAGGATGAAAATTGCTAGAAAAGGTGAAAAAAATCAGTGTGGTGCAAAAAACAAAGATTAATGTTACCACTTTTCACCCAGTGCCAAACTTGCAGCATGTATAGGGAGTAGGGAGAATGGGCAATCCTTCACCAAGTGCAGCTGCAGTCTGCACTTGGTGAAAGATCTGACACCGTTGTTCTCATCAGAAAACATGATGGTATGATAATGAGAGAAAGGAAACACACACTAAACACAAGTTGAACTATTTGTTTGTGTATGATGCCTAATAATTATTGTGCCAGCAGTTCCTTCATGTCTTCTACCACCATGCCACAAGACACCCCAACTGTCCAACCCAAAAAACCATCTCAGCCTCACCAGCCATTAGCTTGCATGTCAACCATCAAGAAGAATACCGCGCAAAAAAAACTGGGGCAAAGGAGAGATGTTGGGGGAAGGGGGGCTAGTTGTACCAAGTCAGAGCAAGCAGATGCAGCAAAAATTCTCAGTACGTCTGTTGCTTGTCCTTTGCTGCACATGATCACAAGTCCATGTGTAACTCCAGCTCCCCCAAACAAGAGGCCTCAAATGGCTACAGAGGAGGAAGAGTTGGAGATGGAAATGGATGAGGAGGGCCTCCCACTTTACTGGGTGTCCAATGAGGAGGACCATGATGACGTGGTGAGTAACTCAGTGTTACATTTGAATCTCATTAATCTTAGATCCAGTTCTGTGCCCATTGCCAGAATGGGGGTCATATATTCTCCTGTGGGCTTTGTGGGCAGGTGATTTGCTATAATTGCATTGAGGTCCCCACAGATAAAGCCTCAACCGCTGCTATAGCATCCTCCTCATTCATATGCCCACATTGCATTGAGGGGAAATGGGCTGGTGACAAGGGCAAGCATACCTCACAGCCATACTATGAGAGTTTGGTCCGTTCTTTTCTGATCTTACAGATTCACAGTATCTATTCAGGTGTTTTACCATCTTGATGCCCACAACAACCCTGTCAAACCAGCCGTTCAAAAATTTGTCAAGATTAAGACTTTTTCAGTGTTTACTCAAGGGTTGCAAAACCTTCATTGCCCCCTCTTCATCATCCACTTTGCCCTCAAAGGCCTTTCACCTCAGGGCTCTGCTGCCCATGGCCTCCATCTTGACATAAGTGCCTATCTAACCTCACAATACCTCCAGTTTGTGGAGATCACTTTTGATCTTTCCACAAGCACCACAACTGCTATGTATCGCCAACAAGTCCTCAGCGCCATCAAGACTTTTTCTCATTGTTCTCACTGGTGAACAGTAGTTCTCCTATCCACCCATGCTAATGAAAACAGTGTAGCCCCTCAGCTTTGTGACAAAGACCTGGGTATGTAGTTTCCCCAAGTTCTCTGGTTATTACTAACCTATTGGCATAGGCTCTTTGTGACATCTTTATCCCTGAGATATGAAAGTATATTATCAATGGGATGCTTTTTTTCCTAGCCTGTGGCCCTTTAGTGAAGGAGAGGGACAGCTTTTTGGACTTACAGTCTGGGATCCAAATGTAAGTCCTATCATTATATTGTTGTTTCCCTACCTTACATCTATTTCAGCTATGGTTTTATGAATGCCGTGGCATTCACTGCTGCTCACCTGCAGCCTACTCTCCTCTGCCCCCTGGTCAGGGCATATTCCCACACTGTTCTTCTTGATAGGTATGACCTCAAGGATAAATAAACTCTCGGGAGGCTACATTGTCATAGCTTTGGCCTTGGCAAGCACACTGATATTCTGGTCTTCTCTTGCATTGAAAAAGTCCTCTTGGTGAAGCATTTGGTGGGGGCCTATGATGTTACGAGGCCATATGGTCAGAATTGTCCTGCTCAATGCCCTAGCTGTGGATGGACCAGGTCATATGATGGCCCTGTCCAGTCTACCCCTTGTTCTACTTTCACTGTCAATCTCCCAGGTGCACCCAGTGGCAAGGATGTAGCTCAGCCCTCCCCCTCCCAAGTGGTTTTCTTCAAGTGCAGATTTTGTTGCCGGCATGAAAGCTATACTCCAAAGTCCCTGGGCAATAAAAAGCTGGTTTGGCTGACCAGTAAGTCTTCAGAGGGTAGGTGGATGATTGAGAACGTGGTTAGATAGGTTTGTTGCAATTCACTCTTTGTACTTGGTTTAGTTGTCTATGTCATTCATAATATCATATGTTGTAATGTTATACTTAGGTGTGATATTTTATCCCCTGGCTAGCTCTTGTAACATGACTAGGCCAGCCAACCACCAGAGTAATCCTGGAGGCTGGCTGATACATATGAGTTATGTGCCAGCCAGCTTGCAGAGTTATATGCATCTACTAGTGTTGCCGCAGCTGGTTTAGCCAAGCTGCAGCTCAATAAGTCACAGTTTGTCAGCTATGTGGCTTTAAGCAAGCTGTAACTTCTTTAAATTGAACTGTGGCTATTAATATTAAGTGGCTTGGCGGATTAGTGACTTAACAGCTCAAGATGCAGCTTCCACCTATAACAATTTATGAAACTTTTACAATAGATTTCAGATAGAACTTATACAATAGACAACTTCCATATAATTTGCAACTACACCAATAGCTCCCAATAAATTTATGACCATTGCATTATTGTCTTCATGGGATCCATACCAATATAATTTGGGAAATCCTATGCAACCTCCAAGTCTTTCATATATCTGTGCCTCTCTCCAAAGATGGGTTGATGAGGTATTGCCAGCTTCCAGCTTAATGGCAACATCCTCATGATTAAGCATATCAAAGCCACCCTAAACCTCTCCTTTATGATATTGGTATAATTAAAAACAAATTCATAAAATATATGAATATTTACCAAAAGATCCTGGGGCGATATGCTCCTCCCAGCAGTATTGATGATTGATGATCATGGACAGATCAAGTTTGTCCTTTGAGGCAGTCACCCTGACAAAGAAGGGAGCCTATATACACCAAGATATACACAGAAATAAGGCAGAACAAAAGTTGAGGAAGGATTAGTTGGACTCAAAGTTTTGGAAGAACAAAAAGTCTTTTACTATATTTAGCTGCCTGGGAAAACATGGTACGCAAAATAGGACCTCAGTAACAACAAAAGTATGAATTTTTGAATACCTAAGACCTACAAGCTGGTAATGCAAGTTTTATCAGACTTTGAAGCTGACAGAATATTGAGATAAAATCAAAAAAAAAAAAGGAAAAAATAAATCATAGTACATTTTAATAAACCTAAGTGAAACTCAGCCGCTGCCCGAGAGGCTATAGAAATGACTTTATTATTTACCTAAGTGAAACTACAATAGATGTTAGTTTAAGGTGATCTCTAATAAATGTAATGTAACATACCTCAGCCGCTGCCCGAGAGGCTATAGAAATGACTGAGGTATTCCTATACTAAACCCCCTACTACTTATAGTCAGAGGTGCTACTCGCTACAGTATAATGACTCCTAGGAGTACAATTGTGCTCCTAGGAGAACAATGGTTACTCCATGGAGTGGTGGCTATACTCCATGGAGAACAATGGCTGCTTCGGCAGAGACCGGGTTTATCCGGTTTTGTCACATTTACAGCAAGCCACATATTGTAAATCATAAACACCCCAATTCATGTTTTCAGAATAGAACGTACAGAAGCAGCTACATCTTCCAACTCAGGTAATAATATTTCCTCTGGAGTATTACAAAATAACATTAAGTTAGATCCATCACGGCGTGCAGAGAACTTGAGGATTTGTAAAGCTTCCATAATGTCAGCACTGAGGCAATTTTTTCTTGGTGTGGCAGTCAAAGCAGCTGAAGAAAAAACCCACTTGCATGAGACTGAGGTTCCTTGAATTGGGAGGTAGTCCAATGCTATAGAAAATAATGTGGGGAATCTGTAGGAATTCATCTGATATACGGATGCAAGAAATTAGAATCAAACAGGTAAAGTATGGATTATTCTTACCTCCCACCACTGAACAATATTGTATTCTTCTCTAGGTAATGCCAGATAGGCATTATGCTCCTCCTCAATTAATCTCAATTCAGGGGAAATATTAGATAAGCCCATGTCTAATAATCTGTACTCCTCAGTCAAAGAACAAATGATGTCCACAGCTTGATGGTTTGTAGATCCATATAGTTGAGGTAGTTGAAATTGCTGTGTTTGTGGCTGGCCAGGCTGTGTATTAGGAGTAGATATTGTACGGTGATATTTCTATAACTAAGAAAATTTGTTTCAGTAGAGGTCAGCCTAAATAGGATGAGACTACCCACATAGTTCAAAATATGAGCCTGTGCTGGTTTCATATAAATGTATAAGTGATGAATGAAAAGAAAAAGAAAACATACACATCAAAATAACATAGGATAGATTCTCATCTGTCTGACAATAATAGCCAATAGCTTTATCCAATCCTGCCTGAATATATGGTTTGAGGTGTAAATGTTTATCCTGTAATAACTCCCATCTAGACATGACCAATTTGTACACTGGGATAGCTGCAGCCAGAACTGGAATTTTCTCAAGAGACAATCTGAGCTAAGTGCACAACCTTGAAGATAGTAATGTGAGATTATGATTATATGTTGAATAGATACTCACTGAGAGAATCAATTCAAGATCTTTTACAATTTCCCACTCTTTAGCCGTCAACCTATACCTTGTGAACTCTGAGTCAGAGTCAGTAACACTTAACTCATCTATTAGACACTCAATAGCCTGTATATCTGTTTCAGCATAAAATTCTATTACCAAATATTGTACTCACTGGTTGCAATTCTCTAAGCCTCCCTCACATCAAGTAGGTGGAGTCCCACCTTGTCTTTACATCCAATATTAGCTCCAAGGTTGGTAAGATAACAACCTCATTTTTTCCACTTTTATTATGTTTGATAAAAGTCCTACTTTCATTCCCTGCCTTTATAATTTACTGCAATTGCTCTTGACGGTAAGATGACTTCCTGACAGCACATATGAATTTTCTTGAAATTGTAAGTAAATCCTGTGCTGCTGTCTGCTCCCATGTCTGTTGGCTGGCTTCAAAGGGAGGAATACCAGGATTCAAGTTAACCAGGTTTTCATTGTTATCAACTTCTCCTAGCTTTGAGAAAGACTTGATAATGGCCTGAGAACAAAGATTAATGATATGTGCAAAGCAACATATACATTCTTCAATAGGATCAAAGTTGGTAATTGAATACTTGTTGCTTAAAATATCAGCTAGTTCTTCCATAGCACAATCATTTGGTGTGGCATTGTACATTGTGATAATGCCAATCTAGAAGTATAATATATTGGAAAAACAAAATAATAGATGAACAATTTTACCTTTGCTTCTACTCCCACATTTTGAAAAATGCCAACTAGCTCCTCTGCAACAAGCTTGTCTGTGTGACGTCGTCCACAGAAACCCACTATTTCAGTACAAAGTTCCAAGCAACCAGAACATTTTGAAAACCAGTGGGCAGTTACACCTAGAAAATGCTGCACTGTTCTGTTCTGCCATGAATCAGCAGTGAAGCTAACTTTCCCTGGTGATTTCTAAATTGTACAAAGTCATAAGATAAAATATAAATATGGAGTTAAAAATGTTACCTGAAACTCTTTACACAGTTGGATCATAAAGTCTTTCCATCCATCCAGAAATAATAATATCCCGCATTTTTGAGCAATGAGGGATGTCAGCATCTGTGATAGCTTTTCCCCCCACAAGTAAAAGGAGTTCCTGAAATGATGGATGGTCAACAATCCTTATACCCTGTTAACATTTTGTGAGTACAACCACTAATAAAGGGGATTAAATTTATACATAATATCTGATTAGTAACAGCAATATATTTACTTAGGGCTTTATAAAAGTTTTGTTTGTTGTAAGATACAGAACCAGCTGCTACAAGCTGATTGGTAGTTTCTTCTGCTGTTGGTAGATACTTCTGGATATGGTGTGACCACCCTTCAATTATGGTACAGCCGTAATGCCATTGATCCCAGTGCTCATTTGCAAGGTGATAATGTATAGTACTTGTACTAGTTCCAGTAGCATATACTTGAGTTTTTCCTGATGCCCTAACACAATAATCAACATAAGGAGTAACAAATGGATAACATATGTACTTGCAGGCCTTGCAGATGTTAGCCAGACCTGGACTATCACTCTAGTGGTATTCTTCTCCTGAGGCATAGCTGCATTCAACATGTAAACTATGTGGTGTTTATTCCATTGCTTGGGGACATTGCCAGAAATGACATCCATGAATGATATAAGTGGTACTGTCACAACCATTCATCCACCAGAATTTTCACAAAGAGGATTTGGCGTAGCACTTGCATAAGTTCATGATGATTCTGCAAGATGTGTTAGACGCTGATAAAATACATGAAGTGAGAACACACCTGTGAAGTTATAAATCTCACCCGTTCTCGTGAAAATATGCTCAAACATCTGCACAAAGATTGAAGTTGGGGCAATGACTGGCTCAGGATCTACAATAAAACCTGCCTATATTGGCATTAGTGCTACAGTGTTTTAAGTATAAATGTGCATATGCACTTCTGATTACACAACATTGTGTCCTAAGGCTAACACCTCTGATAGCATAGCATAATCAGTGTGAGGCTTGGCTATGTTTGTTAAGACACTGTAATGTACTGCTATGGAAGGCCATGGGAATGTTGACACACTGCTATTGATGTCTGTGGGACTGTCATATATGGTTTCTATTTCTTGCAGATCATCTAAAGTTGGGTCCTCCTATTTATCCCCATCCTTGGCCCCAAATTCCTTGGTAGCTGGCTGGATTAGATGGGTAAAAAGAGGCTCACCCTGCTTGAGGGTCTGGCAGATAGTATCCTACCAATCAACCCCTTACTTTGGGACTTTGTATTCCTGGCCTGTAAGATCCTCACTCCATAGTTTGCCTAGTGGCTGTGGAAAGTCTTTATTTAGGCCGTTGGCCAAGTCACCTTGAAGTGATAGCTTGTTGACAGCCAATCCACAGTTGATGTTTGGGAGAGATGGTCAGGGAGAGAGGTTTGGTTGTTGTTTGGTGATGTGAGTGGAAAGATGGGAAAGCAGTTTTGTGGTGTTTCATTGGTGTTTTTGCGTTGAAATATGCAAAGCAATGTAACAGTATCTTATGATGAGGTACTGCCCACATTTTTTGGGGCAGGCAAAATATGCAACTGTGGTCTGATCTGTTGAGACATCAAATACTGCATGAAATGTTTGTTTAATACCTGTAATAGTAAGATCATGTTTTACTCACCATGAGAATCTAAGACAATCATGTTTTTGCTGGCATCCTCAAGATGGTTATTGCCTTACACATTTCAAGGTATCTGGTTGTACTAGGAATATATTATCATGAGCAACCCAAATTGTCTGATGAGGTTTTGCAGTTGGCTACAATATATATACAATGTTCTGAACTTCTAATATATATATTGAATGAAATAAAAAGCTATTCTCAAGGCCTGAGATATTATATCTGTAAGGATTATATCTTGGATATTTTTACAGGCATAGCAATAGCACAAAATCATGACTCTCAGAGATCTCAGAAATGTTTGAAGTTTTTGTTCAAGCAGGCGCATTCACCAGGCCACTATAAAATATTCTTTATTTGGCTGTTCCCAGCAACCAACAAGGCTCACACAAGACATAAATACAACTTTATTTCTACTTTTTTGTCAAATATCATTAATTACACTACCTGTTTTGGTTCTCCAATATCTGAAGGGGAGAGAACAGATATGGCTAAGGTGCTTTTAAGGCATCTTGTAAGAAAGCTCCCAAAGCAGACATTTATTGCAATCATCTCTGTCTTGGATTTTATATAGATCATGCAGTACCCCACTCCCTCAGGAGTCAGCCTTTGCTATATAGCAGAGGGTTTTGTACATATGTGTAAATAAAGATTATTGTAGCACCTATAGCATTTATAGTACTATAAGAGCAACAGGAGAAACAAGGGCAATAATAGTATTATAGAGGCAAAATTTGCCATAAATCTTTATATTTAGAAGAATTAACCTCAGTCTAATAGCAAAAAGGCTGAGTTGTCAAGTTGAATAATAGGGAGTGGTTTCTTCTTATGAGTTCAGCATAGACCCAAAGAAAGTGAGTGTAATATTATTATGTTGACTCAATCAACTACTGAATGCATGTAGCTTACTACATTATATGATTTGTATACATTATCTTCATATGTAATAGTGTCATCATCCTATAAGGACCATTTACTTTTTCTTACTCCTTCACTTTGATGTCTTGGCTCTTTAATAATTTTCCAATTACACCTCTAGCCCTAAGGCTAGAGGTGTCATTTGCTATTCTTCTCCTTATTGCCCTAACAGGTTTTCTTATCCATTGATACCACTTCATATCACAGATCAGAAACTGGGTAGTACTCCCAGCCAGCCAGCACAATGGGTAAGGACTAGTAGCTGAGATCTCGCCAACCAGCTCCAAACCCCATCAGTGCTTGAACATATTAATAGATGCTTTAGCCAGGATTGTACCTCATCATGGGGATATAGTTCCTGAACACGCATGACAAACACCTATTATTAGCACACACTCTCACCTGCTAATTAATCTTTGAATTTGTATGATAGTTGCTCTCTTTATTATTGGTCAGTTCCATGCTCAGACCACTTTTCTATTATTCCTCTTTTGGTCCAAGGGATAGACAATTAGCTATAATAAGCCTACATATCCATGTGCAATTTCTTAGCTTTTTATTACTTGAATAACCTGTTTTACTCCTTATCAAAACCTTCTACTCTCTGTTGTTGACTTGATATACTCTCTAACATCTATCTACCTCAAAGACTTATTGTACCCTTACTCCCTGCAAGTGCAGTTGGTTTAGTTTAGTTTTATTATAGTTTAATGTTGCCTCACACATCCATACATCCCAGATCTACAAGACACAATGCAAGAGCTGTGGACACCAGAAAAACCTGGTAGTTTTTCAATCTGGTGCAGGCAATGTAGGTGCACAAAATTGATTAGTTGATGTGACTAATATGTATTTTTGCTTCAATACAGTCCCAAGCTTTGGATTGGATAATGAATGTTTTTCTTGCCACCGATATCCCATTGTTCTTCAATACAAAATTGATGTTCTATGGTGCTTACACAATCTTCAGCATTCTGCAGCTGGTGATATGTTGTGTCTACACGTATGCAAGGCTGTGTAAGAATAGTTTGGATCTCTGCAAAATTACCAGCTGCAACATTTGTCAGTGCATTACTTGCCATCTCATGGGCTAAATTATATACATTGCTAGATTCCAGTGCAACACATTAGCATAGTATTACCTATAATAGAAACCAGACAAGTTTACCGGTGTTGTTTGAAATCATCCAGTGTATTTATATAGTGAATATGAGGATCTTCCTGTTGTGGCAATTTTTTCAGGCTTTCACAGTACATTTTCTCTTGTTGGTAAAACTGCACAGTCTGCATCAGTTAATTTTGATTGAGTTTTGACAAGCAAAAGCTCAGATGATAGAATTTGGATGATCTTCAGGGCTTCATGATAATGATTCTTCAGAAATGTACCTATAAACACATTTAAAGCACAGAGTGAAAGAAAGAAATATAATGGATATGCCAATATTACCATAACACAATTTTTGAACCTTTAAATTTCATTCTCCTCTTCAATTTTCTTTTGTAGTTTTCACACCCTGTGCCATGCGGCACTTTCCATTATTGTTCAAACTCCACTTCTCACGCTGCACTGCCTTTTTTATTTTTAGATACAAGTTTCTCACACAGTGGAGTTGGTCACACAGGCTGTGCCCCATGACATCATCAGCCACTGCCTCCATCAACTGTACAGTACACATGTACAAACAAACTGTAGTAGTATATATACCCCAATAGATCAAGGAGACTCCTCAGTGAGTCCTATTGTTGTTAACCCACAACAAACTTGGTTCTATCTAAAAGGGTAACCACTCCCCTCACTTCTTTACAGCTTTGTCTGAGTTGTGCGCCAGAGTATCAAAACTTTGGTTGTGACATTAGGACTCACTCTTACTACTCTCTCGCACTTTGTGCAAACCCGGTCCCCAGGGTTAAGGGGTTATTGTTTGGGAATATCCCGTATAGCAGAAGGGTGCACTCCTAGCGACGGCCCCATAGTGCTCTGGGAGAAGAGACAATTATCTATACACAGCCCCCAGTGTTAAGGGGAGTACCTTAGCTCAGCAGTTGATGTGGAACCACTGTTGATTAGAATTTACATACAAAACTTCTCTTTCTCTTTCCTCTGACCACCAGGCTGGGCACTTGCCTCTGCCAGTCTGGAGAAGGGTTGACAGCTTAACAAGTGGACCACCCCCTGACAACTGTTTGGACCAGGGTTTACTACATTTACCTTTTATATACATTTCAAATACTATAGTGTGGGTAGTCGGAGATTGAGATCTAATACTCAGCTGGGAAGAGGTAGATCCGCAGATAGCAAGTGGGGACCCTCAGTTACCTTTTTTTTTTACATCACAAAGAGAACAAGTCGACATGTCGTCGCAACCGGATATGAACAGTCTGCTACACAACATGCTTGCACAGATTCAGGCTGCCCCAGTGGCAGAACCTACGGTTGAGCAAAAGTTCAACAAGAAAGTCGAGATTGTTGCTGATCCTGGCGCTCTCGAAGGAGACAGGGCTCAATTTGCTAAATGGTGGATCAAGCTACAAATTTGGATCAAGGCAAATTGGGATGTGTTTGCCAACAATTTTGAGATAGCAACCGCTGTGCTGTCTTGACTAAAAAGGCCTGTGGCAGGTTGATACGCCCAAGTAAGACTTCAGGAGTGCTACATGGCGGGTGTGTGGCCTACCTGGGACAATCTCAAGGTTGAGATCAAAAAATATCTTAAACCACAGGCTGAGCATGACTGGGCGCATCAGCAGATCTGTTCCTTCAAACAAGGAAACATGAGGATGGATGATTACGTTACCTGGTTCCTGGCCCTCTCCATCCAAGGAGGGCTTGGCAATGAACATGCAGTAGAAATGCTGGAACACAATGTGAACCACCATATTGCAGAACAGATCTACTTGCAGGATACAAAAAACAAAGCTGCTTGCTTCAGGCGCTAACAGAATCTTCATAGATCAGGTCTGGGCGGAACAAATTGGACTCGAAGCTACCCAACTAGGGAAGATTAATTTCATCTTAGGCTGGACCTGGCTATTTAAACACGATCCTGAGATTGACTGGCAGATAGGGGTTGTCATATTGTCACGTTGCCCTCAGGAGTGTGATGACTTTGGTAAACCAAGTCACATCCGTCAAACAGAGCTGGATGAAAGGATAAACACTGGTCACGTTTATGCCAAGCTTAGATCTTTAGAAAAAATTGACAATGACAATGACGAGGTAAAACCCGAGGAAGAGATTAAGAGGTACCTCCAGAGTACCATGACTTCTGGAAAGTCTTTTCAAAACACAAATCAGAGCACTTCCCAGAGGCTAAGCCTTGGGACCATGCTATAGATTTGAAGGACACCTTCAAACCGAGAAAAGGACACATGATTTCCCTCTCTGCTCCAGAAAGAGATGAGGTTTCAAGCTTCATAGATAAACAGCTTAGGAAGGGTTACATCAGACCTTCTAAGAGCCTATGACATCCCCGGTGTTCTTCATTCCTAAAAAAGATGGTAAGAAGCGCATAATTATGGACTATTGTTACTTAAATGAGTACACGGTTCAAAATGTGTATCCGTTGCCTTTGATCAGTCAGCTAGTAGATAAATTGGCCGGTGCCAAGGTCTTAACAAAGATGGATCTCAGATGGGGTTACAATAATGTACAAATCAAAGAGGAGGATGCCTGGAAGGCCATATCCATGTGCCACCAAAAACCTTTTGAACCCCTCATCATGTTCTTTGGGTTGACCAATTCACCGGAAACCTTCCAGAGCATGATGAATGAGGTCTTTGCAGATATGGAAAACTGTGTTGTCATTTACATTGACAATTTACTAATATTCACAAAGTCGGACCATGAGGCTGAGCACAACAGGGTTGTGCAAGAAGTCCTTCAACACTTACAAGAACAGGATCTATTTGTCAAACCTGAAAAATGTAACTTTAAAGTAAAGGAAGTAGACTTCCTTGGTATGATAATTGGCCAGAACAGAATCAGGATGGATCCTGAGGAAGTTCAAGCCATATTGGATTGGCCTAAACCTACTCGCATTAAAGGAGTTAGGGCCTTCCTTGGCTTAGGCAATTTCTACCGAAGGTTTGTTGAAAACTTCACAAAGATAACGAGACCGTTGAATGATCTCACTAAAAAGGACATTGTCTTTCACTGGGGTGCCAAAGAACAAGAAGCTTTTGATAAGCTTAAACAGGCATTCCCAACGGCACCCATATTAGTGTTTCTAGAATTAGACAAAGAGTTCTGGCTAGAAACCAACTTTTCTGATTTTGCTACTGGGGCTGTTCTGCCAATTAAATGCCCTGATAATCTTTGGAGGCCTTGTGCCTATTTATTGCATAGTTTGTTGCCTACAGAGCGCAACTATCAAATTTATTATAAAGAGATGCTGGCCATAATTAGAGCTCTAGAGCACTGGCAGCACTACTTAGAAGGTGCTAGGCACCAATTCAAAATTTGGACCAATCATAAAAATCTGGAGTATTTTATGACAGGCCAAGACTTAAACCAAAGACAGGCCCGCTATGTGGTGTACCTATCTAGGTTTAAATATAAACTAATTCATAAGCCTGGCGCGGGAAAGCGAACACTTTGTCTAGAAGAGAGGATCATGCCAACGGCATCAAAGATGACAACAAAGGTGTCACCCTGATAGATCAATCCAGGGTTGCCAATGTTCAAATTGGGCAGGATTCCGAACTTCTAGAAGTCTTCAGGAAAGACATCTCCTCAGAAGAAAAGGCACACCTTGATGGCAATTTACATTATTTATGGGAAGACGGGCTCTTCCATTACAAAAACAAGATCTATGTGCCTGAGTCAGCAAGGATCAAGGCAATAGATAGACATCACAACACTCCAGTGGCTGGGCACCCTGTGTGGCAACAAACGATGGAGTTGATCTCCAGAAATTACATATGGCCTGGCATGGTCAAAGACATACAGGAATACGTAAAATCCTGTCTGAGATGTGCCATGGCAAAGAACTCGCATCAACCACCGACTGGAAAACTTATTCCAAGTCCGATACCAGCTGGTCTCTGGCAGAATATATTGGTTGACTTTACGATGGATCTGCCCGAATCAAATGGGTATGATTCAGTAATGGTGGTAGTAGATCGCTTCTCCAAAGAAGTGGTATTCATTCCCACCAATAAAACAATTACAGCTGCTGGTACGGCAGACTTATTTAAAGATTTCGTATGATCTACCAACGGGCTACCGGAAATGGTTATCTCTGATAGGGGACCCTAATTTGCTAGCAAATTTACAAAAGAACTTTGTCGGATGCTGGGCATCAAACCTAAATTATCCATGGTGTTCCATCCACAGACTGATGGACAAACGGAGAGGCTCAATCAGGAATTAAAGCAATACCTCTGTATATTTATGAATGCCAGACAGACAGATTGGGACAAGTGGCTAAAGATAGCCCAGTTCTTTCATAATATTAAACAGTTGTTGGCTACAGGAAAGACACCATTCGAGGTTACAAGATTGTACCTCCCCAGAATGGGTGTAGAGCCTGGTAAAAGCAAGAACGAGGCTGCAGGGAACATGGCTAAGGACTTGAAATCTGTCTTAGACAAAACACGCAAGGTGCTATTCAAAACTGCAGAGCAGATGAAAGACAGGGCAGAGCGTAGATGCTCCAAGGCCCCTGATTAAAAAATCAGCGACCTGGTCTGGTTAGATACCGACCACTTAAAATTGAAAGATCGGCAGTCTAGAAAACTAACCAAAAAGTGGATTGGTCCTTACCAGATTAAGGAAGTCAAACCCAATGCAGTGGAGCTGGAACTCCCAAAACGAATGAGGGTAGTACCCATGGTCAACATTAGCCGTGTAAAACCCTATAAAGGGCCGCTGCCGGGACAGCATGTAGACCGGCCCGGACCGGTGGTAGTCACCCAGGAAGGTGAAGAAGAATTTGAAGTCAAACGGTTGGTGGATGCACGCTTCAAGCGTGCAAAGTTAGAGTTCCTAGTCCTATGGAAGGGCTATGGAGACGAAAACAGAATGTGGGAACCAGAAGCCCATCTGGACAATTCCTGTGATGCTGTTTGTGAATTATATTCTAAGAATCCCTCAGCTCCTAGGAAGCTTAGAGGCATGGATTCAAATCTTTTTAATTTTCTTTTTCAATCTATGCCCGAAAATTTAAATACTACCTCTAATATTTGGTATTGCCTGGAAGTCAAGCCTTAGAAGGGGGGTAGTGTTACAATAACACAATTTTTGGACCTTTAAATCTCATTCTCCTCTTCAACTTTCTTTTGTAGTTCTCACACCCTATGCCATGCGGCACTTTCCATTATTGTTCAAACTCCACTTCTTGCGCCGCACTGCTTTTTTCTTATTTTTAGATACCAGTATCTCACGCAGTGGAGCTGGTCACTATTAGAATATACTCTGACATACCAATACTCCATAGGATAATACCTCTGATTTGTAAGCCAGCCCAGTATGCAGCAGCTATTCTGTGTAAGACGTCTGTGGTTGCATGTTATGTTTAAGATCCTACATTGTATAACCTTGGCCATATAGCTTAATTGGTAGAGCAGCTGGCATGTATCCAGAAGGTTCCAGGTTCAATCCCTGGTCTGGTCATTATCCAATTTTATCAGTCACACAGGCTGTACCCCATGACATCATCAGCCACTGCCTCCATTAACTGTACAGTACACATGTACAAACAACCTGTAGTAGTATATATACCCCAATAGATCAAGGAGACTCCTCAGCGAGTCCTCCTGTTGTTTACCCACAATTAACTTGGTCCTATTCTAAGGGTAACCACTCCCCTCACTACCTTTATAGCTTTGTCTGTTGTGCGCCAGAGTATCAAAACTTTGGTTGTTACAGCCAATCCAGTTGGCATTTGTGGTTGTGTGCATGGCCATATGACAACCTAAAACCCCCAATTCAATGCATTGTCGTGCTCACTTGCTTTTCAGAAATGTGTACTCGGATACATAGTTGACAAAGCCCACTGTGAGATACAGTGGGGAGGTGACTTTTGGCTAGTGTATGCCAAATTAGATAGGCTCCGTTCATTTGTGCCTCTAGGCACACCTATATAATGTTAGCTACAATGTTCCCTGCTGTCTTGGCCGAGGTTCAAAACACAATGCACATTAGCCCATCAAAACCCTTTCCTTTGAACTTGGGAAATGACCAACCTAATGTAACGCAGGAGCTTTGCATCATCGCTGGCTCTGCAGACTATTTGGCCCTTGATTTTATTGTTAAAGACGCACAGGCTGCCAATGAAATACCACGGGCACTTATTTTTGTTAATACTGTTAGTCAGTCCCAGGCCAGCTTTTGGAGACTCCATGAGATTATATCTGACCAACTAAAGAGCTAAATCAGTTATTTGAATTCCAGGTGCTCGCCACGCACCAGGAAAACTGCCTTGCATGACTTTTGTGAAGGAAAAATAAGAGTCATGTCTGTGACCAAAATAGGTAGCATGGTTAGCATTCAAAGCAATTTAATAAGCTTGCTTTGTCTAATAATTAAACAGGGACTCAACATACAAGATGTCAAGTTGGTGTTCCCATTTGGAGTCCCATCATCACTGTCAGTATGGCTCCAAAGAGCAGGCCGAGCCATCTGCAACTTCACTTTTCAAAGACGTGCTATTATAATGGTGTAGTGGGGCCAGGAGGTGATTTTGAAAGATCCCTTGCAAAAGTTGCGCTGCTGTGAATAAGTCTCGTTCAACAACTGGGTGCAAAGCGGTTGTGATAACTTTGACTGATGGTAGTAGACACTTTGTGTCATTGAAGGGAATAAAATTGAAGGAAGCTTGGAGAGCTAGAGTGAACAAATCATGCTAAGATGATAATAACATGCTAAGCCCATCCAAACAAATGATAACCTGTCATACCACAGGCTCAGCACAGTTTTTTCCTACAGCAAGATCAAGCCTAGATAAAGTGTCAACAGGAGTAGGTGGCAGAGAATTAACAGGAGAGGGATAGGCTATTTCTTAGGGCAGATTCTAGAGATTTTTAGAGTGGTGGTTGTAGTCTGAGTATCACATTGTAGCAACGTGTATGGTGGTTTTGGTCTGAATGCCACACACTGTATAGTAGAAACTCTGAACAAGGTGATCAAGCGAGCACTCAAATTATGGCCAAATGTATTTTCAGATCAAGCACAAGCTGAATGTATAGCATTACACTATGACATATTATGTATAAAATCTCCCAACCAAATAGCAGCATCATTCATATCATCCGCTGTAGCCATCAAGCTTGTATATATGATGTAGACGGGCCCAATGGATGCTGTTAATACGGCATTGCTCTCTGTGCACCATTTGTAGTTCTGCTGCAATAAGAGGCTCCGTCACTTTGATCATATCGGTAGTAGCCTGCATATGCCTATCCTTGTAGTCTATCCATGCTTGTAGTTGCCGTATCTCAACATTAAGCCTGACAATTTCTTCACGAGCACGTAAAACCTTGTAATGTTTTGTTGTCATCTCGCGGTTTGTAGGTATAGCCCAAGGTTTCTGAAGTAAATTATGTCGTGAGTGCTTGAGTAGTGCAAATTCACCTAGCGTGGCATAATTTATGACCTCTGAATACTCAAGGCAGGGGCAAGAAGGTTGCTGTAGTGGGGCCAGCTTATTCTATTTATCCAGAGCAGTTCAGATAGTGCCAGACCACTTTGCAATAGCTTTTGAAAGTTTTTTTCGCATTTTGTAGCCTGTATAGAATAGTACAATTGGTATTATACAAACATGTTGCTGATCCACTCACCTGTACCCGACAAGTTGGCTTTTGAAAGTTTGAACAAGCACTATATAACCAAGCCTTCCAATTCTTCAACTACACGTACAAAATGCCACACTGCAATATATTCACATGCTTTTATATACTCTGGATGTGATTCATTCCATTCTTCCTTGATTCCAGCACGGAGTACAAAGTCATGTACCAGGTTCATCTGCAAAAGCAGTTTTTGGTGTGCTTCCTTTCGTTCAGATTCAACTGCTCTTGTGTCAATCAAAGCACTTTGTGAAAGTCCTGATGATGATGTGAAGTGTGCTGGCGTGTGACTCAAAAATGGTGAAGCTGTAAGACTACCATATTTGGCTCTAGCACAATCAGATGAGCACACAAAAATGAGTGATAGTACTTACTCAGCAAATTTGAGCTTGTCAAGTTCATCTACCTAAGCAACAGCCATTGTGTTGTACTGAGATCTTGTGGATAGATTGTTTAAAAATACAAGCTCTTCTTCAATCTAGTGTGCAAATTCTTCATCACCAATGCATTGTAATTTCTGATATGCCTGGAGGTCGGCATTGTTGTCATTGATGATAGTAAGTGCTTGCTTGTAGTTGTTAAAGAGAAACCAGCCTTATTTGACATAAATAAAAAGAACATCGCACAGAAGGAGGAAACTTACTAAGTTCCAAATACTTATCCTTGTTCCACTGGTCAAAATGCAGATCCAAGAACTGAGCCCAATGATAATATGATGCATGGTGTATCACAGAAGCCAGAGAATTTGATGATGCAAATATTCACTCACACGTTTCCATATCCTCTAGACCAAATCCTGTCAGATAAAAAGGATGATTGAGTAACTGGCAGCGCCAATTATGTGCATAGCCATGAAAAGCATTATCAATTGCTGATTTTTGGGCTTCAGACCAATTGAGCTTGTAGCAACCGTTTTTCTTGACACACATCCTATATCATGGCCTACCACTTGGCTGGCCCCACAGACATCTGATAGCTTGCTGATAGTAGCAAGACTATATTTTTCTCTACAATAAATAGCTCATTAGCACGTAAAAATGTTTATCATACAAGATAAAGAATACTTACAGTTCACCACTACATTTCATTTTGGCAACTGTTTCCACAAAGCCATGCCTATATGCCATAACAAATATTCCAGTTTGATCAAAAACCTGAACCTTGCCCTCATCAGTAGACTTGGCTGCCATCCAGTTCTCAGTACAGTTGTAGGAGTGATTGCCTTGACCAGATGATCCTGAATGTTGCAAAACATCACCTTTAAATTGATCAACTTCCTCTGGTGAAATAAAAAAGCAACTCTGAAACAAATGTGGGTCAGTATGCTCAGACCTACCCATTCTTCTTGCAGAGAAATTCCCATCAATGGTGTGAATACACTTTAGCTGGAAATTGTGGTCCTCAGGAAGCTACATAAATGTGTGTTACACATCATAAAACAGCATCAGGAAAACAACACACCACAAAGCCAAATTTTCTCATTCCTACCAAGAGCCGCGTTGACAGCGGTTTGCACAAGATTTTTGATGATTAGGTAAATATCAAAAGAAACTGCTAACTAATCACGGAATATTTGCATATACATTACCTGATAACATGTTATTTGGTTAACATGCTGAGATAGTGAGAGAAACATACATTGTGAAGAGCATAAAACACTTTTGCCATTGCCTGCACGCTAAATGAAGAATGTTGACGGCGTATTTGATGATAAAGCTTCAGACAATCTAGGGAGATTGCAATGGTTGGTTCCACTGGAGAGCATCCTAGCAAGCCCATGGCAAGTGACACATTTGCAGGTTCATCAAGTCGTTGAGGAACTGCCTTACATGGCACATATTCTAGCTGTATGTTAATATATCATTGAAATGGAGCATGGTTATCTTACATCCCTTTAAAACCAACAGACCCGACATAGAATGTATGACATTGGTCATCTTCAATAATAATGTGGACAGAGTTGTGCTTCCATTGAAGGTAGGCATGCACAAGCGCAGGAATCTGTGCCTGCCATGCTTTATATAGCTGTTCATTTTGCTGTACTTGTGCACTTTGATCATGGCGGCAGCAGGATGCACAAGTTGCACTGGTTGCAATCATATCATCAGAACTAGTAATAATACAAAGAGAAAGCTGTACTCACAGGTTTAACTCAAATGTCCTGAAATATTGAGAGAAAATTGCATTTTTATCACTTGCCCATGAGTCATCATCGGTGGAAGAATCCTCTTCCAAATCACTGAACTCAAGTGATTCACCCATCAAGATCCCAGCTTCAAGAACATCTGCAAAGCATGTATTTCGGGACAGTATTTCACACTCTTCCTTGTTGATTAGAAGTGATACTAGCTGGAGCAGTAAAGCACGTACTTTGGTCCTCAATGGCTCTCTATCTCGCAAGGCAATCACAACGGATCTGAGTAAGGGTAGATGTTGCTGTACGAAGAGTAGCACCTCTATATACACTCATTTTGACATAATTTGATGTGGTCTTTAATCTCCTGGCGGCCGCCATGCAAATAGCTGTAAAATAAAGAGGAGGCTGGCACTGTATGTGACAATGAACAGACTTATTATTACATTAGCACTTAACATAGCTCTATGGAGGCATGAGGGCAGAGTCAAAAGTGAACTTTAATTGTAAAATATACTAGTCTATTGTACCAGGTGAGATGCTGTGGCAGAAAACCTTATATTTGAACCTTAAAATCTTGACAGGGAATTTGAAGGGAAATCTTGTGATAAATCAGTATCAAAAAGCATCTAAATAACATTCATAAGTATATATATGTATGGAAATAAATGAAAAAACGGATGAAAAATACTCAAAATTGATGATAATGCTGAGCTCATCATGTGGAACAGTGAGCAAGGGCATTTTGGGGCAGTGTGTGAGGATACTCCCACGTGTTCGGAAAGTAGGGCTTTGGCATGGATGAAGGGTCCGCTTTGGCAGTAGGGCCTGAGGCCTGAGGCTCTTACAGCTGATTTCATAACGATAGACCTATCCTATGAGTTAGTGTGCAGGCGGACTTCAGTGGAGTGTATATTTTTGGGAAGAACCCGAAGTGTCTGGGAGAGACTAGTCAACCCTCAACCAACATGCGGCGCAATATTCCCAAGGAGCAGAAGATACTAGTGTACGAATTGTCTTGCATCCATGGCCTCTCGGACAGACATGTTAGCCATTACCTAGGAATCAGTCAACGGACCATCAGGCGCATCCGGATGACCTTCCGGGACACTGGTGTAGTGGGAAACCAATGGTCTTGTGCCCTTGATGGCTTGGAAGCGAGTGTCAGTTTTTTCTTTTATTCTTCTGATGTGCTGATTAAACAAGTTTTTGATTAGTTCCTTGAAGGCTGCATTGAAAGACAGCCTGATATCATCCTCTCAGAGTTTCAAGATTCCATTTTTTTTTCTTTGGCGAGCACTCCACCAAATAGTCTACACCAATTTTTTTCAGACTTGGGCTATCACACTTATCACACCAGCCACACTCAGTACTGAGCCAAATATTCAAGTCTCCCTAAATTTTAGATTTACTACATTTTAAGCTCATTCGTAGTTCCGCTCTGTACACTAACTCATTGGATAGGTCTATCATTATGAAATCAGCCGTAAGTTCCAAGTCAAGTGCTGAGTGCTGCAGTTATTGCTGCAGCAGCGAAATTCGGACAGACCCGCCTTATTAGAGGCAGGGAAAGCGTTCGTTGATTTGCCTAATATGTGAGGTAAGCGGTGCCACACAGGTGTTCAATCTTTCGGTTTCAACTGTCTCGTTCCCTTTTCGGTTTTTTGCTCCCTCGTTTTTCTCACGTGTATCTCGAAACGAGAATCTCACTAGGTTCCCCGTGCTCTGCTCCATCGATTCACGCGTCCAAAACTGTGACCAATTAGATAGTCTACTTCTTGCATGTATTGATCCATGAGAGAATTGAAATCAACACACACAATCAAGGCCTGTCTTTATCAGATGGTTTGTTGACGAATTCATTGATTGGGAAAACATCTTCTACTTATTTCAATGAAAATTGTCTCTGTTGTTGCACAAACATTACAGAAAAAAACAAGGTCAGCGGTACCGTGGGAGGCTGAGAGTGTTGTGCTTTTTCCAGATGGACCGACTTGGAGTATGATTGTAGCGATGACCTTTGCCCAATCCACGATTCTGAAAACAGAGTCAAGGAAAATTATTTCATGTTTGTCTCGAAGACATACTTGTTTGCCGACGCTGGTAAGGCCACGAGCTTCGCGGCGCTTGTGTACCGCCTTAGCAATCCAGTTGATGGTTGGGTCACGACGAACCTAGGAAGCAATCATTAGACTGGAAAAGAAAACCAGTACACCAGAACTCACAGCCTTATGACTTGGATCAACCAGGATAATTTCATAATATTTGTAAACACCGTCTTGATTTACCCAGTATGAATTGAGCACCCTCAAATTTCCACATCTCTTTCCAACACGCTCCTCTGCCGTACTCCTTAGACTGCGCTGGAATTTCAGATGATTGACTCCCTGTCGCACCGGTTTGCCGTACGTGGCACCTGGTCGAAATTGCAGCAAAAGAACGCTTGTATTATGAAGGTAAAAATATACCTTTAGGGACGGGCTTCTTGCGGTTACCACGTCTGACACGAATGCGATAAATGACATATCCTTGTTTGGCTTTATAGCCTAATCTACGAGCTTTATCGGGGCGGGAGGGTCGGGAAGCACGATGGATCACATTGAGCTGACGATATTCCCAGCAACTGCATTCAAAACATCAACCAATCCATCTCGTCAGATATATCAAATAACACACCGAACGCGAAGCAGAAAACGGAGTATATCAGACTGCTTCTTCTTGTATAGCTCGCTGATATACTTGTACGCACCCATGTTGCAACCTGGATAGATGATAGTGAGCATATGACAATCAGTAATCCACCCGTGTTTCCTGTAATCCATCAACTAGCACCCCTCCAATGATGCAGGTGAAGATCCGAATACCGCAGTCTGCAAATAATAAAATTCCCTCTCACCTCTCGATGTTAAGACCTTGGTATCGAGATGTTGGCAGCAACGTCAACGTTAAGAAGAACAATGGTAAATGAGATATGATGGCAGCGTCGGAGTTGTCGGAGCTTATTCGTTACCAGTGACGAGCGTGACTCAACCAAACTTTGAGTTTACTACTATCGTGGGATAGTAACAGGCTCCTACACCGCCGGCAATGCCGCACCTCGCTTGAGTATATCACGAAAAATGACTGTCCAATATTTGTTTGATACAGAACTTGACCGAAACGGGTGACTACCGTGGGTAGTAAGGCCTTATATCTCTAAGCATCGCCCCAGGCATGTTAAATTAGTCCAAAATCTTACATTAGTATGTCCTATTCTTGAGCCTTTAGACTAACACAAAAAGGCCTATACCAGACAAAATTTCTTAGCATACAAATTGACCACTGATCTGGGACATGGCAGAGGTGGTCGTCCAAAAGCTCTGTCTGATATAGCAGCGATATTGATGAGATCTACATATGCAGCCATGCCAGTGCACTAGGCTCTTGATGTTGCTATCACTTCAATATTCAAGGACTCAGCCCATGTACGAGGCTCACAAGTTCATTGATTGGCTACATGCAAAACATCAATAGTGAGAGAGAAGAAACATATGATGGTAAACACAAGCTAATTGATGAGAGGGTACAGATAAAATAATGCAGCATATTTAACAAAGGCTGGCCAGATGTCGTCTAGAATGCCCATCTGAAAGTTGCTTGTCAGGATCTACCTGGTCCGAGTTCTCCAACCATCTTTCCATATAATCACCCTCCATCAGAATCTTTGCATTCCAAACTGGCCACTGACCTGCTGGAAACTTGGGAAATGAAGCAATAAATGCCATCCAAAAGGCATCACGACCCCAAGTCCACAGATCCAACTCCAAATCCACAGAAGTGACCAGCCAGTTGTGGATCCCAAATGCAATAGGCTGCCACTGGTTAGAATTAGTGAAATTGAATGTTGGTGGGAAAGTGAAAAATGGCGACTCAAGGGCCTCTGTAGTTGGTGGTTCAAACTGATCAGCCTTCACAGATACAGACTTACAAGGATATTTAGCGGAGGGTAAGCTCAAAAGTTTAAAACTTACATGTTCTGGTGGCTCACAAACCAGGTCCTCAAATACACAAAGAGGAGAAGTACAGAGCACAAGTAATGTGAAATTACTGTACTCGCCAGAAATTGAAACTGAGATCTTGAGCAGCTACAGGTTTTTTGTGAGTCTTCTAATAAAATATGATTGAGATGTAACTCACTACATCTGCTCTTCAGAAATTGTGAGGCAATAACCCCACAAAACACACTGGGACCAAAAAGGGCTGGAGAGAAGTCTGCTCCCTTCTCTTGTGGTGTGCAGTAAGCCAGAATATATGAATGAAGTTGAAAGGGTCCTTGACATTGACAATGTCTTCACAGCAAACTGAATCAATGTCTGTTCAATCACCAAAAAACATGCCCTGCGTCCAATTGTTGAAAATCATAACAAGTGCAAATAAAATACCCATGTGACTCAACTAATGTATGTCCATGTACAAACATTCAAGTGTGAGTGAACAAGTGTTTGCCAAATCATATCTAGCAGCCATAGACACTATGCCAAAGATCAGCAAGAAAAAAAAGACAACCAATCTACAAGATGGGTAAGCAAAAGCAAAAACCTATTCTTTTTGAGCTCACACTTTCATAATAGTATTCCAACATTCTGCAACTAGAAAGGTTGTGTGTTTGGCATGCCCCAAGCATAGAGGTGCATATTGCACTATAGAATTGAAGCATGTTCCCAATCATGTGAAGACATAGCTGCATCAGTATCACTCCACATACTTCCTGCAAGGCAAAATTCCATCCTCACTTCTTACAGCTACCTCCAACCACACTGTCTAGCTTGACACCCACAAACTCTCTGTTCTAGCCCTCTTATACCTCAAGTGCTGCTTCCACCCAACACCAATGGACTTAATGTCAACATAGGACAGCAATATAAAGGAGAGCTTGAAGGTGCAGGGGAGCTAAACCAAAGTATGTCAGCATGTCTCTCACAGCTTGTTCCACACTGACTCATAGCATTCTCCATGATATTACATTTACAGGCTCCAACTTTGCAGATCTCCTACTGTCTCAGTTAAGGGATGAATCTTTTGGGGAATGCACAATTGATGTTGACTCTGGGATGGAGACCTATTTGAGGAGATTCAAAGCACCATTTCCACCAGAGATGAAGATTTGGTCCCATTTCTTGTGGCTGCATTAAATGATAAACTTGCCATTGAGGACAACTCTCCAGGTATTGTTGTTTCAAATGCATTTGGCATTGTCATACCAAGTAAGCACTCTTCTTTATATTGTGTTTAATACCATTAAATATGCTTACTCCTCTTATCAGATAATACAGGCCCAAACACAGTTCTTCGCTACAATGACAAATTCTCCAAAGTCCCACCATATTAACCATGGCCATCACTTGCTGTATAAACTATTTGGTCTAAGTGCTAAATGTGTACTGATTACTTCTAAATAGATGTTTGCTACTAATCTCTTATTTAGCTCCCCTTGTCTCCAATTTTATGAAGGACAAAAGAGTGCAATCCTCAATTGGGCTAGAGAACTAAGAGCACCTGATGTTTTATTGCTTGGTGCTGTGATAAAAAGTCAAATTTTCATCAAGGATCTTGTAGGCAACCCAACGTGCAAAGTTACTTCAAAATTGGGCAACATATTCTATTTCAACAATGTTGCAAAAGCTATTGCAAAGGTAACTAATTTGTAACAAAATTGTTCTATAATAATGGTGCTGACTATTAGGTAGGATTATGCCAACCCTATAACCTGCTTTGCAATGCAAGATTATCCTGAAGATGCAAGCAAAGGAATGACACAGGTAGGATTATGCCAACCCTATAACCTGCTTTGCAATGCAAGATTATCCTGAAGATGCAAGCAAAGGAATGACACAGGTTTTTCATGGCAAAAAAATGCTGTTGGGACTCCCCTCGGAAATAACACCTCCCCCAGTTTGTGTTGATGGCACCATTTACTTTGTCAATGAGCATGATACTGGTGAATATTTTATTCCTGTACAGTTTTTTATAGCCGCATACAGGTCAAATTCCAAGGAACCATATTCCCTTGGATATAATGTTAAGTGTAAAAATGTGAGTCATCCCTGTTCATTTGTTATAATTGGTAACTTCTCACATATTATAGGCTTGATTTATTGTAGACAATGAACAAGCCATTCTTGCAACATTTTCTTTTATTTGAAACTTTGAGGATATCTCAAGCAATTATGGATGAGTATGGATGTGGTTTCACAGCATCTACAACAGAGTATAGTGAGCTTATGCCTAACCCATGGCATGCAAAAAGTGGAGGCCTTGTGGTGTTTTCTGTGCCACTGATTATTTTTATGGATGGTGTCTCTGGTTAATGTCTGTAAGCAGTGGAACAAACATTATGCCATCTATTTGTCCTTTGCTAACATGCCTCGTGAAATCATAGAAAATAAATTTTGTGTTCATTTTGTCACATCCTCACCCCATGACACACCCATGGAATTGATGCAGACAATGAAATAATCAATACAGCAGGGCTTAATGTATGTTCAAAATTCATTTACTGATTTCAATATACACCCTCCACAACATCAAGTTTGTCCTATCTCCAACCTGTCATTCTATACACCAACAATGTATGGTGTTTCCATGGCCACATACTCTGCTATGCTAACACATCTGCCGACACATCCTGTCCATTTGGCTTTCTTCCAGCACACTCCACCCGCTTTTGCTTCCTGCAAGTCCATAGACTCTCCTTCACAAATACATTCCCAACAGAAAGTATCCCCTTCAGCTCACACTCAAAGTTTCAACTAAGTTATGATAGCTCCTTTCTGTATTGAATGTAGTAAAATCAAAGCAAAAATTGCATAGTTATATATGTGTATCAACATTCACTCTCACCCCAGCTCAGATGCTCAGAACACCTAACTGGATGACACCATTTGTGATTGGATTCACTAACTCTTTGCCCTTTGCTGTTTATTAAGGCCAACCCAGCTATTTTCAAAGTGCTGCAAGCTGTATTTGAAGATCCTGAACTATTAGAGATGTTAGCAGGTAGTGTACAAACAAAGCTAGCTAGTGTAAGGAGCAACCTAAAGGGCAACATTAGTCTTTGTGTAAATTAATAGACACGCACTCATTTTATTTACAGTTACTACTTTCAATTTAAAACTGCACTCACATTATCAAAATTGCAAAGAATGCAGCACCCCGAGGTGTCGTAGTGAATATCCCTCATTGAAGGTGTATGGCTTTCCTGGTAAGATGGCTTTGTTAAACACCTTAATGAAAACTGACTGATAGGTTATGCAACAATATTGTCTATGGATATGAATTTACTATTTGATTAATGGTGGTGAGGAAAATACCCCATTGACACACATGTATTCAATGGCCCTCAACTCAGATGTCCCAAAAAAATACTCACCTGGATTGATGATGCATTACAAGTTAATGATATTGATGGCCACAGAGAACAGGATGGTAGTTTAGATAAGATATGGCAGGAAGAGGACTTAAACAAAGAGCAGAGAGATCTTCCTAACAATGGTGATATTGATGCACCGCATAGTCAAAATATGCCCGCACATAGCCAGGCAGCTGGCATGGCGGTACAAGGTGACAACAATGTCAGCAAAGATCCTGCAGTGGTTAACGTTCTTAAATCTGAGCGGCAAGAGGAGAAGGACAAGTGGAAACGGTTTCAAGCTGCAGAAAAATACTGGAACTTTGTCAATCATCAACTTGTAAAAATGTGGACAAAAGCAAGGAATAATACCATGAACCAGGCTGAACACAAGTCAAACCTAACACAGCATGTGCTACTATATGTCTTAGGTCTACTGCTAATTTGGTTAACCATTACAGGGAATTTGATCATATTTTACAGCTGGATCTGGCTGAATACCCCGGCCCAAAGAAGTCATTGAACCTTAGGCAGTCAGTCTGTGATCCCTGAATGGCAGAATTCAATCCATACTTTGGTAGATAATTTGTCCTTCAGTATGTGTGCAAGCTTTTGTTTAGCATTTTGAGATTTTCTAGAATATATTGAGTACTTTTAACACCTTGTTGTTGCATAATACAGTGTTTTTGCCCATTGCACCTAAAATTGGTAATGGATGTGAAACTCTCTACAGTCCTGTGATAGAAACAAGGCTCTCAATAGCCCTGTTACAATATACAATTTTTTGACTTCAACTTTTATTCTCCCCTTTAACCTTCTCTATCATTTTTGGACACTTGTGTCATGCGGCACTCTTTTTTTATTTCAAAGTCCATTTATCCTTTACTTTCTTGTGCTGCACTGCCTCCTTTTATTTATAGTTACAACTCTCTCATGTGGTGGAGCTGGTCACATGGGCTGCACCCTATGACATCATCAGCCACCACTTTCATCAACTGTATAGTATATATGTACAAATAGTCTGTAGTCATATATAAGCCCCAATAGATCAAGGAGACTCCTCAGCAAGTTCTCTTGTTGAATACCATCAACTAACTTAGTTCTATCTAAGGAAGTTTATCCACTCCTCCACTCAAACCTCTTTGCTTGTCTTCCCTATGTGCCAGAGTATAAAAAATTTGGTTGTAACAGCCCTCAGATACTATGTATGCCTCTGATAATTATTGGCAATGCCTCACACAAGTATTGCTACAGAATACCAGCTGTATAGTCTATTAAAGGATGCACTGTACTCTGGCTTTCTGTATTGGCCTGTATCACCCTCCCACATCTAACAGAGGCTCTGAGTATATAGGCACTATACAAGTTTTTGAGGCCTTTGGATATAATTGGTGCAAGTCTATCAGATATATGGCGCAAAAAGGCACCTTAGATGTGTCATGAATATAAAATCAGTCTTTTGTTTTCAAAGCTTGCACATATATACAGGTTAACTGACGGTGTAGAGGAGGATAATTGCTAGAGCAAAAACAATTAGATATTGATAAGATAAGATAAGACAATAAAATATTCAAACCCAGCACCACCTTGATCCTTGCTCTCTCTCCACAGCAGCTTGCACTTAACATTTTTTTTGTAGAAAATGGCCAGCCACAGTTATGGTGAAGGCAGACTCTCAAAAAAAGAGATGTAAAACTTAATCAATAGAATTAGGGCCTGTTTGGCAGCATCTGTTTCAAAATGAGAGCCATTTGCAAACACACTTATTTTGAAAGACTCTCAGCACAAATAATATTTCTCATGCTATGTCACACCATTTTACATGCATTTCTGGATTATAGATTAAGTAAGATAGGTGTCATCCACAACCAACACCATCATATGATGTGACTTGGCCTGTGACTACTGGTGTGATAAGGCAGATCACCAACTTGAATTTATGTCATTTTTGCCACAAAATATCTATCCTGTCTTACATGGCACCATTTTTGTTAGTTCTCCTTACAGAATTATATTTGTATTCACTGAGTTCAGCTTTTCTCTGAAACAAAAACCCCAAATAATCCATATCAAGCAAGAAAAGATAGCAAGTTTCTGGTTTGTCAACAAGTGTAACACTTTTCATCACATGATCACATGATAGCATCAAAGGCCTATTTTATCTTATCAGTACATTGCAATGTGACAAGCTAAAAATGAACTATGTTGTTGAGTATATCAGCTTGTTCCAAAATGGCACCATTTTAAAATGAAACAAGACTTTTTTGGTGGGTGACATTTTGAAATGGTGGCTGCTAAACAGGCCCTTAATTCTGCACCGCTTCTGCTTCTAACTTGAGGCATGACTGCCCTAGCACCGTCTCTTGCTGCAGCAGCCCCATCAGATCCCACAGTACCTGTGCATCATGTCAAAATTTCTGTGCAATGTTATCCAAACAAAACTACTCGGTCTGTTTATTGCATTGGCTGCATTAAAGGGGTTAAGCTTGGTAACACAGTCTGTCCTGGCATAAGACTTGGTGGAAGGCTTCTTTTTGAGACTGTTTGTTATACACAAAAGGGTGATTTTAATAAAATAGGGAACACCAACTGTGCCCAAAGATTTAAAGAGGCTATGAGTCTGTTGAATGAAATTCATTGAGAACACTTTCAACACAATATTGCATTGTGTATGTGTTTTTTTATTGTCTTTTTCTTACAATAGAAGGAGCTTCAAGAAATTACAAATTTTAAATGCAAGCCGCTGTGGAGAGAGAGCAAGGAGTAAGTTTGTGACGGGTTTGAAAAATAAATATAACATCTATTAATAACACTACTCTATACTTTTCCCCCTATGCTCTTGGAATATCTCCTCTCCTCTCAGAACAGTGTGGTTTTGGAGGGGCCTGGGATAGTAAGTGCCACCTTAATATCATGGTATCTAAAGTTTATAAGTCCTACCATTATTGGACACTGGATGCTTACTTACTAACTAAGGGCCTGTCAGCCTCCGTTTCTAAGGAGAGCTGTTTGCAAACCAATCTCCTACCCACCCTCTATTTTAAGAGAGGAGGGATTTATCCTCGTGGTTTGATGTGAGATGATATACAAAATTTTGAAAACTTCTCACACATCACATGACTTGAAAATTTGAATGTCCCTTGCTCTTTCTCAATAGAGTCTGGAATATAACATTTGTAAACAAATATTTACGACAGTGACGGTTACTGATGGTGAATAACAGACTTCAAAATCATAGCACAGCAAATAAGAGTAAATATGAGTATCTGCAAACCAGCAAATATAATATTTTATCTTAGCTCCTGGTTTCCATCAATACTTGGAAAGGTAATATGCCCAATTGATAGCTTCTTGCACCAGTCCAATCAATCTTTCACTGGATGAGATCCAAAATACAACATAAGATGAACTGTGACATAAACAATCCTGAGTATTGTATTCACTACTCATGTAAGGTTCCCAAGCTGCCTAAATTTCACAAACACCCCTGCATTGATAAGCAACAAATGACTCCACAAGATCATGTTCTATGCAATGCACTAGAGGATTGGTGAGAGGAACAAACCACATTTTATGGTGAGGCAGTCCTTGTAACAATAGACATTTCCAGCACCTACCTTAGCGCTTACTTTTACTTTTACTGTACTTTTACTTTTTCATTTTCCAAGTCACGTGACTATTTACTTCAATTTACTTTTCAAATTTTCTATAGCCACAATACTTTACTTTACTTTTTGGACTTTCTATAGCCACATGATTGATCACGTGACATATTACCTAACCAGTGTCTAGACTCAACATGCTCCTTCTTGTCCTGCTTCTGTCAAGATTACCAGCAGCACCTCTCCAGTCATGTCTGAGCTTTGCCTCTTCTGCTATATCTGGCCTATTAGTGAGGACAATTTGATGTGGTGCCTGTAAGCAGGAATAACACACAAGTGTGTCCGTGTTTGTTGGCCTCTATTCTTTGCTGACTCAGTTTTACTACTACATGTGTAGCCGCACCTGCAGCATATCTTCCTACTTTTCATATTCCAAGTCATGTGACTGATCACATGACCCTTTTATTCTACTTTACTTTTCGAACTTTTTATAGGCACATGATCAATCACGTGACACATCACCTGACCAGTGTTTAGACTCAACATATGACTAGTCACATGCTGGACATTGGAGTTTTAACTTTATTTATCAACTATATAGTACTATAGTACCTTATGTATTGTAGTATATATACTGGAGCAATACATGGGGAAGGAATCAGTGAGTCCTCTTCTAGTGTATACCAACATTAGTATGACAACATCCTGCTCTTGATGAGTTGTACTATTATTCCTTGAGTTATAGTCTCTGTGGTTATGCTCCAGTGCCCCAAGATAGTACCTTGTTGGCGTTGTCACATTTTCCTAATGTGGGTTCTCGGCCAGATGTCTATGACCTGGGGCTTGGGGAGGGTTGTGTGCTGTGCAAGCATGGTGATTTGCTTGTCTATATCCCAGAAAATGACATCCAGGATTGTGTTAGTTGTCTCTGACCTCCTACCAGAAACCATGCCCACAGCTGAAGCCAAGGCCTCAAAGTCAATATCATAATCAGGCATCTCAAGGAAATGCTTTGTTTGCATATTTTGATATATGTATGCCATCCACCAAATTGTTGGCCTTTAGAAGTTAGGGGAATAACACAAATGATAGGAATAGTTGGTGTGGTCAGTTTTGATAAATCTAAGTGACACTCAGCCGCTGCCTAGGAGGCTATAGAAATAACTATATTATTTACCTAAAACTACAATTAGTTTAAGATGATCTCTAATAAATGTAATGTAACATACCTCAGCCGCTGCCTAAGAGGCTATAGAAACGACTGAGGTATTCCTATACTAAACCCCCTACTACTTATAGTCAGAGGTGCTACTCGCTACAGTATAATAACTCCTAGGAGAACAATGGTGACTCCATGAAGCAGCCATTATGCTCCATGGAGAACAATAGCTGCTTTGGCAGGGATAGGGTTTATCCATTTTTGTCAAGTTTGGCCTCAGTTACTGGAGGATAGAGGTTGTCAACTGATTGTAGTTGCATGCAAGATCTCTGGGGTGTGCCTTGATCTCCTGGGCTGGAAGAATATAGAGGAATTAGATCAATTAGATTGGTGTCCTGTTAGACTTCAAAACTTGAATAATACACATAGGGGAATACCCTATTCCTTACTTTTTTGTGAGGAAGGAAGCTACCATTATCAATAAGCAGAAATGTAAGAACTTCTAGAGTCTACCTTCAAATAGCTGGTAAGGACTGACTGGAAGGATCAAATACAGTCATGAGGGCTAAGAAGACAAAAGTCTAATAGGCCCTAACCATGATAAAACCAAAGAATCAAAAGGTTCTATAGTAAAATAGCAACAAGTAAGAAAAGGGTAGAACAAAACAATATTGCACTACAGAATAGTGTAGTATAAGCCATGAAAACAGAGAAACAACCAATGCAAGAAGCAAAGGGCAAGACTTTGATAGAAAAACTAACAGCAAATCAATGAACACAACTCAAGTATGAGGACATCACTGGGGGAGTACCATTAATACCTCCATTTAGAGAGGTGAACCACAAAATACCTCTTATTTGACCAGATGAGAAGTATGTGATTCACCTCCCAAGATGTTCAGATATCATAAAGCTGCAATTTGCGGCAAAAATAGACAAATATACCACTGCAGATTGGTAGTATGCTCTTCAATATATTAGAGACTGCTTAGCAAGTTCTATGGGTGGTCCCTAATAGATAGACTCAGTATTTGTAGCAAACATAATGCTTAATATGTTATGAAATATTCTTTAATGAAATGTAACTCAGTTCTCATAGATAGAACTGAGGTGTCAGGTGAATATTATTGTACAAAAATATGGCAGAAATGGAGAAGTCCAAATTCTATTCACTAATATAGGTATAAGTCTCTTACACATGTTGGTGAGTGCTCATTCCTTATTATTGTTGCTGCAACATATCTTTACAATACTTAGTGCTTATAGTTCAACAAGTGTCATTGGTTACATAGTGTAGTCACAGTATTGGTAACAACATTATCCATGGATGTATAACAGCATGTACTGCATGCGTAGTGATGGTAAAGTTGGTCCAGTCAAACTCAGTCAAACCTGTAACTAATTAATGTCGGTGTATCTGTTTACAATACATTTACATCCTATTCTTTATTTTTCATTTTAAATTTGACTCACGCTTCAGTCATGTTTGACAAAATATGTTGGTCATATATCAGTGATAAGCCTGATTAGCGCTTGGTGAAAGGTTTACCAAACAATTTAAGCCTAGCTTAGTACAATATTGTGTCAAGTTGTTTATGGATAGCAAACTTTCCAAGGTCTACCAAAGGTATCTGGGTGGTATCGGAAGTATAGAGTAGCCATTTCTAAGATATATATAGAATTGATTTTTTTATGGCTGAGCCAGTGGCATCTCTTCAATGTTTATTATAGATGTTTTTTCACCATTGTACAGACCATGCAAAGACATCCATAAGAGCTACACCATGAGTATGGCCACAATGTAATTCTGTCCCGGAAAGCAATCAAGTCATTTCACAATTCAAGCAGCATCTCATTGCCCAATAGATTAATAAAGTCAACAAAAAACTCATAGTACATTATCTGTAATGAGGACAAGACAAGTACACAAAAGGACAAAGACCTGGAGCTTAAATGGCTTGCTTAATAGGTCTGAGTTTGATTATCTTATTTTTTTTGCTTCCCAGCCAGAACTTGCACCTCACCAATTTTCTTTCCCAATGGTACGTCAATCTGTTTGTTCACGCATTCATTTATTTTCTATTGTATGGTACAATAATACTGTGGCATGCTGTAGTACAAATTATCAATTATGATGAAGTAGACACATGTCAAAACTACTGAGACATTCACAAGGTGTTAATATAACATTGTGGATATTGTATCAGTAAAACAAATGGACCAACTACACTTGTCAACATACTTGGATCACTACACAAAGGCCTTATGCGATCCTTTTGTACTATTGCGTGGGATGCATTATTAATACCTATTTTACTGTTGTAGGTCATATGTTGACAAATCACACCTTACAAATATCTCCGCAGACCTTTGTGAGAGGTCGTGCTCGTTTACCCTTTCGGAGAGGTTGGACCAGATTAATGGTGTACTTGACCGCTTTTCCATTACATTACATAAGCTCAAAACTTTCCCACACTTATTCCAAAAACTCATAGCACTCTGCCTTACACAAACCTCAGTCTTTTAATTATAAGACTGAGGTATGTCTGGTTAATTTACAGTTCACTTTATATCATTATACTCACTTTACACTGTTAGGAATACTCTCTTTTAGTCTTCTCATAGCCTCACATTAATACCCCTACACTTGCAAGTGCAGGGGGACATGGGGTGATGCTAGAGGCGGATACTTGAAGTAGGGCCCAGATGATGTTTTAACATGTCACCTGGGTTCCCCCCTCAAGTGGCACAGTCACTCAGATAGAAATGTTGGAACATATGTTTAACTACCTTAGCTTTGTGCCAGCAGTTGAACTGTGAGTAAACATTCCATAGAAAATGTTCCACTACATCTTACCAATGATCACGTAGTATGTTATCATTGTCTAGGTATATAATATCAAGTCTTGGTGTTGTGCAAGCAGTTGAACTTATATGACCATTGTCTAGAACTAGAATACTGGCCAGCTCACAGGTGGAGGAGAGGAGAGATGGTGGTGGTAGTGGAGGAGGAGGAGGAGGAGAAGGAGGAGGAGAAGAATATCACTTATCCAAACTGAACTTTACCATCCCTACATGGTAGGGCATGCTGTTACAAATATGGCACCTTTCCGTTACTTCATTATCAAACTCAATAGCCACTGTTAAGTTCAAACCTGGACCGAACTATCCAAACCCGGTTTGGTTGGTTCAGTCCAGGTTCAGTCCGGTTCAAGCACTTAAACTACAGGTTTGGTTTGGGGTTCAGACCAAAGTGTCTGAGAACAGAACAGAACATTAGCATCCCTACCCGGGAACGCAAGCTTCTCCCTGTTTTCCTGACATTGATGTTGTAGGCATCTGATAAATTCTTGTAAATGCAGCTAATACATTGTTCTGGCAAATCACTTTAGCACCAAATTATTAACTTTGCCTGGTTGTAACAGCTCTTCCTTGATTTCTTCATTTACTGGCCATTCAAGTTGTACTCCAAATGTTATATTTAGGTATACAAAAAACTGTTGTTGACATAAGTAATCCCTGATATGCATTTCGGTCTTTGGCTAAAACGCTGGGAGTTACATCGGCAACTGCCGCGAACATACTGTATAGTTATAATGATGGTGGCTGCCACGTCGGATATTCATACCCTACTACCCTACTCGTCAGGGCCTCTTAGGTATGCTAACTTCATTTTGTCTGGCTAACGACTCATTTCAGTGATTTTGATAGTCCACAATGTCTTCCTTCTCTTCGACGTCTATTGTGATTGACGGCAAAGGACATTTGCTCGGTCGATTAGCTTCCATTATTGCAAAGCAAATTTTGTCTGGCCAGAAAATTGTGGTTGTAAGATGTGAAGAGATCAATATATCTGGCAGTTTTTTTCGTAACAAAGTAAGCATTCTGTTGCATGATTCATTTCGATAATATAACTGTTTGGTTATCAGTTACGCTACCACAACTTTCTTCACAAGCGCCATATTGTTAACCCTAAAAAATCGGGCCCCTTTCATCATCGTGCTCCATCCAAAATTCTTTTCCGTGCCATTCGAGGAATGACTCCACACAAGACTGCTCGCGGTGCCGCTGCCCTTGAACGTCTCAAACTATATGAGGGGATGCCTAAGCCATATGATCACCAGAAAAGGATGGTAATCCCTGCTGCCTTGCGAGTGTTGCGTCTCAAGCCTGGCAGGAAGTACTGCACGGTCAAGGTAAGTTTTGTTATTGATATGTACATGACTGTGGTCAATATACATCGTTTCTAGCGCCTTTCTCACGAGGTTGGATGGAGGTACAAAGAGGTGGTGGAGCGCCTCGAGGAAAAAAGGAAAATCAAAGCCCAAGCATCCCATGAACGCGAGGTACGTAAACAGCCAGTTCTGCATTATCTTGTAGCTTAACTCGATCGGCACTTCAGCATGCAGCCATGAAGCTGCACAACCAGATTGTTAGCGAGACTTTTTCCTCTAATCTTTCATCCTTTGGCTATTAAATACCGCTCCTTGATGGTCAATGTAATGCTCAGTGTTTCGCGGCGTACTGCAATGTATCCAATTAGAGGAGTAAAGTCTGCTCGGATGCACTTCATTGTTTACTGATATTAGCTGTTGCATATGAGATTCCCTAGTTGCTCTCTAACTGTTTTTACAGGTCCCGAGTAACGTGGAGTGTGCGATTATAGCTAGCAATTAAGGGTTCCTCGTGAGATTGAGGATAATCCTCCTGATTACGGTGGATCGTGGTTCGAGATGCCGCCTCCGGCAAGTACTTTTTAAAAACAGCCACATATATATATACGTAGTCTTAATCAATTGGTTACCACGTCGCGTCAACCAGTAGTATACGTAGCGAACATATGAAATAAACAAAAATTCTGTCAGTAGGAAACACATTTGAACGGCGTCCAAGCAGCATTTCGTCGCTAGATTCTGTCAATGCCAACCCCAGTCGGTACATCCAAACCATTCCAATTCAATACACCCATCGGCCATGCTCTTGCACGCAAAATACTTGCGAAAACATTGCCATTTGAACCACATGACTACCAGATTGAAGGAGTGTGTCAATGCCTGGATGGCAAGGACCTCCTGGCTATAGTTCTGACAGGAGGTGGAAAGACGACATACTTTTATATGTACATGTTAATTCTAATTGCAATATCCAAAAAGCCATCTCTATGCAGCCCTCCAAAATATGTTCCGGCCAATCCAGCCATGGTGATTGTTTCCCCCACTAATGGTCTAGAAGAAGAGATGGTAAGTTGAGTGCGACCCTCTAAAGATTTGATCTATTTACCTTATGACATTTACCACCAGTACACATCCCAGGAACTTGAGTTAAAGAAATACAATCTGAAAGCGCTGGCAATAAACAGCCATACTCTGCATCAGGCCCGAGTGGCAAGACAAGAAAACCTGTGGCTTACTGCTTGCAAATATTCCTCAATGATACTACTGTCCCCGGAACAACTCACATCTCCATCCATTGAGGATATGTTGAACAACAAATCCTTTCGTCTACGCATAAGTGCCATAGGAATAGATGAAATCCACTTACTGGACACATGGGGTGTTGGAATTGTCAAGGTCAAAGCCTGGGCCTTGTCAGACAACATTGTGCAATTGAGTGTTGTCCAAGGGCTGGTAGCTCAGTTGGTTAGAGCACTGCCATATATAGGCAGAGGTCCTGGGTTCAATCCCCGGCTGGTCCAATTTGCTTTTCTGTACTCTCTGAGTCCACTGTGGATTATTACATGGGGGAATGGGTTCCGCAATGCCTTCCAGAAAATCGGTTATGTGGCTGCACAAATGCCATCCTCAGTAGTTGAGATAGTTGTCACAGCCACATTGACAGCAGGACCTGCTACCAAGTGAGTGTGTCAGTTTCTTGGACTACAAACTGGACAGTATCACCTTATAAGACACTGCAATGTACAGCATGCTGTGTGTCTGTCCATTCAGGAGCTTGACCATGGCATAAGCGGCTGGAACTTCCCACAACTGAGGTGGGTACTAGAGAACGACAAAAAGTTCATTATTTTTTGTCAGACAATCAATCTTCAATTCCGACTGCAAACATACCTTTTGAAACATGCACCTAACCGCTCCAACCTCTATATTCAAATCAGAATGTATAATTCACTCAACTCACCTGAATTTAATGCAGATACCCGTTGCCTTTTTTGTGATGATCCCATGGCTCACATCATCAATGCCACAAATGCCCTTTGTATTGGATACAACCCAGTTGACATTTCCACAGTCATAATGGTTGGTTTTGTGCCCAATCCAGATGAATTCTTCCAGAAAATAGGCCGCATAAGACTGGGCACCACAAGGACAGAGACACAAAGAGGAATTACAGTGACTCCAAAAACCGTTGCGATATTTGGCCTAAATGCGGTGTGCAAAGTGCACCGCCAACAGGCGTAGGAATTTTGCTCAGCTTTGGTGGGGTTGACAAAAGTACAAGTACTTGGTCTTGACTACAAAATGGTTCCTGGGTCATGTGATTTGGCCCAGTGGTTGTGAAGATATGTCCATTTCAAAACAGCAATACCATTGCAACAGTTTTTTCACTTTTGGTATCAATGGAGATATCTAGGGAATATCAATACTTGTATATAGCCTCCTTTTGCCTTGAGCACTACCTGAATACTCCTAGGCATGCTTTCAATCAAGTTGCGACGCTCTGCAACTGCTATTTTCTCCCACTCCATTTGATTCCTCTCCCACAACTCCTTCATCCCATTAGGAGGGTATTCATACCCTGAAAGCCTTCTCTTGAGATAACCCCACCAATAGGATCTAGCCACTTGTTGACCTTTTTGCAGGTATGCTTGGGATCATTGTTTGGCTGAAAGATGATGTCAGGAGGATTGAGACCATAATACTGTAGGGTGTTCAGCAGCTCATCCTTCAAAATCTGAAGGTAAAGGTCTTCATCCATCCTATCATCAATTTTAGCAGCATACTCAACTCCCTCCCAAGTCATACAGCCCCAGATCATCATGGAACCTCCTCCAAACTTGACAGTTCCCTGTACCAATCTATCACTGAACCCCTCACCTGGCTTTTTCCACACCCACTTGTGTCTATCTGACCCCAGGCGATTGATTTTGGTCTCATCGGACCATACAACCTATCCGATTCATTCCCTGTCACTCCTCTCGCTCTTAGACTAGAGATTACAATTGGCATCCTATTACTCTTATCCTTTTTATTTTTATTTTCCATTCATACTCATGTCCTATTGTACTTACGATGAAGGAGAACTGTTGTAGACCCTCGAGAAGATATCCAGATGACATAGCAATGATCCAATGCTATGTCTGGGAATACTTCAGAGGAATATTGATAAGCAAGGTAAGCTATGAATCAGCGCCTTTTCATGGGCTTACTGATACAGCCAATTGTACACTTCTTACCAATACTCTCTCTCACACGATTAGTAAATACGATAGATCTGTTAGTTTTGGTGATTTTGCACCTTTGTGCTAACTATATATTTTCATTCCTTTCTCTATCTATTCTTCTATCGTTCACTATTGATTGTGTTCTCTATTATTTCGCCTTTGTGGCTGCTTTGTTTACCTTTGTTTACAAAACTTCGGACAGTACTGCAGAGTCCAATGCTTCCTATTCTCTAGTTACTCACATTGGACTCTAGGTACTGTATACCTGTCATACTCTCTAATAATACAGTTACTCACATTGGACTCTAGTTCCAGTCCCTGATTGCTCTCAGCAAGTGGCTAGACACTTCCTTCAAGCTTTGTTCTTAATAAGATCAGACCACTTTCTTAACTCTTCCTCTTTTCAGTCCAACCATTGCTATTTACTATATAAGGAAGTACATACTCTATGTATTATTCCTTAGTTCAATATTAGTTTGGATCTGCGCTTATACCAATACTCTTCAATCTCAATACTCTAATCCACCTCCCTCTTCAGGGACTTGGCCAGACATTTTTTGTTATTATATAGCTTTGTATTTGTTGCCTGACACAGTCCAGTCCTTGCGAGCATGAGCAAAGTCCAACCTAGCCTTACAATGCTTGGCAGAGAGAAGAGGGTGTTTTCACTTGACCACAGCCTTCATGTCAGTCTTTTTCAAGTGCTAGCGGACAGTGTTTGGGGAGAAAGGTTGGTTGATAATGTTGGTAAGAGCTTTGGTGATCTAGACAGCATTTTCTGCCTTGCGAGTGGAGATGAGATGCATGACATGGTAGATATTGGCAGGAGAAAGCTTAGATGGACAACCTCCAACAGACTTTTGGAGCTCAGAACACTCCTTGGAGCAAAGTCTAGAGATGGTAGAGACATGAACACCAGTGGTAGAGGCAATAAAGTGAGCAGTTTGACCTGCATCAAGGAGGTTAAGAATCCTGTTTTTTTGAGTAGGAGAGAGGGATTTCATGATGATGGTGGTTGAGAATAAAGAAGCGTGTGAACTTTTTTAAACACAAAAACAATGTTTATACATGTATTTTTGTTTGTGGGACCAAACAAAGCCAGATATTCAATGATATCATTGTGATCTCTGCTTCCAACTCAAAAGTGAGAAAACTGTTGCAATGGTATTGCTGTTTTGAAATAAACATATCTTCACAACCACTGGGCCAAATCACATGACCCAGGAACCATTTTGTAGTAAAGACCAAGTACTTGTACTTTTGTCAACCCCACCAAAGCTGAGCAAAATTCCTACACCTGTTGGCGGTGCACTTTGCACAATGTGTTTAGGCCAAACATTGCAACGGTTTTTGGAGTCACTGTATGTATGTTACAAAAAATGACATGGATGTAGCGCGGGAGCTGGTGGAAGGCGGCAACAGGGTGGTGGGAAGCAAGGGTGAGAAATCATATACTAGGGGCGCTATGATGAACACCAACATGGCACACGTCTTGTCATGGCTTTGTGCATTGTTTCTGAGCAAAACCACCTGTACGCCAACCCATCTGTTGACCCACCTTGCTCCTGCTTATTATGTATGGCTGCTCAAGCCTCCTCACCTCCTTCTGCAATGCCACCACCCTGCAATTGTGGTCAATGTGAACCTAAGGTCAATCCCGAGGCCAATCCACTTGCTACCCATGCACCTGTACCACCTGACAATGAGACTAGGAGTAAGAACAAGCCAATCACAAAAGAGATGTGAGACCTTTGTCAAGAAAAGCTTTGAGGAAGGACACTGCCAGGTATTTGCTGCTGCCAGCAGGGTACCAACATATTCCCTTCCAACATGTTTCTCTCAAACACATTGATTAAACGCCTCACTGCTGATCTTGATAATTTCAACTCAATTGAAGACCTTGCATCAACAACAAAGACTTACTTGCTGCTACAGCCATACCTTCATATCCTATGGAACACAATCCAGAGTCTGACAGCCAAAATCCACATGATATGTGAATCTCACCACTTTGGAATCAACACAAAAGCCAGGCTGCAAAGGCAAGTTAAACGTGAGGATAAAGCTGCTTTGTTGTCAACCGAGAAGGATATATTCATCATGGAGACAGGTACTGACAGGTACACTTTCTTTCTGAATGTTTGACCCTATTTACTGAAGTCATTGGTGTAGTGGCAACATTCTCTCAAGCGACATGGGTTGAAATACACACATAGATGTCCCATGTCTGCAGTGCATTTTGAAGGATCCTCAGAGGCTCAGCAAGCCAAACGCAAACAACAAGGGATTGTGGGCCCTCTTGAGGCTCCTAGGCAGTGTACACACAAGATAAAAATTGTAAGCACCTCTATATTTTGTTGTACAATGCTGACAAATGCGTTTTGACAGGACCAAGAGAACACACTGCCTTATTGCCAGGCATCCTCATCTGATGTGCTCCCACCTTCCTCCTCTACTACACTGTCTTCATCAGATAGCCATGGTCCCACTTCATCCTTGCTGTTGTGGCTGTAGTTGACTACAAGTTCATCATCCTCAACATACTGGTCTTCTACAGCTATTATTTTGCCTGTATCATCCATTTGGCGGGTACCGCTTTCAGCTGACTCCTCACTGTTTTCCTCCTCACTTTCACTGCTTTCACTAGCCTCTTTGTTGCTCACAGCCTGCTCTCCATCCTCAATTTTGTTGGCCTCTATTTCTGCTTTGTTTGGTACATGTACCCCTGCCATCAGTCCACGAGACTGCATGGTTTCATTAATCCATTTTTGTAGTTTCCCTTCCCCCAACTTATCCACACCACGGGCAAAATCATTAACATTGTGTCCTCCATATGTACAACCAGTGCAGAAAAAATGCAGTTCTGTCTCACGGTAAGACTATAGCAATGATATGATTTCAGGTTGGTTATGTGGTTCTGGATGTTTACTACTTTTGCGTGTGAGGCCAAGACCTTCTAACATTTTTTTTTTCGTGTGAGAGAATTCCTGGACATTGTGAGAGATGATATTGCACATTAGGACTCCATTCCAGGTGGCATCATTAAGATCATGCGAGACCAAGGACAAGGTTCATGTGTTCTTGGATAAGGTCCCCTGCTTGAAACCTACCCGGAAGGCCTTCAAGATTGACGATCTAGTTTTTCAACAAAACTTCACATAGTTTGGGTGTGCTTTCAAATTTCAATGAACATATTATCTCCAATAGGTATGTCCCATATTTTGTATGGCCCGAGCCGCAAAAAGTGAACAACATCATTTTGAAACACTTATAGGCCTGTCCAATGTCACCAGTAATAACTGTATATGCAAATTCATGAGCCAGTAGTGCATCTGACATGAAATGCATTGATTCTGCGAGTGTGTGGTCACCCTCAAATTGTTCTCGGGTGCTTTCATCAAGGTCTGCTTCATTAGCCTTGACTTTTGGCTGACACTGGCTTTTTTTCTGGGTTTTCTTAGCCTTGCTCTGATATGTAGTGGCTTGGGTTTCAGCAAATGGAGAAACATCACCAGGAGGAAACCACTTGGTGCCCAATGGGATAGGCATTGTATGGTTGGCCATAGACTGAGTAAGTGTTGTTTCATATGAATTAATACTGGTATATTTCTCATGTATTTGACTAGCAGAGTGTTGGAGGGACTCAAATGTTGGTAAATTGCCCTCATGTGCCAAGAATGTGAAGTATTCAAACAAATCTGTGGTTTTGAGGTGCAGCCTCCAGCAGTTGAGCATCTATACATCTAATATTTGATTGACAAGGTGATATGCAGGATAATAGTCTACTTTCTTCAGATTTGGTGGAGCCTTCCGTCTAATCTGGTTGGCAGTGTGTCCAATTGTTGCAGGATTGCTGTTAAGTCCCTCTCCCCAATTTGTTTCAAAAATGCGGCTTAAATTTGTCCACTCGGTGTGCCATAGCTCAAGCATGGGTTCTAGAACATCAAAAGCTTAGAACTCATCCTCATGGAATTACAGATATTGCTTTAATTGGACTATCTTTTCAAATGTAAGTCCATCTCCACCAACTAGGATGAGGTGAGGTTGATAAAAGCTGGGTTCCTGGCCAATTTGTATTTGTGCAGAAAGTCAAGAAGACTCTCCTTCAGTTTAGTTGTCTGGGTCTCATTAAAACCATTTGTGGCCAATAAAAACACATTGCCCTTTCATATGGTAGGTGGCACCTTTGCTACTTCATTACAAAAGAGCTCTGACAATTTGCTTTTGTAATGGCTCAGTCCTGGCACATAAAAGCAGAGGGTTTGAAGCTAGTGGACTGCCATAACACCGGTAATATGTTTGACATTGATGAGACTGAGTAGTGAATTTAGACTGACATTTCATTAGTTTTGTGCCAGAATCTTCTTCTTCTCCTTAAGGTCAGCTGCCTAAGGATCAAAGTCTACAGCTTCAACAACACTTGCTGCTGTGCCTACAATCATTTGGTCTGTCTGCCCCATTCTTTGCTCCCACTGCTTATGATAACATTGTACATTGTCTAGGTGCAAGATAGGCCAGTGTTTGGGGTCTGTTCTAAGTGCCCAGATCTCTCTTGCTTTTTCTTTGGAGAGCTTTTTTAAGGTGAGCCGTGTTGAGCTATATGCCATAGTATTACCAACCTGCAAATTGTAGTCAAAGAGGGTTTGTTGTGTCCATGGGTATGTCTCAAATACCATCTCAACTAGCCACTTGAGTGGCACTCCATCACAGGTGCTTTCTTCTACTCTATTGTTAGGACAGCATGTATCTGTAAGTAAACTGTTGTCAATATCAGGACTTGGGCTTTGGGTTGACAGTGTTTCCTGTAAACCCCTAAACCCCTCTGGCATATCAGGTTGACCCCAGAGCTCCAGTTCCATCTTATTCACATCAGCCACCTGTTTAATCCCCCCCTCAATATCCCCTATCAAGCCCACAACAGACTCAGAATACAATGACCCAAAACTTTATAAACTGCTGAGCCTTGAATGGCAAAGGAATTGTTGATGTGAACAGAGGAGTGTGGAGGACTTGAATCTTGGTGAGTCCTTAAATACTGCTGCTCTTGTTACCACCTCTTCAACATGCACTATCTCAGCTTTCTGCCTTTTGACAGCTTTTATGCAGATTGCAGATCCTGTGTGACAATGGTAAGCATACATAGATGTCTTACTTTGTTCAAGACTAATCCACTTTCTGCACAGATTACACTGTGCCTCCTATTTGTCCAAATCTCATAGTCACTTGTAGGATCATCTATCACAGGCTCCAACCCAGCATCTCGCTCTGCTTGTGGCCTATCTACTGCACTGTCCACATAGGCAATCATCTTGTGCTCTTCAACCTGAGTGACACCTTAACTAATAGCATATGACTTGTTGTAGTCTGCATGATATAAGTCAGCATCATAGTAATGACTGTTGTCACCTTTAAAGCTGTTGCTTTTAGGCTCAGATTCCAGGTACTCTATGACTTCAAGAGGGGGAGGGACCAGATTCAGATCAAATATAAGTCTCAGAGCAGAGAGAGTAGGTGGAGAAGTTTACAAGCCAAAAGGAATAGGGGAGGATCAACCATCCAAATCTCCATATGAGTCCGACACATGACTATAGTCAGATGAAGCAGTATTGCCATGTGGGGTTGATTTAGCAGACATAAATTTTTTTCTCAAAGTCCATTAGCCAGTAGAATGTTACTGCAAGATTATTCATGCAAGTAAGTGCTTAATGGAAAATACTTGATAGTCAGTTTCTAACTCATCAGCCACTTGACCAAAAAAGGCAATTACTCAGGCAAGTTTTTCGGGCCAAGGTGTGCTCACACTCTGCAGACATGTTCTTCATATAAAGTATTATCTCTCCTTACAATGAGACTACATATACCATACAAAAAAAGGTAGCAGAAATTTCAGAAATTGTGGAGTGACCAAATAAGCATGACTAGGGAAGTCAGTGTTTGCCATCCTTATCCTAACACCCCCTTGTTGTGAAGTGATATATTCCTGGACCCGTAGGATCTAGGTTTCCAGAATTCAGTTATCACGAGCATTTTGGGCGGATGTTGGTCCCACTCCTACATCATTAGTAATCTGTATTATTGGTAGTATTTTTCCAGGAGCTTTTATACCCTTTTTGGATAGAACCACATGATTGGCTGTTGTTGAGATACTGTGGGCTTCTTTTTCATTCATTATTTCCTCTGTATTCACTTTTCTATGCATTGGAACATTGAATATGCCTGCAGGGGAGGTGATGACCCGTCCCCTGCCCACTGAGAAGCACTAGTAACCCTCACTTTAATAAGTGATTTCACTAGTGTTCCTGGTACTGTAGGTTACCAGGTCTCCAACCACAATTAGAGACGCAAAACAGCACTGGTTGCTTGGACCAATGTCTCACAATCCGCCACGTTGTTCCCCCACCCCTTTCTCTCCAACTATCATCATCTTGACTCCCCTTCCCTCTTCCTCCTCTCATTGCGTAACATAGGTCAGACCCCTTCATCACCTTCCAACCCTAATGTTGGTTTGTCTCCCGACTATGCCGGTTCATCCCCCATCGTTGGTGCAAGCTCTCCTCAGTCTTCTTGTCCTGCAAGTAGTTCAAATGGTGAACTTTTCTCAACCACTTCACTAGGTAAGAGTACTACTTTGTGTCTTCCCTTCTCTATTGCTTATAATCCCCTTCTTTTCGTCATCATTTACTTTTTTGGTTGTTGTGGTTGTTTGTAGACCTTTCTCTGCCGATTAGAAAGTAATACTGCTGATGATGATGGAAAGGCTGCAGCAACTTATGTATCCACTTATCGCTTGTGACGCTCTTTCAAATTTATGGGTGTATACCACAATGAAAATTTCAGAGAGGTAGACCTTTAACCTATGGGTTCTATCCTTGTAGCTTCCTTTTGAGACGTCCCTCAGCTTCTTGACAGTTTTCAATGTTTGACAATAGCCAACTTAAGTGATATTGCATGTGCTCATGGTGTTCATGTTTCCAAAAGTCCAGTGAAAGCCATTTTGTTGAAACATCTTCTCGTGCATCAATGTGATCACTGTTGTGCTCACTTGACCAATTGTCTTTCATGAGTTGAAATGCAATTGTCAGGGAGCAGACTGTTGCCGAGCACCTGACTTTTGAGCCAACATTGAGACCCGGTCCTCCGGTACAAGAAATAATCATGTGGAACGCTTGAGACGGTCTGCAGCAACTCAATTGCATGCTCAGGAACAACAAACGGCCAATCATCCTTCCCCTGTCTTTCCCTACTTTGCCACGACTGCTGATCGCTCAAACATCATATTAAGGAGTGGGATTCGTCATTGTCAACCATTGTTCACAATCAATGTCCATGTGCTGTGTGTGCTTGTAGATCCCACATCCTTTGATCTCAAGTTGCTGCATAATCAATTTCTGCCTCTCCATACCCTTCCAACTTTGTACAATCTGGATGTGTACCAAGGTGCTATTACGTATGATAAAGGATTGGAAAACACTCATCAGTTAGCTGGCATTTTTATGTGTCCAACATATAAGCACTCCCTTGTTGATCGGGGTAAACAAACCCTTGATTCTTGGGCTAACTTTCAGTGTTATGGCCATGGTGTTTTGCCAAATGATGTTCAAGAGGCAGCCCATGAAAGTTCTATCTTGGATCTTATAATGATTGCCCAAGCACGTTCCACTCAGCTGTCCTATCTTTTTTCTGCAAAGGAAAACAATCCGGGGAAATCTTTCCACTTCCCAAAAATATATTAAAGGAAATATTGTGATCTTGCTTCAAAATACACTAAAAGTCCAACAGTTTCTTCCACCTTCTCGCGCTGAAATTGAAGAGAGTGTATGTGCTCTTTTTGTTGGTGTGGACACTGCTGTTACATGCCATAGCATTGCCCAATTGTACCCTGTCCTGGTTAGCAAGCGCAAAATCAAGATTTTGTTGGATTTTTGATTATGTATAACCCATTCTATAGACAAAGTGAAGTACAGTTTTCTAACAAGAACTTGGATGAGTTGTATGCAGGTGACAAGGACAGTGAGCTCCCTTCCGCGCTATCATTAAGTTTTGTTCCCCCTGCTGCATCAGAGAACAGTGCTACTTCTGACTACACTAATCATGATAACCTTGACTCAGGGCCAGTGGGCCACTGGGTAAACAACATGATGACATTCTTGAGGCTGTGGGCTATACTTTAGGGGACTATTCCCCTGCAAGTTATTGTCAGATAAAAGCAATAGCACTAGCTTCCTGCGTTGGTGGTAAGAGGTTCTCGCAAATTCAAAGTGCCAATAGCCTCGTTAATGACAATAATCCTTCCATATTGTCTTTGCTATTTCCTCACTTAGATCCATGGGGAATTGGATCATTCAACCACCCAGATTGCACTGTAGAGCAGCACATTTCGTTCCAGAGGCAAGTGCACAACCTTCTTATGCAGCATAATTGATGTTTTCAACTTGATCCAAATTTTGCTTATGTGTGTTTCAATATCTTGCAAAAAAAAGAAGTTAATCAGCAGATCTGTTTTCGGGTGTTATCTGATGTATGTGATATAATAGGTGCAGATATTGCTGAATATGCTCCCGGTTTGACAGACCTGTTTTGCCAATGACAGAACAATCCAGCTGCAAAACCTTCAAACAACTATCAGAAAAAGGCTTTACGCCTCCTTAACAAATTGAAACTCATTGTCAAGGACCTCAAGGGGTCGACTGGCTACAAACTCTGCCAGAGGAATGAGATTTGTGCGCTCATCAAGAGATTTAGTACTCCCGCATTATTTCTTACCCTGAATCTGTCTGATATCAATCATCCTTTGGTAGGAGTTCTTGGAGGCTTATTGCCTGAGCAATGGCAACAAATGTCTTTGTACAATTGCAGCCTGTTTGTGGCTAAAAATCCAGCTGCTGCTGCTCAGTTTTTCCATGTTGTGATGTGCACTTTCTTCAAAGTTATCGTGAAACATGGCTCTAACTCACCTGGTTTATGTGGGCACAGTGAAGCATACTACAGCATGATGGAAGCACAAGGAAGGGGTACCTTGCACTGTCATATGTTATTGTGGTTGCATGGCAATCCAAATCCTCAGGTGTTGCGAGACCAAATGTGTGAAGATCCTGCATTTGAAGTACAATTGTTTCAATAGTTGGAAAGTATTATCAAGTGTGAGCTTCCTGGCATGACGGACATTCTTGTTGAGCAAGAAGGTGTTGCTGTTCAAAAACCTCCACTGGCACCTGAGTCTATAGATCCACGTGTCCAAGATGCTCCTGATGTTGTAGTCAATGAATCATTGTTCGAGAAAGAGTTCCAGGAGTTTGTAAGAGAGTTAGCTGTGTACTGCAATTGGCATGAGCATACAGAGACTTGTTGGAAACATTTAAAACCTGGTGAACCGCGTGACGACTCTCACTGTTGGATGAGAATTAATGGTAACACTCGATCTTTCACAGATTTGGATCCAGAGACGGAGTCCATCCTTATTGCGCAGATTACATCCACACATTAATAACTTCAATGATCTTGTGTTGTTTTTGATGCGTTGTAATATCAATATCAAATATATAGGCTTGGGGCAAGCTGCAAAAGCTCTTGTATATTGTGTAACTGACTAAGAGCTCATTGCCTGTCCACATTGGTTTTGATGCTTTGCGCTATGCTGTGAAACAAAATGGCATGAAATTCTCAAATAGTGATTCAAGCTCGGCTGGGCAACATTGAAGTCTGTTCACAAAGAGTGCTAACACTATAATAACACACCAGGAAATGTCTCACCAGCAAGTTATGAGCTATCTTGTGGGAGGTGGTGACTGCTACAGCAGCCATAGCTTTAAGTTGTTACATTGGGCTGATTTTGACTGCTATGTACTTCATGAACTTGAATGAGCTACCAATCCAAGGGGTGCGGGCCATGTGGAGCAAGTTGTTGATGATCCCAACGAGTCTGACATTGATGTTGAAAGTTGTGATGGGGATGAAAGTGCTGATACGGGAGATGAGGTTCTCATCATATTTGATGGAGAGTGATTTAGTTCTAACACAAACATTATAGACTACTGCCATAGGAGTGATGACGACTGCTTCAATAACCTGTTTCTTTGGCACTGAAAGCACTCAGAAAATTTCATTGAGGACAGAAGAAGCCAGGTTGGCCAAGCTCACCTCATATCAGGGTGGAGACAACAGTATGAAACACGCATCTGAGGAAAAAAGGCATGTCCTAGAGGTCGATTCCAATTGGCACATCCTCAAAAGGATTCTCATCTTATTTGTATGCATGAGGAAAGTTCTGTTCCTGTGTTATTGGGTTCCTCTTTGCCTCAACCAAACCAAAGTGAAGCCAATTACCTGTTATGGTGCCGTGCCATGCTCATTTTGTTCAAGCCTTGGTGTTTGGTATTAGACTTGAAGGAAGCTCACCACTCATGGTGTGATACTTGTGAAGCCTATGATTTTCCACCGTATTTTTGTGTTATAATGAGTAATATGATTGTGGAAAATGAGTGCAAAGATGCACGGGACTTATCTGAATCACAACGTGTAGGACAGAATTCATCTCACAGTAACAAAAATACAATACCCCAAGAAGTTGTTGATGACATTGAGGTCCTACAAGTGGCGTCTCTTCAATTGTCTTTTGAAGCTATTGCAGCATTAGAGAGTGTTCCATCTACAACAAAGAAGGATGAAAATGTTAAAAGTGTGTATTGACTGCATTAGAACAAGCAGGTGTGTTAATGTCAAAGAATCAGCAACAGATGCAGTTCCCTACTCTCCTCCCACGCCCGCAACTGCCCATAATCTCATGACTATTTGTCAGCAAGCACAATTAATGAAAGACATTAAAAAGTGTAAAAGACCACGTCCTACCGAAGATTGCCAAACTCTTCAGAGTGCCAAGCACGCCCGCACTGATGTAGGTCCTCACACATCATTGAACACAGTCGCTCTTGACCAGCTTTCTGGTGTTGGCCCCATGTCCTTTCTCTCCTCCCACCCACGTACACCTATCAGCATTCTACACTAAATCATCGAAGAAAAAGGGATTAAAGGCAATACAGAGCAAGAAAGAGCACTTACTTTGGTTGGAGAACACTATGCAACAAAAAGTGATGAGTAGATGCTGCTGTACATTGCCAGCATTGTGGGCTCTGGAAAAAGTTAATCAATGCAATTGTGGATTTTTTTGATAGGTGTTACTCCTCACACGAGCTCCTCCTCAGCGCTCCCACTGGTTGTGCGGCTGTGCTAATTGGTGGATACACTATCCATGCCCTGACTTTCTTACCTAAATCAAAACACAAACCAAATCAGAATGAGCTAGAAAAGATCTGGTGCAATGTAAAATACCTTGTGATTGATGAGATTTCAATGGTCCCCGCCAAACTATTGAGTGACATATCCCATAGACTTTGTTCAGCCACCGCTGCAATTCAAGTTGAGCAAACAAACCTTTTGATGGGATGAATGTAATATTTACAGGAGATTTTGGGCAGCTAAAACCTGTCAAAGAGACGGCAATGATTAGTTATAGTTTAGTCAGCCAATTGCAACCAAACTCTGCTCAAACCAATTATGGCCAATCATCACTACATGACGCTTTCCTGTGACATCAAGTGAATAAGGTTGTGAAAATGAAGAAGAACTGGAGAGCACAAGGTGATCCCACTTTTGTTAACTTGTTGCAACGAATTTGACTGGGCAATGCATGGAACAGAGTAAGTGCCTTGTCTACTGAGCAAAAAGGGTGTGGTGTCAAAAATTTATGCTGAGTCTGACCTCAATGTATTAACAAAGCGGCATCTGACTTATCTTTATTCACACCATGCAAATGAACTCCATCAATTTGATGACACAGCAATCATTGTTTGTGAAAAGGTTGTCCGGGATGCCATCAACTACAAGAAAGTTGAGTTGTTTGCTCGCTCTACACAACAAGAGTTACATACCTACCATTCCTGTGACACAGTCAAGAAATTGGACATTGAAGAAGATCTTCAACAGTTTGTGTGGACAAAAATTAGCTCCTCCATCACTCATGATAGTTTGGGAAAGTTGCCTCTCGTACGAGGCATGCGTGTTGTGGTAACAGAGAATGTTGCCATTACTTCTAATGTTGTAAATGAAGCAGAGGGGATCTTGGACAACATCAAGTTCTCCACAGATGCTCAGAATCGCTGTTATGCTGAATGTGCATATGTTCAAATTGACAGTGTTGATGATGAGAACTGTTGTTAGAAAACCACACACAAAAACAAACTAACACACTATCCTCCCAGATTCCACGAAACTTGTTTATGGGCTTTGCCTCCTAGAACAGTGGGTGCTCTGGTTGTTTGTGGGGTGGTATGTATGAGGATCCTTCAAAGTAAAACCCAGAGATGTATGGGTGTGGGTTTTGAGGAGGAGGGATAGTTGGAATATAGAAAGATAGGGGCTTTGTGGCAAGTATAGACGAGCACTACCTTGCTAATCGTAGCACAAGATAGGTTTGAGAACGACAATATGACGAGGTTTCCAGTGATAGCAGGCTCCTGACGCACAGACTGTAGTGCTCAGAAGGACTCTAATTGAAAGGGATGACAATCACTTTCAAAAGTGACGAGTGACAATGACAGCAGTTGACAGTGGTAGCAGTGGGAAGTGTTGTGACCACACTGGATCACAAGTAGTAGTGAGTAGTGAACTTGAAGGGCAAGACAAAACACTATCAGTATCAACACAGTTCCTTTATTGTCAGTCAGGCATTCTAAAAAATATGTGTCCATAAAAATGATTCAAAAATTAAAAATAATTGTACTGTAAATGAATGTTCTGCTGAAAAAAAAGAAACTGGAGCCACCGGTCCACCACCTAGTCCAAATCCAACAGTTCCATGGCCTCACCAATGGACTGGTTGTGTTGGACCACCTGGTCAAACAAGGGAGGGAGAGGAGTAGTCCCAATTTGGAACAAGTGAGTCCCAGGCAGCGTGTGGTAGGTGTAGCTGTAGCAAAGACGATGGACAAAAGATAAGTGTACCCAAGTAAATGGGACAGCGATGAACATGGGCGATGCAAGGGGATGAACCTTCTCCAGCTCAAAAACTACCCACTCACGCTCCAACCAGGCAAGACGTGTTACGCTTGGAATGTGCAAGCCTGGTAATGCTGGGTTTCTGATGTATAAAGGGTTTCTGATAAGCTCGTCGTAGACAAGTTTGAGACGTATTCTGATGATGAGGGTTTCAACTGATGAATACCAAGTTACACTGTTAAAGCGTACAATCGTATTGGAGATGTTAACTACAATACAAGTGGCTATATATACTGTCCTACTTTAGGGTAGGTGTTTGTGTTGAACAAACAACAACGGGTGAGAAACTATAACAAGTAACCAGTGTGGGAAATAGTAATGAGTAGTGGTAGGTAGCTACTCAAGGAAGAAATAAAGTCCGTATGAGTCACAGTTCATAACAAGACGAGCGACCAATGTTTTGATAGTATATGATGGTAGATCAACGTCATAAAGATGGACCTGTTGCCCTATTTGAACCGGCCGCCGGGGCTTTGCTGATATCAGCAGTGGCACGTGGTAGTCAATGGATCAGCGACGGAAGCGGATAGGAAGTGGCGACATCAGAAATGGTGGGGGTGCAAATAAGATGAGGAGGAGGAGGGTGGAGGTGACGAAAAGGTGGATTAGAATGGGGATCCAGAAACGACCGTCAGGTGAGAATAAAAAGGAGAGGAAGGGGCCCATGGTGGGGTTAGGCAAAGGAAGGGAAGTGAAGGAAACGACAAAAACGAGGGCGCAATGCAATGTGTAGCCAGTGGCGACGCGAAAATTTGCCGAAATGCTGAAATGCGGAAAGTACCGAATGGAAAAGCAAAGGTGAGCGTGACTGGATTGCTATTTCACGTGGCACTGTGCCTGTGTGGCGCAAAGGCGAGTCTTTTTGAATATTCGCTTTGTTATTGACACCTGTCCATGCTACCAATCAACTTTGGTGCATGACACCGCGAACACTGGATTACTTCAAAGCCTGGGAATACTGGACTACCATTACATAGTATAATGGACCCCAGGTTTGTGGTCCACTATTCTAGTTCCCTCAAACCACTGTGCCTAGCCTATGGAATGAGTCCTTTGCCTGTTCTGAGAACTGGTTCCACATTATGATTTGCCTTTCTGCATATACTACATGACTGGGTTTAGCCTCCATTTTATTAGCATCTTGAAAATCCTTCCAACCCTTAGTTTGATGTTGAAAATACTGAACTGTCCACTTCATCTTGAGGCACACCAGAATGTCTTTTTTTATCCACCTGTTGTACATGGCTTTTGCTCTTAGCCAGTGAACCCGGTAAACTGTACTTTATTACTAAATGTTAGCTGTTTGATACCGTGAAACTGTGACCGGGCTGGGGCACATATATTCAGACATCTAGGTCTGTTGGGAGGTGTCAAATTTCAGATCTATGCTCTAAAACTATGGCAATGCAGTGTTGCGGAGTCTGATTGTATTTGGATTCATGAGCTGGGTACTTGCCTTGAGGTGTTCTGGCTTGAGCTCTTGATATTTTTGTAATATTTCTGCCCGGCAACCCAGAGATATGATTGCATGCTGGGCTCTCTTATATATGGCTGAGTAGACTTTAACATTGGCTTCCATATGGGTAACCTCTGCCCAAGCCTTCAACTTTTTCTTTTGAGAGCCTCGGGCAGCTCTCATCTCCGTCCTGAACAGAAAAGACTTTTGACCCAGTAGGATATGTATCTGATGCAAGGTACCATTGGCCTGACCTTCCTGGAGTGTAAGCTCCTTGAGGTTGAAAGCATCTACGCGGGAGAGCAGGCATTAACACCTTTTCTCTAACTCCAGTTTATCCACAGTTGTGCCCTTTTGTTGATTTGTTTTGCATACATTTGCAGAAGTATCCTGTTAGGTAGAGTTAAGCAATATTTAAAAAGTATGTATTCCTAAAATCCTGGGGGCCCAGGGATTTCCTCAGTCTCTTCCAACTTCAAGCAGTGGTTCCTCAGACAACTCCATGTCTTGTTTCCTGTGGCAATAAATGCAGCTGGATTTCTGCTTTGCTGGGTAATTTTGCTATAGAGATTTCATATATATCCATGGTGTTTTCTTTATGCAGCTGGTTGTTCTGTACCTTTCTTTCCTGGGCAATCTAGGCCTCTGTGTCCTCGGAGTCTGCAGTAGAATTGATGTTTTTGAATGCAAGCCCGCTTGATGGCAAGCCTTTTTGAACCTTTTTGAACTTCTTGCAAAGCGCCGGGACTAGGCATGCACTTAGTCATGAATATGGATGAGTAATTGAAACCTGGGACCTACCCATTTGTATAAGCTTCTTCCAATTAGAATCACTCATGTGATCATCCAATATTTCTTGCCTATGTGACTTGCTCATAGCCCAGGTGCTCCGAGAAACTTCATTGAGGAGAGCCCAAAGTGTTTCTAATATCTCACCATCAACCTGCCAGCCCCGGAGATCAAAGGCTGAGGGGTCCCTAGTGTACAAAGGACATCATCAAAAGCTCAAGGCCACCAATGCCTGAACATTGAAACCAGGGTATAGTGGAAAAGGAGGGCTTGTTTTCAATGTCGGTGCTCCTTCTATGACAGAGAAAGTAAAAGAGAGCACAGAGACAAATATTTTTGACCTGGATATATTAAAATTCAAGTAGATAATTGTATTGCTATATGTAAATATATGCCTAAATATGTCTCATAGATGTCTCAAAATCATAAGGACCTTAGAAGGCAGAATTGTCAAGATTTCATAAAAGCTCAGATATCTATCAAGAGTAGAGGTAAGGCCACACTGCATCTCAACAGCCTATTGCGCTCTTTGCCACTCATTATTCTGTGACCCAGCTGGGTTGTCACATGTACAAATAGCCTGTAGTTGTATAAATACTGCAATAGATCAAGGAGACTCCTCAGCAAGTCTCCTGTAGGAGTTTATCCACTCTCTCCATCACCCCTCTCTGCTTGTTCTCACTGTGCGCCAGAGTATAAAATCTTTGGTTGTAACACATACTGGGTCTTCAGCTAAGGCCCGGAACATGTCAGGTACCTCCCAGCTAATGCTTTCCCTGATATATTGCTTCCATATAGGGAAATTTAATGCCAGATCCATCGAGTTAATTAGTCTTGTGAGGCCTAGATGTCATAAAAGCTAATGTAAATTAGAAGCATGGGCTCCATATTGATCATTGCCTTCTATCATAAAGACCTTGTATGACCATCTTCAAACTGGCATCTGGTTTAACAACATCATTTCTTCTCCACAAAATCATTTAGCATGGGCCGCAGCTCCTCTCAATGTTTGGCTCCAGTATTACATAGAGTAGATTGGAAGGAGTTTAAAACAAGCAGAGGTGTGTGTACAAAACAAATAAGTGTGAAAGACCTCCCTATATATGTCCTGCTGGATGCGGAAAGTCATTTGCAACAGCTCATGCCGTTAACATGCATCTTGGCTCTGCAAACAAATGCCTATAGTACCACAAAGGAAAGTTACAATCACTCACTATCCCACAGCCACAAGAAGCTAACGGAGAAGAAAAGAGTGGATTAGACATGTTAATAGATAATAAGCATACAGAGGAGGCATTGACGAAGTACTACAGGATTTGCAAGAGGACCTCTTTTTATTCATTCTGATTGCACATTGTGACATTATTGATGATGGGTAGAACACAGCAGGCCCATTCCTTCATCAGAACTCAATTGTCCTAGACAATAATGAGGATGAACATATGAAGGTGGAACATCCCACAGCTGGCAAGGTCATAAACATGGACAAGACTTTACATCAGAGGTGGAGAAGAGAATTCATTGCAGCAGGTGGAGATGGTGAAGACGTAGAAATGAGAAATGGGTGAAGCTTCAGACCCCAAGTTCTTCCCCTTTGCCTTGGAGATGGATTGGAGAATAGAATATTGGGCAATTCAAGATGGTATAGGGCACCAGTCTTTTAATTGGCTGTTAAGTATCCCAGGTGTAAGTGATTTCATGGATTTTACAAATTTTGCTTATAGTATTGCCAGGTCAGGGAGAAGCTGGGGCTTTCTTACCATAATATACATGGATTACACAAGATTGTTGACTACAGCATACCGTCTAGGGCTGAATAGAAATCAACTATGATATTTTTTACTGATACTCCAAATGATATACGCCTTTTCCAGTATAAACATATACTTTCAACCATCAGAACTCTCCTTGGGAACCCTGCACATGCCAAACATATAGTCTATTGCCCAAAAAAAGGTTTTCACCAATGCAAGGAAAGAGTCAAGGATTTATCATGAAATGTGGACTGGAAAATGGTGGCAGGCTATTCAGATGAGCATAATTCTGTATCTCCCAGTGACTTACAGAATCCTTGGAGTAAGCCCATCTACCATATATGGCAGCCTTGGCTCCTGTTATTATTGCAACAGACAAAACTCAGCTCACATAATTCTCTAATTCTAAATCAGCCTACCCTGTCTATCTCATGCTTGGCAACATACCCAGAGCAATATGGCGTAAGCCAAGCCAACATGCTTACATACTTATAGAATATCTGTCCATCAACAAAGCCACAGAATCTCAGCTTACTGCAAAGAAGAAGTTAAAGTCATCAGGCGTTCAGCATATTTTTCATGAGTCAATACAGATTAAACTAGAGCCTTCAAAGAGGGCTGGTATTGAAGAAATTAATGTCACTGGGGGAGATTGTGCTATAAGGAGAGTCTATCCTATCTTGGCTTGCTATGTTGAAGATTATCCAGAACACTATCTTATGACATGTACAAAGTACAAGCCTGACCTGAAAGTAAGCAATCATTATTCCTAGATGAAAATATTGAATTGTCACCTAAGATTACGATGATAGGGGAAAAGATGAACTAATTCTGGATGAACAAGCACGTCTCTAAATTAGTATCTCTTACATCCATAGAGTTTAACAGCTTATATTAGCCTAATTTCAGACCCATTGTTGGGCAGAAGAAGGTTAATTTGTTGGACTACCCACATGTATAGTAATAAAAATAAAAAGTTATCTAAAAGGTATAGTATGGAAACCCTGGTCAGAATGATTGTCAGTGGGTGGTCTGTTTATTAGGCTATCAACCCTTCTCCAGACTGGCGGGAGGAAGTGAAAGAAAAGCTTGTTTCTATGTAAACGACAATGGTTCCACACCAACTGCTGTTGTGATTAACTATTTCCCCTTAACACTGGGGCCCATGTACTGTTTCTGAACAGTGATTATTTCTAGTTCTCTTGCCCAAGAAGCTTACCTTGCACTAAGGGAACAGGGTTTAGACTTTTTATCACCTAACACTAAGCCCAGCGGTCAATGTATAGTCCAGAAAGGTTTTCAAGAACTCCTCTTAATACTGAGGTCCACATGCAATGATGGTTCCACTTAAGCCTGTGGTGCAACTTTGCATAATGTGCAGGAGAGTGATGAGAGCAAGTCCTAGTGTGACAATAACCTGAAGTTTGTATACTCTGGTGCACACACAAAGGAACTCGGGAAGGTAGTGATGATGAAGAATAGAGTTGGTAGACTCAATCTTATAAAACAAGTTAGTTGATGGTATTCAACAGGAGGACTTGCAAGGGTATATACTAAAATACATGTGGTACTGTAAAGTTAATATAAATAAAGGTAAGCATTCCATAGCATTTTATTGTATTCTATATGATGTTACAGTTGAGTAAGTAAAGTGTCTGATGTCATAGCATGTGGCCAGTCACATGTCAAGTCTAGACACAAGTCAGGTGATGTGTCATGTGATCAGTCACATGACTTTCAAAAGTGAAAGTCCAGAAATAAAAGAAAAGGAAAAAGGAAACTGAGGGTGAAAATAGATGCCAAATATACTGTCATAACATATTCTCCTCTATGTCTTGTTATATCTAATTTCTATCTCACATGAGACAATTCGACCTGCCAGGGACATCTGAATTCAATTTCCTCGAACTTGGTCTCAATGTCCCATGCAAAGTGAAGTATTGCAAGGCGTATCTGCAATCTTATAGGGTGCTAACAGTTATGTATTGAAATTTGTGTAACGGAACATGCTTGGTAAGGCACTCAAGGAATTTGAAGCCAGGTACAGACTTCTCTGGTATGTCTTCATTTGGCTGTCATGTGGCTTTGCATTGGCAAATTTTCCGGACCGCCCACTCTTGCTATGACCAATTTTTCGCGGCCACGCAGGTGAGAGACCCTTCCCGTTGCATCACGTGATCGACGCGACGCGCATTTTCTGGCTCCGCCTAAAATCGCCAAAGTGCTTTTGACCCTTGCGCTTTCGTTGCTTGATATGTAGTGCACATTCAAGCTCCATTGTTCTCTGGTCATTGATTATACTGCGCAACTGCTATGATTCTAGAAGCTCGTTCTCCGTGTTCCGTTGTTCAAGGAACTCCTCGACCTTTGAAGCGTAGACATCCTTCATTGTCAGAGCTGCCATTCTTTACTCCTGCAGCAAGTTCTTTTAACCCACCACCGTATGGGGGAAGCGGGGAGGGTCAACAACGTGGCAGACTCCCTTTATTCTCTCATAGTCACTCTGCGGGCAAACCTATGCACTCTCTCCCGGCCCTAGACCCATTACCATCTGATCCACATGTTTTGTTCATTCATCCACCCTTCACGTCATTCCCAAATTCTGAGCTCTTTTCTGAAGGGCTCTCTTATTCGTTAATGTCTGCTAATCCAGACTGGTTCTTGGATCCATCCGATTTTATTAGCAGTAACACATCGAATCTGGCCACGATGGCTTATCCTCCCCAGCTGGAACCCCCAAGAGGCTGGTGCCCCGCAAAGCAGAGAAACATCAAGGTGTCCAGCTCTGATGGTTGGCCAGATGGAGAAGAGCCGAGATTGAGATGTACATTTTGTAGGAGGACTTACGCTGGTGTAAATGCTAAGAGCATGTGGAGACGCCACGTATATGAAAAACATAAAATCGCGATGTCAAATCGTCGTGATGGTAGCGAGCGTTACAGAAATGGACGTGGCACATGTCGTGAGTGTTGCCCACGAATTATTCGTGTCTAGCTGTTATTTTGACTCATTCAGGAAAAGCAAAATTCTCTGACAAAGAGAACGATGGGGATGGGACTACCTGCGAGGGAAAGGTGTGCAAATCCAAATCAATAAATATGTGCGCAGTTAGAAGTCCACTCGGGTCTTCAACCCCCCCATCGATAAAACTGAAGCAACCATGGCATTCGCCTGTCACGAGTTCATCAGGTCATAAAGATCGTCACGCTGTAACCCATCGCGAACATATTTTAGAACAACAACCATCATGTTCCTCACCCGTTGACACCGCAGTCTGTTGTCCCGACAATCAATTCGCATTAGAGGATATGCCAGTGAGACCTTTGTTGTCTGTCGGGACGTTGAGTTCAATGGAATCTGTCAATCCAACTATTCCTCCTTCACCTTATAATCCCCTCCGCACTCCGTCTTTTCGCCATTCAGCTCCACAGCTTCCATCTGACCAGCCCTGGCGCTTCCCAAGTCCCAGCCACCCTTTACACTCTCGAAATCGGGAATTTTGCTTAAGCACACTCGCCAGAGGGGTGGTTAGCCCAGAGCACCGAGAATTACCCATTGTCAGCCATAACAAAACATTTGTAAATGTTTTTAGGAGCCCCAAAGACACCAACGAAAAACGATTTTCTGATTACAACATTTGCGATAGTAAATTAAGCTACTCCCTGACGGTTCCCTTGGAAGCATCCCCTTCACTTTTCCAGTCGCACCATTCTCCTACTCTACTAGGTCGGGATGACATGTCCTCTCGAAGGATCGATGAACCTTACAAGGTTTCTCGCGATGATCCATTTACTGGTCCGAAGGAAACAACGAAGGATATTGACATGCCTCAATCTTGGGAAGTGTCCACTTTGGCCGATAACGATAGGAGTGAAACCATATATTTAGCCAGTGATGATCCGTTTGGCCGTCTATATCGCCCATGGTTCGACGGTAGTGCAGCCCAGCACAAAGCAAACTGCGTCGGAAATGTGAGCCCGGAAGTAGGGAGTCCTGTTTTGCGTAATCCGTGTGGAGGCCAATGGCACGGTATTTCTGTTCAAAGGGCGAACCTGTTTAGGATTGAGGGACAGGAGCAAAATCAATGTTACCCACTGTTGTCAGAGAACGGTGCTATTGATGCACTCCTTTCCTCCATGGAAAACATTGATGAAACAAGGACTGTCGATTCCGGAATTCACGGTGATGGTGTTCTGGTGGTGCAATCAGATTTTGGCAACGATCATCGGTTCGGGCAGAAAGCTAAGAAAATCCGTAAATTTTAGCCCAAGAAAGTTACTACTACGTCGTCATGCCTGATTTATTTGTCTGACAGTTTTTGGTCTGTATTATCTCCATTTTCAATGACAGAGGCAGTGTGTTTACCTCAGCGCACGTTGAGAGAAGAAGTAATACAGTACAATTATCCAGTCAGTCAAAAGCCTAATTATTCCTACCACCTTGAGGTACCATCAGGAAATCGGGGAGAGGCTGGCATAACCAGGCAGAGTTGATATGTGGACATCAATGTAGCTGCACTTTAGCATGACTTAACAAGGTTGAACGTAGGAAGTTGAAAGATGCCTCGTTTGTAGCAGAATGCAACCTTGATGTAACCATACTACTGGGCTATTGATGTCTGTCCAGTAGCAGCATAAGGACTACAATAAGATAGCTAGTTGTAGTGTAGTGGTTGATATACAGATATACAAGTGTTCCAGACAGATATATTCTTGCAATTACCAAACATGCTGATGTGTGCTTGATCTGGTTGCGTCATTCAGAAACAGTATAGCAAGAGGTACAGCCTCAGATAGTAGAAAATATATATATAATCAAAGTGCAGAGTCCAAGTCAGGCTTCCTCTGAAGAAAGGCTAGCAAGTTGGCAGCAATGGGAGGTTCTGGCAATAGGTCAAGGTTTTTGTTGTATGTTTCAATTTTTCTGTCAGAGAGAATTCAGTTGCGACAGTTTTGAATATGTCCACTAAGCCTCCTGCAATGTTGTGATCCTCTATCTATAAGGAGATTGATGAACAATGGCATCCAAGAATCATGTCTGGATTCCCCATATAGATGCATACACCTGACTCAAACACTTGTCAGCTGAGTAATAGTGAGACAGATCAGATACAGTTTGTTCTGTTAGTTTTGGTGATTCTGCACCTTTGTGCTACCTATATATTTTCATTCCTTTCTCTATCTATTCTTCTATCATTCACTATTGATTGTGTTCTCTATTATTTCGCCTTTATGGCTGCTTTGTTTACCTTTGTTTACAAAACTTCGGACAGTACTGCAGAGTCCAATGCTTCCTATTCTCTAGTTACTCACATTAGACTCTAGGTACTGTATACCTGTCATACTCTCTAATAATATAGTTACTCACATTGGACTCTAGTTCCAGTCCCTGATTGCTCTCAGCAAGTGGCTAGACACTTCCTTCAAGCTTTGTTCTTAATATGTTCTGTGACTCAGTTTAACAGCAACCAATCTTGAGCTTCTTCTTTCCAACTCAGGTGTAAAGTATAGATTAGATTAGATAATCATACTGTACTAATAAGGCAACCAATACTATACAGTTGCCAGTAGATAAGTTGGAGTTTGTGTTAAGATAAGACAATTTAATCACAAACTCTTTTACATACAGTACCATTGAATATAACCAAGATTAAATTCATTACTGTGTGAATTGAGTAAATGTGTGATAATCAAGAGTGAATAAATGACCCCAGCATTGAGACACTCCTAAGCTTCAATAGAAAGCTTTACAGTTTTGTGAATTTCATTGTGTATTCAACAATATGGCTACTACAACAAAAAGTACTACAAAATGGCAAAAGCAACCTGACAGAAGTCAGATTGCCAAAACTAAGCAGCTATCTACTCTGAAAGGCAATGAGTCCTGAAAAGCAGAAGCTATTCATGATCAGTGCTTGGACCTAGACAGCACTGATCAAGATGATCATGGCATGGACCCACACAGGTATGTGGGGAACCTAGAACCTTCCCGCACACCTATCGGGCAGAGGCAACCAGAGGTCACTGAACCAAACAGAGCAACAGTGTCTTAACTATGAACTGAGAAACAATCATTGTCAGAAGACAACAATGAATTGGTAAGGAACTCCAGAGGAATCCAGCATACAGACAATGGATTATCTGGACTGTCCAGCAAATCATAGAGAACTAGAAAGTAGAAGGTCAGCATTCACAGGAAGGGAGTATGTCTTTTTTCCTAGGGAGGCTGACCCATTAATCATAGCAAGAGAATTCCATGAGACTATGGACAGGCTGATTGAGCAACAGCTTGACCAGTGGAGAGAAAAACTATACAGTGTAGGATAAGACTCCAACAGGAGGATTCACATTGAAAGGAAAATAGCCCTTTTTAAAAGAGGAAGAGCAGCTAGATCCTGGAAACCAATATACAAACCATTGTTTACGGATGATAATCCAGACAATTGATCCAGTTGGAGGCCCATTGAAAGACAGCTAAATAATGAAGATGCTAACTTAAAGGCATCCAGAGATATGCTCATATCCTTGTTACAATTTAAATTTACTCTCACTTTATCCTTCACCTTTTCCTTTACTTATCAGACTATATTCCTTTATCTAGTGGTTATCACTCACCACTATCTCTATACCCCCACACAAACACTTTCACATCTTATCCTCTTTGTACACATTTCTCCTTATCTTATCTTATCCTTCCTCTTCCTTTCTTGGACACACAGCCTTAGCCCTATACCTTGTGATCTGTGGTTCTTCCAAGGATACTCCTTATAGCTACATTATGGTCACACATCCTTGATCTATTCTTGCTATGTCCCCAAAAGATACTCCTTTTGGACTACAAACCTCTCACCCTTGACCCTGGAGGTCTTTATGCTATTGGCTCTTACTTACAAACCCAGCTTGGAGCTGAGCTTGGATTCACTACCTATTCAGTATATAAACCCCTGTATAACAGTAGGATGGGACAAGTTGAATCTACTCTACAATTATTCCCTGCTATCATAATGAAGGAAGGCCTCAGTCCTGTAATCTGAGGAGACTATAATATCTATAACCCTATCCCTATCAACAATAAAAGGGCATGAAGATGGATGGTAGCATACCTTTAGAGTTGAATGCAATCTAATATCAAAGCAGATTGTAACAATCCCCCTGTTATACAGACGAGGGGAAGTAACAGATATACCTGTAGAGAATCTGCACAATGCAGATTCAACAAGAAACTTGCGGGAGCAAGAGCTCCTGCAAGAAGCAATCAGTTCCTCACAGATGAACAAATAATACACTGCATATGTGAACAAGATATGGAAGAGTATGGACAATTATACTTTGGCCACATTGACCAACTCCAAAGCTCCAATAGGGGCCAAGGAGAGACTTTTTACAAGATATATAAGAATGTCAAGAACTGCAAGGTTACAATAGTAATTGAGGAAACAGCGGAGCACCTCCTCCCCCTTCAGGAGGAGGCAATGTATTAGAAGGAGAAGATGACAACTATGATTGCCATCACAGACGAGAAAGCCATGGACTGGGGTACAGGGAAATATCTACAACCAATCACAGCAGCACTGAAGTAGACACCCCCAGGAGGGCTGACTAGTCCCACCCACCTTTATTTAAGTCCCTTTCTAAGTTTTCCGGTCCTTCTCCAAAGGGCCTTTACTTCACTCCACCTTTCATCCTCTACTCTCACCCATTCACTCTGTTAAGTTAGGGACCAAGGCCCACGGAAAGGCCTAGCGCATGAGCTAAGTCAACTCCCAACCTCATACCCTATTCTGCTCCCCACCTCATCTCCGTACTCCAAACTCCAACCACTCCAAAGGTCACAGTTCTGACAGCATCAAACCTAAATTATCAACAGTGTTCAATTTGCAAAAAGATGGTCAAATGGAGAGACTCAACCAGGAGTTGAAACAGTATCTCTCAATATTTATTAATGACAGGCAGACAGATTGGGCCAAGTGGCTAAAGATATCCCAGTTCTCATACAATACCAAACAGTCATTGGCTAAAAAAAAGGCACCATTCAAGGTTATAAGGTCAAACCTCCCCAGAATGGGTGTAGAACATGGCAAAAGCAAGAACAATGCTGCAGGAACAATGCTCAAAGACATAAAGTCTCTTCTAGACGGAATATGCAATGTGCTATTTAAAACTGTAGAGCAGATGAAAGACAAAGCAGAACAACTCAGACAACCAAGTGTGAGGAGAAAGTGGAGTGTATATATGAAGTGGTTATGTGTAAACCTGTTTAATAAGTAAACACTCAGTACTGTAATAACAGACTGTATTAAATCTAGTACCTGTTTAATAAGTAATCACTAAGTAGAAAGTGTGACAACACCAACAAGGCACAGCCTTGGGGCACTGGAGCACAATAAAAACAACACTCAAAAGAAGAGGGAGAGGTGGGAGTGGTTACCCATTAGGTTTCAACAAGTTAGTTGTTGGTAGACAACAGGAGGACTCGCTGAGTCCTTCCCCATGTATTGCTCCTGTATATATACTAAAATACATGAGGTACTGTACAGTTGTAAATAAAGTTTAAAGTCCAATGTTTAGCATGTGACCGGTCATATGGAGTCTAGACACTGGTCAGGTGTTGTGTCACATGACTGGTTATGTGACTATGAAAAGTCCGAAAATGTAAAGTAAAGTAAATGGTCACATAAGTGGTCATGTGACTTGGAAAAAGTAAAAGTAAAAGTACAAAAAGTGAAGTGTAAGTAGGTGCTGGTATGTCAATTGTAACAGAAAGTCAGTAGATGTCTAACTTGAAAACATATTGTTGTAATGTCTCACCTCAGTACTGTAATAACAGACTGAGGTGTCAAGTGCTCAAACATGGAGAAAATAGATGCTGCGGGAATATCCAAAATAAAAAAGGAAGTAGTTTCCCGCAGTTACAAATTTGTAAGTAATGTAAGTGTTTCTAGGCGGAGGCTCAACTTCTATGAGCGTCGTCTAATGCTCCAACAATATATTCCTTGGTGGTAGGACCAAGTTAGTTGTGGGTAAAGAACAGGAGGACTCGCTGAGGAGTCTCCTGGATCTATTGGGTTTATATACTAATACAGAGTGTTTGTACTTATATACTATACAGTTGATAAAAGCAGTGGCTGATGATGTCATAGGGTGCAGCCCTTGTGGCCAGCTCCACTGTATGAGAGACTTGTAGTTAAAAATAAAGAAAAGCAGTGTGGTATGAGAAAGTGAACGTCTAAACAAAGGGAAAATGCTGCATGGCCCAAGTCCGTGAGAACTTTGAGAAAGAAGGTCATAAGTCCAAAAATTGTGTATTGTAACAATATGTGCAAATAAAGAATATTATAGCACTATAAGAGCAGCTATAGTACAATCATAGCAACTATAGTGTTATATGAGCAATAAGAGCAATGGCAGCATTAAAGGCAATAATATTATTATAGAAGCAAAATTTACAATTCTATATATGACTACCATAATGTTTGATATGCATATTTGCAACTAAAGTTATTAAGATAAAATTTATGGCAAACATCCAGAATATTACTATGAGTCCAATGATGAGGACATCAATTTTGCAAACCACCAAAAGCAGGGATAAATTGACAAACCTGTCTAATACTGGATAAAAAGATAATTTGTCCTGGAGGAAAACCTTCAGTGTTTAGAGGTACCTTGTTAACAGCGTACATTAAGTGGTCCTTTTCAGCTGTGGATTTGAGGTTGCTATACCACTCTACATATGCAAAATAATGTTTTGGCCAATTATTGGGGGATGTGTGGAAACTGCATAGTGTTTCAGGTAGTTTAAATATTACTCTTGATCTCACAATTCTTGTTCCTTGAATACAGTTATTAGTACTGGGCATGCTTGTGGTCATAGGATAAGATAAACATTACCTTTTATGCCTGTAGCCTCACAATCAGGAGAATTTATCACAGCCACTGTGTCAAACTGCGGCAATAGATTGTTTTTTCCACTTGGCCTGGCTTTGACAGAATCTACCTGGTCATCCTCCAGGTCAATGTCATTGCCTAGACTGTCTAAACAGAGCTTGAAGCTACGGAAGATGTTGAGGTTCTGAAATGGAAGTGGAAGTGACCTGGTTTCATTGCATGTATATTTCTGGGTTAATTTACTGTTGAGGAATACCTTGAGTGCTGATTCAAATCCAGGACACTGATGCTTCTCTATAATGTCCACAATGTTTTTCTGACATTTATTAGGATACGGATACTTGGCAACAATGTGCCCCTGGCCTTGGAATTTGGAGTGAGGGAATTTGTCTTCTTCATTATCTGTGGTCATTTTAAGATAACTCTGGAAAGCTACAACTTTTTCACAACACAGAAGCCATATCACCATTTGTGGTGCCTTGTTCCTTTTATGAGAGGCCCTCCAACCCTCTTCAGCAAAGTCTATATGGAAGCGCTCAAAAATCTCAGTATTGTAATTGTTGATGGTACCAAACTATGTGATGAAGTGGCAGTAGTGGGGGAGAGAGTGGAATTTAGGGATGTTCAGGTGTTCTCTTATGTTGAGTCATACCAAGATATTTATTTTATGTTTGTGGAAAATTTCCAAAGCACCAGAAAGGTAGTCCAGAGTGGTGTTGTCGTGAGTGGGATATTGTGTTATCTGGATGAAGTCCAGGAGGAATCGATATGCAAGTATAGCACTCCTGGGTATTTTCCCAATCAAACATCCTAACAATATACTGGCCATATCCTTTTTCTCTTTTCCTCCAATCCGGCCTAATGCAGAGATTCCATTTTTGAAATGATGAACACCATAACAAACAGGAAGGGAGGAAATGTGCTGGTCAAGCTCCTTGGGATCCATAAGGTCCTTGCACCTATTCACCATACACTTAAAGACACCTTGGTATAGCTGATAGATAATGTTGGGGGAAACAAATAAATGAATATTGCAATGAGGGAAATTAAGCCAGAATGGCTCTTAAACACCACCAGAAACCTTTTTTTCCTTGCACCTCTCCTAAAACTGATTGAAGGAATTTGCCTTGATTTTACCATCACAAATGACTTTCTCAGTCCAGGTCTGTGTACATTGCTCCCCAGCAGTAGATTCTGAGAGCTCAGAAGCAGGCCTTTTGCATTTCAGACATGTGCTGTACTTTGTACATGTCACAAGATATTAATCTGCAACGTAGCAAGCCAAGATAGTATGGACTCTCCTTATAGCACCATATCCACCAGTGATATTAATTCCTTCAATACCAGCGCTCTTTAAAGGCTCTATTATAATCTGCATTGACTCATGAAAAAGATGCTGAACCCTTGAAGACTTCTTCTTTGCAGTAAGCTAAAATTCTGTGGCTTTGTTGACAGACAGATATCCTATAAGTATGCAAGCATGTTGGCTTGGCTTACACCATATTGCTCTGGGTATGTTGCCAAGCGTGAGATAGACAGGGTAGGCTGATTTAGAATTAGAGAATTATGTAAGCTGGGTTTTATCTGTTACAATAATAACAGGAGCCAAGGCTTGAATTGCCCAACATGCTATTCTCCAATTCATCTCTGAGGCAAAGGGGAAGAACTTGGGGTCTGAAGCTTCACCCATTTCTACATCTTCACCATCCCCACCTGCTGCAATGAATTCTCTTCTCCACCTCTGATGTAAAGTCTCATCCATGCTTATAACTTGCCAGCTGTGGGATGTTGCACCTCCATACATTCATCCTCATTATTGTTTAGGACAATTGAGTTATAATACCTTCTTCAACTTTTTAGATTCATTCCTTCACATTTATAAAAATAGAATAGCCAAAAAAATTTATGTGCCCTCAGTATAAGGGCATTTTTGATACTAAAATTCTATACAGGTATTATTTTTATGCCAACATCTCGAGCTTATTTTGACCTTTTAGGATCTTTAAGAATTGTAGAATATGTTGATAGAATCAAAATTCTCAGGAGGTTGAAGCTATATTATGTAAGCAAACTTTGAAGCTTCACCTGGGGATTTTACCTTATGATTATAACTGGCCTTTTGTGACTACAGTTGATATTCTAATAATGCATGAGGTGATCATGCATAAAACCTCATACTATATAACCAAAGGCTGGAACCAATGTTGTACATAGGGATTTATACATAAAATCTAAGATCTTATAATCTATGACAATTTGCATGGATATACACCAATAAATCTGCTATATATAGGAATTTCAGGGTTCGAAGCCAGATGTGGAGACTAAAGTATGCCCCTGTGGCAACTCCAAGCAGCAGTGCATGCACAAATGTTTCCCCCAAAAACATTTACATTTGATTGTTCTCTGTCCATATCATGCCTATTAACCCACCCAAGTGCAAGCCCCAAGGTCACCACAAACCATACAATGATACAGCCATCAGACTAGTCATAAATGCCCCCAAAACCTCTGCTTTGCCAAACCCATTGACACCAGCTCAGGCCAGCCGGGGAAACTGTGGGGCCATTTCCATTGTCTTGAAGGCCAGTTTTGTGTTTAAACCACCCTCCCTGCGCTGTGGCCTTAGCCTTCACAGAGCACAGCTGAGGGCAATGTTATAAGCTAATTAGACATTATATTGCATTCTCCTAATCACCTAAATACATTGTTTTAGTGATAGCAGCAAGTGTGACATCTTTTGGCTGGTGGGAAAATCTGTCACACAATATTGCCTTACACAATATTGTTGTGCATAAGGTCTGATAATGTATGCACAGAAGGCCGGACCACTGTCATACACTATTAGAATGTCAACTCTACTACTATATTTCACATGGTATTTACATATATTTGGTATATAGGAAACTTTGTATTTACATTTTATGGCATTTGTTTGCCAAAGTACCCTTCTCCCATGCTTGTTCCTGCACTCTGAGGGTCCAAATTTCTAGCAGTATTTTGAAAACAGTAGTAAAAACAGCATTAATAATAGTAAGATATTGTGTCTAAGTAAAAGTAGTGTTTCACCTTAGTCTCTTGTTACGAGTACTAAGGTGTCATAGGTGCAAACAGTGCACACTATCCACTGAATTGTGATCACATAATCAATATTGTAATTGTATCCACTGTAATACCATGAGTTTTAACACAGTCATTGATAAGGACACATACAGAAATTCTCATTTACAGGCTTGGTCACATCTCAGTTGTGATATCAAGGCCCTAAATTTCCAAGCAAAGCAGCTGCACCCACAAAATGTCCACTTCCCACAATGGCTGGGTTTGAGACTAAGATGGGCCACTAATTTCAAGGCTATGAACTACGTAGCAATACAGAAGATGATCAAGCTAAGTGATAGTGACTTTAGGTGACTGAAGTAATTTCCCGTTTTGTAATCACTACTTTTGTTCCCTTCTTCTACATTATCTCAAGTTTTAACACAGACAGCAACCTTGAAAATAGTATTGTTGTTCTGAATTTAGCTGCAACAGTTTGCTTGTTATTGCCACTTTCTCCCAGCCCTAGCCAAATAGTAACATCAGTACTGGTCACTCAGTTGTGTTTATAAAGGCTGAGAGCGGGGGAGTTCGGAGATCACTCATCATTGTAGATAACAGGAAGGCAAGGGGTGAAGAGGATATATTTCATACAGCTGATAAAGAGTTGGATGCAATTCAGCCTACTCGGGTGCAGACTTAAAGGGTCCTAACAGGCCGCTGCCATTCAGTATCGATAATAAGTGTGTGGGTGTTTGGACGTTATTAGAAGAGGAGCGGGAGTACATGGTTGGGGGCGTTCGTCCTAACGCAAACGCGTCAACGGAGGGATGAAGATGCGAATAAAGAGTTCGGGAGGCTGGCACTTCAGTTTCTGGTTGCCCAGGAAGAGTACTAGGGGCGGAGGAGATTTTTTGGAATGCAGATAAATTAGACACAAGGGGCATCATGCCTTGTTGCTGGCAGCTCTGGATATGTCTAGAATTGGAAGAAGGTATGAGACTAGCCTGTCGTTCTGTCTGGAAAGGCTCGTCTTCCAATATGGGCATGCGAGGGCATCGTAAGGAGCTCCCGAAGCTGTAATCGGAGCCGTACATCAAACGAATACCGTCATGATGAGGGCTACCGCTAGGTAAAGGCGGTGGAACTGAAGCAGTAGATTCGTGGTAAATGAGAACCGATGGATCTGATGGACTGTCATCCACCAGTGTCAAGTCTGGGCAATACATCGGAGTCATACGGGTAGACTCTTTCGCTACGTTCTCCAGTAAGGCTAGTTGCCTCAATCTCCTTCCGAACGTAGGTACAGCATTAGATCCAGAAACATAGGGTGTTATATCTGCCATACTAAAATGTTGCAATGACATCGTAGTGGAGGCTGTAGCCAGAGGAGAAGCGGGAGGACGTGGAAGATGCGGTGAAAAAACATTGCCATCGGACGGATTAACCACGGGAGCTGATGTGGTATAGTGTGATGGAAATTGCGACCTTGACTGTGACGACGACGGCAAAGGGGATGCTTTACGTACTAAATGATCTGATGTGCCCATCGGAGGCAGACCCATAGCTAAGGGTGTAGTAGTGTTATATGCAAGTTCACCACCATACCAGGCATGGCCGTTCCCTGAGCAGTTTTCCACAGCAGTCGCAGAGGAAAGAGATAGAGAGTGTAACAAATGAGCAAAGTGGGGATCGATTGTTTTTGAACTTATTTGACTTTCTGGAGACGCTACTGAGACGTCGGGTATAGCAAGCGTAGACTTGCTGTGCTTAGGTGATGGCGTGAACGAAATGGTAGACGAAGCTTGGAGGGTCGGCCTATGAGTAATCAAATTTGTGGGAACAGATAAATGAGACCGACGGTGGTTTTGTTTGTGTGATGACCCTTGAAGGGGTGTTTGATGCGCAGGATATTGAGGTTTCCTTTCATTGATGAACGTTTTCAGAGACCTATGAGGCGTGGGTGAGGTCAGATTTAATTCAGGGCGGAAGGCTTACGCAATGAAAGGAGATATCAAATAGAATTTACCGGAGACAGCTTTATGTCGTTTCCAGGTTGGGAGGTCGGTCAGTTTGAACCATTGAATTCTCTGGGGGAAAAAAATGCGATTTGGCATCTAATTCATTCTATAACCTTCAAGAAACACAACGTACACTGATCTCCTTACGGGTTCGTGTTTTGAAAGGATAATCTTCAGCTACCCCAGGGACTATGTATAGGCAAATTTTCTGTTCCTTGATCGACATTTCAATTACATCGTGCGGGCTGATCTGACCAGAAAGATTGTATCCGGTCTCTTCCAGGACCTACGAAACCCTCAGTACATGCAGAACAGACACAGCAAGGCGGGTCCGACTTCTCTGACCGCGCAATCATGGGGCGGCTCATGTTCATTGATTTTGCCTTTCGGGAAACCCCATCCTGAGGATGATTTCCAGCCCTTCACGAGAATACACTGCGTACGTAGGTGAATACAGCGATGCCATGAAGCGAAAATGAAGATAGAAAATACCTTCTCCCAGGTTTCGTTAAGCATAATAGCCCCACAAACGGGGACCCGGGTCTTGTATTGCATGAAAGTGTTGAATGCCTGCTCGTGATCGTGACGCCACTGATATAGAAGGGGACAAGCATGAAACAAGGTAGCTGAGAATTTTTTGAGGGGAAGCGAAGGAAATTTGGGATTTTGTTCGCGAACAAAGTCTTCATAAAACCAATGACTGGATAAGCGGAAACATTGAGCCTGTTCCAGAAGTAAACGACAACTATACTATACTCACGCTTGCTCGACTTGAAAACAAATTCGCTCTAATGACGCTAGCTCTTCTTCTGGTAGGTTCAAGATGAAACGGCTAGGAACGTGGTAATACATGAAGAGAAAGATGTGAATATAAGACCAAAGTTGAATACCTTGATAGATCTTCTAAAACTTCGTCATGAGTGGCGTGCTTGTAGGAAAACCTCTCATCGTCTATAGCAGTTAATGCAGGTATCTCTGGCGAAGAAGATGTCGAAGCAGTCATGGTGAGAGACACTACAGACTTCAGCGAGTTTCAACCAGGCTGACACGCGTCCATCACTGCGAAAAACCTAATATTATGAACCACGAGGTCCAGCCCGTGGCTCTGCCACTGGTGCAATGTATAATAAATAATAATAATAATACTATTAAGTAATCAAAATGTTAAGTTAGTGAACTTATGCTGTCTGTAATGTATGTTATGTCTTTGAATCCTATGATGCATGTTTGCAGTTCTGTCGTTGAATGTCATTATAAGCCTGCCCTAAACTTGTACACAGTATACTAAATTCAAGCAGATGATTTATTGAATCTTTACAAACATCAAGAATATATTGTAACATAAGAAGTCTGTGGTAGAAGTCTGTGGTATTACATTGATAAATCAATGAGAAATAAAAAAAGAGACTCCAGAAATGGTAAAGGATGAATAGGGAATTGATGGTGTGATAGCTTGATGGACAATTCTTCTGATGAAGGTTCCAATGTGAGGCGTAGAATAAAAGCTATCTTCCCTGCATGTTTTCCTCCCAAGACCTGTGACTGCACTTCAATGCTCTTCTCTTCATCTCTATCAAAATTATCCATGTTCCAATATAGAGTCCATTTAGGGGATCAATATTGCGGAGGAGCATAAGTGGACATCCAGCTTTAAGTTTGAGGTGTGCTTCAGGAAGGCCAGATACTTGCAAAGAGTTCCACAGGATAATGTTTATGCCCCTCTCCAACCACTTTTATCAATTGACAGAGCTACTAACTCTTTTCCAGGGAATTTTGTGAGAATTGCTGAATTAAGGTTGCTAACAGCATCATCTTTTGCAGAGAGGATGATGCGGTGGAGGAAATAAAGATCATCTTGGTCTCCATTTGCAATTCCAGGATAGGTAGTGTCAACTATTGAGTCTATGGTGTTTTCTGGCATAAGCATGTTGGTAGGGAAGCTCAATTGTTCCATCCCCTGCAATTCCACGATCACCACCAACATCTAGGATGGTGGGTAACATGGGTAAATCTGAAGAAAAATATTTCAAGATGGTGGTGGAGTAATATACAAGATGATGGGATATACCTGGGGACGGTTCCGTTTTAAGAGAGGCAGAAATAATATGTTGCCTTGACCCTCTTGGAACAACAGGTGTTGTTTGGTGGAAGTCCTCCTTTGGAATACGTGATGGTTGTTGGAACTTATACCCTGGAGGTATGTACCCCTTTGACTAGTTAATATAGTTGCCCGGGTGCTCCGCAAGGCTGGTCCAAGGTACTGAAGCCTTTGTGTTTCCAGTGGAAATCTGGTAATATGTCATCAGGAAAGACCTGATGATAGCCTGTAGGTCTGAAAAGGTTGCCAGGGAAGACAGATCCTCATCTACAAGGATGGGATATTCATTATTGTCGAGTGGAAGCTTAATCTTTTCTTTCTCCTTGCTTGGTAGGCTTTCCTTTGGCACAGACCCATCTATATCAGCTACATACAGTTTAGTACTCTGGGATGTTTATTAATTAAGCTGGAAACTTACCAAACTGGCTTTGTGCATACTTTCCACAAGCCTCCCATATCTTTATGTTTTACCAGTTGGGTTGTACCTTGCTAAAACGCTCAAACCCGGCTTCGCCATTTTGCTCATGGCTGCAATTAAAGCGGTCAGTTTCAGTAACAACACACCCGGACACACAAATGCTTCCATTTGTATCTCTATGGGCAGTGAGCACAAAATTCAACATTCCTAGATCCCGGCTCGCTTGCATCTGAAAGTCCTTCACTACTTTCCTACCCTTTATTTCAGCTCTGGATATCTTGAGTCACTATTTGTCCCAGGTGAGTAAAGGACATCATAGTCACTTCCGTTTCACTTCCTCTGATAGCTGATCAATATACCACTCCTCACACTTCTCTTTTAGTTCAGCTAGCTCCTCCTCGCTGAGCTCAGTCAACATTTCTTTACACGTCCCCATTGTAGAGAATTTGCACCTTGGAACTCTTCCAAATGTGTATTGAGTATTTCAATTTGGGCGTCATTAAACTGTATTTCAGGCATGATTAAATGTGGTACAAGTTAAAAAGTGAGGTGCATGTTTGAAGATGAGCGCTATCTTTCTCTTTTCCATTCGAGTGCAAATTTTCAGTCAATTGAATACTACATTTATCCATTCCAAGCAAATATTTGGCTCTTCTGTCAGATCTGAGCAATGATATCATTGCCTTAACTCCATACCTGGCCTTCAGCTAAGGCCCAGAATGTGTCAGGTACCTCCCGGCTAATGCCTTTCCCAATGTATTGCTTCTATATATGGAAATTTAGTGCCAGATCCATCAAGTTAATTAGCCTCGTGAGACCTAGGTGTCATAGAAGCTAACGTAAATTAGAATCATAGGCTCCATATTAATCACTGCCTTCTATCATAAATATCTTGTATGAGTCACTGAGCATCTTCAAACTGGTGCCTGGTTTAATAACATCACCTTTTCTCCGCAGAATTATTTAGCATGGGCTGCAGCTCTTCCCAATGTTTGGCTCTAGTGTTACAAAGAGTAGATTGAAAGGAGTTCAAAACAAGCAGAGGTGTGCATACAAAAAAAATAAGTGTGAAAGACCACATATCCTGATTAACTTTGTCAACACCCCGTCAAACTCCTCATAAATATGATATGTTCCCCATCCAAGACATTGATCATCCTGTCCTTGAGCCATTGGTTACACTTCCAAGGAAGGCAAGTCCACTAGGTAAGCACATCCACCATTATTTGTCTGATATTGGTTTAGTCACAAAATGATTACATGAGATAATGGCTGAATCATTGTTTAGAGTATCTGGAAGTCCTTATGCAGGAAGAGGGGCAGTCCCCAGGACAGATTTTCAGCCTTTGTTTAGTGAAAGAAGGAACTTGGCAATGCACAAAATGTTCGGGGAAACCAGAGTGTTGTATATCATGCTGCAGGGATGCTCACCAGAGGTTACCAGTTCATAGAGTTGAGCAATGGGTGGGCACACATCTCAAACCTTCTTGGCTTTATAGAGCCGGCTTGGTAATTAATCTGGGCCACACCAGGAAACCATGCCCAGGACGTGATGACAACCACAGTCTAGCAGAGGACAACTTGACGAAGGGTGATTTCCCCCTCTAGAATAGATATCAGGAATCCATGAGGGTGTCCTGGCAGTGGAGATATTTGAAATATATGCATTGGCATGGATTTGCACACCAACACGGCTGTCACCATTCCCTGGGGTCTCTAGCATTGTTTTGCCTAGCTTTCAGAAAGGTGAACAGTGAGTTGCCCACAAATCTGTGATTGTGGCAGTTGCTCACTCTTTATAGCCAAATGAACATGGACTATTCCCTGTGTCAGGCCTTATCTTCATTGGCCAGGATTGACTCAGTCATAGTCCTCTACAATATAATGTCCCAATACGGTAAACACTTCTTGAAGAGGGTCTTTGAAAGTCCTTATCTTCAGGTCCCCAATGCTGTATCCATATGCAAGGGCATTGGGTTATTTCATATGCATGTGTTCAATTGAGAACTTCTGGGAAGTGTCTAGCCACTTGCTGAGAGCTAACAGGGACAGAACTAGAGTCCAGTACGAGTAACTATATTATCAGAGAGTACAGAATGTGTACAGTACCTAGAGTCCAGTATGAGTAAATAAAGAATAGGAATACTGGACTCTGCAATACTAGTCCGAAGTTTTGTAAACAAAGGTAAACAAATCAGCCACAAAGGCGAAATTATAGAATACTCAGTGAATACTGAACAATACAGCAAAAAGAATAAAGAGGAAAGTGATTTAGAAAGAAGGGAAAATAGATAGCACAACTAGGTGCAGAATCACCAAAACTAACACTCCCCCCTGATGCTGCACCTCCCAAACATTAGCTCCCCCCTGATCTAACAAGTCCCATCATGTGTCTGAATATTTCAACTTTAGGCTTAGCCAGAGCTTTGGTCAACAAATCAGCAGGCATTTCAGCAGTGGGCACAAAGGTGGGAGTAATTTGGCCAGAGCCAACGTTATCTTTCAACCAATGCCAGCGTAAATCAAGGTGCTTCATTCGACCATGGTGTTCAGGATTGTTAGACACAGAGATGGCAGATTGGTTGTCAATGTGAAGGGTGGAAGGAGAGGTGATAGGATAGCCCATTTCCTTAAGCAGATTTTGCATCCAGCAGATCTCCTTGCCAGCTTCAACAGCAGCAATATATTCTGCCTCAGTGGTGGAAAGAGCAACAATGCTTTGAAGTTTGGAACTCCAAGAGACAGCACCAGATCCAATCTTGACAAGATAAGCACCAGTAGAACGTCCAGAGTCCTTGTCACCACCATGATCAGCATCAGAGAAAGTGGTGAAGAGTTCAGTGGAATTAGGATCAGGGCCTAGGACAAGTGAGTGATTGAGGGTGCCTTGCAAGTAGCGGAATAAGTGCTTGACAGCACCCCAGTGAGTGGGCCCAGGATTGGAATTGAATCTGGCAAGAACTCCAACAGTATAGGTAATGTCAGGACAAGTGGTGGTGGCCAAATACATCAGAGCACCAACAGCAGCAAGATAGGGAATGTCCTTCATCAGTTGCACTTCTTCTGGTGTCTTGGGAGATATATACTTGGTGAGGTGTGAACCAGGGTCCATTGGAGTGGACACAGGCTTGCAGTCCTTCATGCCAAAGCGCTCCAGAATGTCCAGAGTGTACTGATGTTGGGAGAGGGAGATGGTGCAATTGCTGAGGTTTCTGGTGATGGAAATGCCAAGTAGGTAGGAAGTAGGGCCAAGATCATGGAGTTTGAAGTGCTGAGAGAGGTCCTTGACAGCTTGGTCAAGTGCAGAATTGGATGTGGATGCCAGTGTCATGTCATCAACAAAGACAGGTAGAATAATGCGCACTTCACCTCTATTAAACACATAGATGGCAGAGTCAGAGTAAGTGCAATTAAATCCGAGTTTTTCAAGCACAATGTGCATCTTCTCGTTTCACATCCTGCCTCCTTGCTTGGTCCCATAAATGGCCTTGTTGAGTTGGCAGACCAGATTACGACCACCTTGATGGAATCCCTCTGGTTGCTGCATGTAGACCTTTACATCCATGACACCATTGAGAAATGCATGAGAGATGTCAATAAAGCGCAAATAGAGGTTATGGATGGCAGCAATTGCAAGGATAACTCTAATAGATGAGATGCGAACAGTGGGTGCAAATATTTCAAGGAAGTCAAAGCCAGGGCGCGGGCTGTAACCTTTAGCCACATATCTGGCCTTGTAGCGCTCAATGGAGCCATCAGAGTTGTGCTTGATCTTAAAGACCCACTTGCCACCAATTGCATTTTCTCCAGGAGGTAGTTCCACAAGTGACCAAGTTCCATTGTGCTCATGAGCTTGGAGCTCTTCCATGGCTGCTTCTCTCCATTTATCTGCATCAGGACGCTTCATTGCATCTGCAAATGACCTAGGCTCAGCAGAGTCTCCAAAGTGTGCCACTTCATCATCAACTGCCTCAGAATCACTACTATCACTATTATCGCTCTCAATGGCAGGAGTAGGTTGTCTGTGTTGAAGCCACCATGGTCTAGGTGGTCTCCTAGCCCTTGCAGGGCGTCTCAGTGTAATAGGCAAGTCAGGAGAAGGTGAGCAATGAGGAGGGTGATTCAGAAGCTCAAGAGGTTGATTCACAGGTGGTTTTGCATCAAGGTCTAAATCAGGCCCATCATCAGGCAAGTGCTGAGGTTGCTGAAGTTGCTGAAGTACAGCTGGTGGGTCAATATCTCCCCCTGGACCTGGTGCAGGGACATCCTCATCCAGGCCCAAAGGCATGGGAAGTGAAGGTGGCAAAGGTGGAGTAGGAATGGCAGTGGTAGAAGTCTTTTTCAAGCCAGGGAAGTAGCGCTCATCAAAATCAGCTCTCTCAGAGATAATGGTGCATTTGGTTGTAGGATTGTAGAATTTCCAACCCTTGTACCCAGCAGGGTAACCAATGAACACAAATTTCTCCATGTGAGAGCCAAAGACACCTCTCTTATCCTTTTGCACATGCACATAAGCAGTGCACCCCCAAACACGAAGGTGTGACATGTCTGGTTTATGTCCATGCCACAATTGATAAGGAGTAGCATTGACCACTGCATCAGTGGGACACCTATTCCAGACATGCACCAAGGCACCTAGGCATTCACCCCAGAAGATATTAGGCAATCCAGACTCTGAAAGCATGGTAGTGATTCTTTCAGAGAGAAGCCTGTTTGCTCTTTCTGCAACTCCATTCTGCTGAGGCCTATTTTGGATGGTATGCTGTCTGACAATGCCATGATCATCTGTGAATTGCTCAAACTCCTTGGAGATGTACTCTCCCCCTTTGTCATCGTGCAGAGCCTTGATTTTTCGCTTTAATTGAGTCTCAGCATAAGCCTTGAAACTCTTGAAAGCATTAAAGACATCTAACTTGGCCTTCAAAGGGACAACAACACAAAATTGAGTGTAATCATCAATGAAGGTGACCCAATATCAATACCCAGAGAATGAAGGGGAGGAGACTTGGTGTACATCAGAGTGGATGAGGTCTAGAGGGTAAGCAGAGCGATGAGAAGATGAAGGGAATGGGTTGGCAGACATTTTTCCAGACAGACATGGTTCACAGATAGGATCAGGAGTAGATTTAGACTCAAGTGTCATTCCAATCTTCAATGCCAAAGGTTTAAGTCAAGTGGAATTGTTGCAGAAAAGTGTCCCAATTCAACACAAAAAACAGTGGATCCATCAAGGAATGCAGCATTATTGTTGTTGATGGTTGCAGTGAATAAGAGAGTGTTGCCACGTATGAAGGACATAAATTGAGATGAAATGATGACTTTAAAACCACTTTGACGAGTTAAGTACAAGACTGAGAGGAGATTATTTTGAAGATCTGGTACATGCAGCACTCTGGAGAATTCTACAGCCCTTGATTCCTTGCCATTGATGATAGGGTTAAACACCACAGTACCAATACCAGCTGAATAAACAATAGTATGATCTGCTAGCTTTATGGGAACACGATATGGTGCATAATTGCAAATCCAGTGATGATAAGGTGTCATATGAGAAGTGGCACCTGTGTCTGCATTCCAATCAATGTCGGCATCAAGCTGGAGAGGGCAGTGTAAGTCAGAGGGATGAATAGAGTGGAGGCTTGCATTTCTAGCCGACTCTGCAACCACAGTAGAAAAATGGTATTTTGCACCAGGTATGGCAGATTGATTACAATGATGGCAGTTAGGAGATGAGCAAGAACAATGAGTAGGAGCAGAATATGAATGAGGAGTACATTTAGTTTTATCCATGGTGTGGAAATGAGCTGGCAAAGTAGTGGAGGTGGATAATGGAGAAGGTCCAAAAATTGCACAGAAAGGCCCAAAGGGTCCAAAAGAGTCCAAAAAAGCGGTCCAAAAGCGGTCCAGGAGGGTGCTAAGGCTTCCTAGTCATGCTACAGGGTTACGCCTGTGTTCCCCTTTCAATACTACACTGATTTTAACAGAGAAATTGCATCAAGACAGTGTTGGTTAAAAGGGCTTGTATATGAGTCAACAAAGTGACTTAAGCTCCCCAAACACCGCAGACTGAGAGAGGGAGAGGCTCTGGGCAACAGCAAACTGAGGCAATGCAGGCGAGCTTCACAGTCTATAGGCTTGTTCTATCTGATAATGGACAGAGCAGAGAAGATTGGAGCTTTATGCAAGCACCAGATATGCCAAAAAGCGAAAATATAGGCCAAAAGAAATTGAAATTGTCACAGGGACAGATGGAGTGGTTGGATTGCCCCCAAAATATAGGTGTGGAGAGCGATTATATGGTGCAATAGATAGGCCAAGTATGGCCAGAAACGAAGCACAGGGAGTGGAGGAGTATAATAGGGGTGGAAGTGGTGATCAGAAAATGATAGGGGCTCACAGGGAGATCAAACTCAAAATCCACCACTCTGAGGAGTCTCCTTGGGTTTTCAAGGTCGTAGAAGACAATGGTAGGAGTTTGGGGACGATCATGTTAGTTTTGGTGATTCTGCACCTTTGTGCTACCTATATATTTTCATTCCTTTCTCTATCTATTCTTCTATCATTCACTATTGATTGTGTTCTCTATTATTTCGCCTTTGTGGCTGCTTTGTTTACCTTTGTTTACAAAAATTCGGACAGTACTGCAGAGTCCAATGCTTCCTATTCTCTAGTTACTCACATTGGACTCTAGGTACTGTATACCTGTCATACTCTCTAATAATACAGTTACTCACATTGGACTCTAGTTCCAGTCCCTGATTGCTCTCAGCAAGTGGCTAGACACTTCCTTCAAGCTTTGTTCTTAATAGATCAGATAAGGATTGGGCGAGATATGGCACTGATAAGGCCAAAAAAGCGTCCAAAATGAGGTTCCAAGCAACAAAGGCTTATAGGGAGTGATCCAGATGGAATCAAAGCAAACAGAGATGATAGAGAGGGTTATCAGAGACCCAGAAGACAATTTGCAAGAGGGATAAGCAGTAGGGTGCTTGGATGATGAGGTATGAAGTCAGGAAGATGGCTAGAGCACAGGGCTCATAACCTGTTTAATTGAGAACTTCTGGGAAGTGTCTAGCCACTTGCTGAGAGCTAACAGGGACAGAACTAGAGTCCAGTATGAGTAACTATATTATCAGAGAGTACAGAATGTGTACAGTATGAGTAACTAAAGAATAGGAATACTGGACTCTGCAATACTAGTCCGAAGTTTTGTCAACAAAGGTAAACAAATCAGCCACAAAGGCGAAATTATAGAATACTCAGTGAATACTGAACAATACAGCAAAAAGAATAAAGAGGAAAGTGATGTAGAAAGAAGGGAAAATAGATAGCACAACTAGGTGCAGAATCACCAAAACTAACACTTCTGCCACACAGTAAATCCCTTCTGTGATGTGGATGCACTTGTTGTCAGTAGTCTTCTATGCATGAGTGAAGATACAAACAAAGAGGAGCTTTCTGCACTGTAAGATCAACATCAAATACCATTGTGGCAATGTGGCAGCTGCTAACAGTTCTACCGCAGCAGAGAACATTGGGAAAGTGCCATATTCAAAAGCTTACTTGAGTTAATCCCTGGGCTGAAAGAGCATATATTGGAGCTTTCAACTTCTGAGGATAAGCTATAGATTATGTGCAAAATGGTGAGTAGAGTATCAGTAGAGTATTAATTATGCTCAAACCATGATGCATGATGCATGATGTGTGATGGCATCAATGTTACTAAACAGATACAAAGAGGGATCCCAGGTGCCCGCTCAGATGATACCAAGGGCTTGAAGGCACCAATAATTGATTGGATCACTCCAAGCAACCAAGTTCTCAGCCTTGTACTTCACCACAATGTCAAGAATAATTGTGGTTTTCATCACTAGCAGACAGGTGAGCTTTTTTGCCCTGCAGGTCTGGATTGGAGCAATGAGGAGTAAGCCTATATGTTACGATACACAATTTTTGGACTTTTAAATTTCATTCCGCATTTTAACTTTCTTTTATAGTTTTCACACACTGTGCCATGTGGCACTTTCCATTTTGTTCAAACTTCACTTTCTTGTGCTGAGTGCCACTGCCTTTTCTTTATTTTTAGCTACAAGTCTCTCACGCAGTGGAGCTGGTCACACAGGCTGCACCCTGTGATGTTATCAGCCACTGCCTTCATCAACTGTATAGTACACATGTACAAATAGTCTGTAGTAGTATAAATACCCTAATAGATCAAGGAGACTCCTCAGCAAGTCCTCCTGTTGTTTACCCACAAAAAACTTGGTCCTATCTTAAAGGGTAACCACTCCCACTCACTTCACTCAAAGCTTGTCTAAGTTGTGCACCAGAGTATACAAACTCTTGGTTGTAACACTATATATATATATTTTGAACCTATTTAATGTGCTTAAATCAAATCAGGACAAGGACAAAAATTAGAAATGGTGAAATGGAAATCACAGGAGAGCAATGGCCTGTCGTTTTATATGCAGAATGTCATTATGACCCAGATGAGCCTTGGGTAGGGTTTGTTTGTGGCCAGCTTCTCCTTCTAGTATGTATCTTCCACTGTCTTGACTATATGTTGTTTGGTGTATCTACTATCTAGGCTTTCAAGCATATTTTTGTTGCACTATCATCAGTTTATCCAAACACCAAATCTTACATTACTCATTCTGGAAATGTGAAACTTCATGGAATGATGAACATCACTCCTGGTTCACTTGCTTGTACAGCAACACAGGTAAGTGATAGAAGTTTTAATTGGTCTTAAATATTCTCATTTTTGTTATAATTTACTAGGTTTGGTTTGCCTTGTCGGCACAATCCATGTTCTTGCGGAGTCACACAGTCACTGACTTAGAAGGTTTTTATAACAGTATCCTGGACTTGCTCAAAGATCTAGATGAGATAGAAGAAGTCAATGCACTCCTGGCTTGGTGGAACTGGCGAGTAATTTGTTCAGTCATTTTTTCTACTATTGATTGATGTTTTCTCCCTCATCTAGAAAATAATTCCCGCAATTGACACACCGTGGCAAACAGGCTCCCAAGAATAGTGCCCTGGCTAAAATCAGAGAAAAGTGTGCTTTGTTGAAAAAGCAGGTTGAGTCTCGTAGTGGCCACTCATGCAATGTCAGCGGGGATATCTAGCATACAGCTATCACTGTGGGGATCAACTTATATGAGCTCAGCTTATATGCTGAAGATATGGGATATCTGCATTCTGATTGGCTGAAAAAAGCTAAATTGAATATTTTCAGCATATAAGCTGGACTTATATAAGTCAATCCCCACAGTGTACACATGTATTCAACTTTGTAATAGTCCTGTTCTTAGTCCAATTGAACCTTCTTGTACGAGATACTGTTTTAAATGAAATAAATGCAAATAATATTGTTTCCATTAGGATAAATTCTGACAGACAAACAATGCTATATAGCTGCTGGTAACTACATGTTACTCTTATACTGCTTGTGTATTAATATGACAGCAAGCTAACTCAAGCAGTTTGTTTGAATGTACAACTAGTGTAGAGCTGGTGAATTGAATACTCCAGAATTACTAGCACCATATATATATCCTTATAACAAAGATAGCCTATGATGTTGGTAGAAGAATATCTCAGCTATGACCAGTGTTGTAATCTCTTTCTCAGATTACGAAGACCCAAAAGTGCCACCTTTCTTATAATTGCTGATAACTATACTCCACCACCGACTAGCTATACAATTTCTTACAATTGCTTTGAGTGCTTACATGCTTTCTGCTACTGATAAATTTCCGTTCATCCTGAACTTTCATATGGAGACCAGCCAGCTAAAGGCTGACAAAGTGGTAAGAAAATCCATTTTTTATATCTTGAACCTAATAAGACCTGATAATGTCTTATGCAAAGTTCACCGAGTTCCTGATGAGATTACTGACTGTGACTGTGGGAAATTGGTTTTTAATTCGTTTTCTATGGATATAAATGGTACAAATGGTACGAAATTATGGCAATTTTGTCGTTTTTGACTGGGATTGGGCGTTCGATCGGAATTTAAAGGGATGTTGTTTTATATTTGGTGAGTTATTCGGTAAAACCGTGTCATATTTCGTCTAACGATAGTAAGGTTACCCAACGATCGCCACACACTGAAATACAGCGAACCTATTGGCGTAATAGTATAGTAAGTGTGACTTAGGCACGGTCACGATGATGTAGCAGCTGGAACGATGCGATATAGTTCCATACAGTCTAACCACATTGGGCCAAGTTCAGTACTAGAAATCAGGGGCCAGTATCTAGGAAAACCATTAGTGACAGAAGCATTTTTTTTCAACTGTCTCACAATAGTAATACTCATCAATTAAAGGAATCCAGTCGTTCACTAATGCACCGAGTAAGCTCAATAAAGGGGCAGTCGTTGTCTTTTCGGCAAAATATTCCAGTTTTGGCCTTCTTTCATGGTGAGATCAGAGAACCCCAGACGATATGGATTATCTCACCGCGTGTAACTTTCCCATATAGATCCACGTAGCAGGTACCATAACATATCTCGATCCCTATGGGCGTATTCTGCGCGCTCAAGCAATGCAGAGGGAGGGGGGGTGCGTCGAAGACATCGAGATACCATTTCCATACCAAGAGAAGTCGCGATAGCATATTTACTGCGCCGGGACGACAATAGGCAAGCTATATCCAGAGAATTAATAATATGTGCGATTTCAGGAATTTATAGTATATAACTTGCCATATACGAGTGGACGAAGAATGAAAATGCTTTCTGCCATAAAATCCTGAAGTGACACAAAAGGTCGTACAAGAGATAGAGATGGTGTGATGTGCGAAGTAGCTAGAACTTTGGAAAGGAGAAAATTGTCGACAGGTGGGTCCTCGCTTGTAGAGGACTGAGGAGCTAAAAGAATGTGAACTGGGGTAGAAATGTGATTATTCTTGAGGTGGTCGGGTATCGCTGTACGAGATGACTCGGGCAGTCCTAGAGGAGGCAAGACAGTCAATGCAGGAGGCTGAGATAGGTCGATAGGACGCTGCGGAAGCAGTGAAGATAACAGGGGCCTGCAGGTGACTTTGAGCAGAATAACCCGGAGAATAGCTCTGAATCAAAGTGACTAATGAGATGACTCAGGGTCAACAGGTACGCACTTGAGGATTTCCAACATGACTATGCCTCGCCACTTGGTTTGTATAGAAGCTTTCCTCTGCAAACCCATCTCGATGACCAACTGTACGAATCTGATAAACTCCACAATCCTTGCAACCCACTTGTACACACTGTCACTAGCTAACCAAGTTTGAGTGTAACGAGTATGAGCTGGCACCCGAGGTATTGATTTCCTGCTTGCATTACTCGGAACTATATTTTCCAAGAGAATGTCTTGATACATGCCCATTACATTCAGTGAAGCGGACACTGGATTTAGACACAGTAGTATCAGAGGGTGGTAAGAAAAAGATTACGTTGAATACTAACAAACTTCAGAGGCTAACTCAGCATCCTTGAACTTTCCGGGTAAAAGCCATGTCAATGACCTCAGAGAAGACTCCAGAGTATGGAACTTGGAAACATGATCGAGTAAAATCGATTCGTACTTAGCCATAGTCAGTGATATCGAACGGATTACCTTCAAGTTGCTTATGGATGTGAATTGCATCGAATCGGTAATTACCGAGTCGTTATTTTGGTCTGTTTCGTTTCAGTGGCAGTCAACCCCAGTAGCTTACACAGCAAGCATAACTGACTTTTGTCACACCCAAAATTGATGAAAAAGCCTGAAAGTAGTTAAAATATTTGATTGTATTTTGGACCTACAAGATTTTGTGAGAATGATGTATTTTTGTTAACATATTTCTATTTTTCCACACAAAACATAGAATCCATGGAAATGTCAACCAAAATAGATTATTCTCAAAAAATCTTGTAGGTCCAAAATATAATCAAATATATTACTTCCAAGCTTTTTCATCGAATTGTGGGTGTGACAAAAATTGGTTATGCTTGCTGTGAGCTGACCTAATCACAAAATATGAGAATCAACCTTTGGCCTACAGTTGTAGCAGGAGACTTGGTATCGAGTAGGTAGTTTGTATTTACTATTGTCCTGAATATTTAATGACAGAAGAAATGTACGTGATTAAATGCAGTTATTTAAGTTTGGGCAAGAGTGTGGTCTCTCCCCTCTATGGTACTTGTATAGCTTGGATACTGAAAAACCAGTAGTTAGCAAGCTACAATCCCGTATCATTAGGAGTCAATTGACAACACAAGTAGTGCTGCTAACAACCCTATTGATAGGAGTCAATCGAGTGTGCTTACTTTATCTGGTCCTGGTCCATTAATGTAAGGTGGTAAGTTGACAGTACTGTATAATGGATCAATGCTGTGTGCTCTTCAGGCACAGCTTGTATGTAAGGTACAATAATTTGGGCATATTTCCATGAAAGGCATTATTTGCCCGTTTCCCTTTCACTTTCATGACTTCAAAAGGAACTCTGTGCAGGAGATATTCCAGTGTGGCCCCAATCCTGATGCGTGTGTCCAGTTATCTTTGGGTGCCTGCCTGCTAATAAAGCTTTGTTTATCATTGCCAGGAAAGTCTTCTGCATGAGAGGTACCATGTGGTGTCTTTAACCTCAGATTTGATGGTAAGCAAAAATGTGGCTGTTTGGGGCCAGATTGTTGACTAAATAGTGACTCTCCCATGCAGTTGCTGGGTCAGATGGGCCATTCTGAGATGACCAAGATATGTCTTCTCCCATGATCAATGATTCAGTTTTTGGGAGTTTGAATATGATGGAAATTAGACCATTGCGGTCTGTGTTTATTCAAACATGTTTGATGCATGGTTGTGAGTTAGGATCAAATGTGGCTATTGAGGTTATTATGAACTCTCCTAGCCTAGCTGCCACAAAAAAAATTGTTGTGGGGCAAGCCATCAGGAAAATGAGAGACCCTTGCATTACCAGGCGGAGTTGATATGTGGACATCAAAGTGGTTACAGTTTAGCATGGCTTAACAGTGGCTACCAAGGTTCATTATGGCAAGTCAGGTAGATGCCCCATTTCTAGCAGCATGCCAGATTGTCAATGCTCTTCTCAGTCAACAACAGAAAGATTATGATAAGATAGTTAAGTTTGTGGTTGATCTGTAAACTATAAACATTCATTGTGGTTTTCCAGACAGATATATAACCTGCAATCACAAAACATATTGATGCGTGTTTGCTCTGGTCATGTAATTTCAATTTAGAGACAGTATGGCTACCAAGGTGTATAATATGACAGTGATTGATAAGTAAACTATCAATTTTCCGACCTTTAAAAATTCATTCTTCACTTTAACTTTCTTTTGTAGTTTTCACACACTGTGCCATGCGGCACTTTCCATCACCTATTACTCCCACACTCCGGGCTTATTATAGCGGCGCCTTGCACCAGATAGCACCGCATAATAAAGCCTTAAAGCCCCATTTCTGAGCACCAGTGGTGCACACCGGCCATTCAGGCCACTTGGAAGATTTTGAGACTGGAAACAGCACGTGGCAGTGCCATGTGCTCCGTGCTGAGGTAGAACGGGCCACATTATCCATCCATATTAGGTCAGTGTCTGTTGTTGTTGTCTCGGACAGTGAGCACATTATATAACTCAATTCTTCACCGTTTTCAGGAAATATTTTTAAATATTAATGTATCATACTACCAAATTGTATGTAGTATATGATATCAAGGAATACTAAAAGGTGAGTCTCATACTTCGTTGATGATCTGTGCACTATTAAAGTTTGACTTGTGATGTTTGTCACATCACACCTAACAGGTTCATTGCAGCTGCACACACGCTTGTCGGTCGCCCTTAACGTCCATCTCAGCACCCTCACACCATAGGACATTGAGCAAGATACACCATTTCAGGGACTTTGTGTTCAGTGCAGGTTTCAGTGGGTCAATCAAAGCGAACACGGAGTGTCTCAAATGAAGGGCTGAGGATGCAGTGGCGGTATGTAAGTCTTTTAATTCTCTCTTTTGTCGGTGATATTTCCCTTACTCATCCAGCAAATGGACCTGCACAAGTGCAATGGAGGTACCATAAATGAATGCATTCATTGAATGGTGTATTACCTGCTAGGAAAGAAGTACTTGCGACACTGTACATCTTTGTTATAATGTTGTAGGTACTTTCATATTTTGTTCCTTTGGTTTTTTTCACTAATTTCTTCACTCCCTAACATATATTGATCATGAAGATACTGCATTGTCTGTTCTACACAGAGATATGTTACAATGTTGCAGGCAGAAAGTTATGATGGGTATGCATGCCAGATCAAAGTCTGGTTGAGGGAGCTTATTAAAAAGAGTTTAGGCAAAACCTCCCACATTCACATCCTCATTCTCAACGTCCGACTGAATATGTTCTGCACTTTTGTAGTTCGCAAGCTTCGTCTTTCGACTCCCTTTCCCTTTTTTCGTATTTGGTGTCGTCCCCGCCAGGTTAGCAGCAGCCTTGGCTGAGGGATGTCTTACCCTCTTCCTACTTGGTTGCTCTGCTCCATCTGGTACAGCGCGTTTGCAATTTGTCCTGGCTACAAGAATACCGGCTGATGCAACTTGCTGTGTTGTCTTTGGCACTGTGGTCGGAGCAGACTGCCTGTCAGGCACTGAAATGTACATTAGTTTTTGTGGAATAAAGAGAATTGAATTGGCTCATAGCAGAGGGGTCTACAGTAGAGAGTGACGAGGTGGCGGGCTCCAATGATGGACATGATTCTCAAATTAGGTTGAGAAGCAGCTATGGGAGTCAGCTGCGTTGCAGGCAGAGGGTGTGACAATACTGAAGAGTCATTATGCAAGGGCCCTGCTGTGTTACTGCTGTTGCTACTCTCGGGTCTGGTGTGAAGATTTCACCTCCAGAAATGCGCTGACTGCGCTCCTGAGCCTCACCTCTGGTAATTGTCATGAACTTACAGTCCCTCTCGGTAATTTCTTGAGCAACTCGCTCAAGAACATTAGCACCTCCCTTGAGATCACTTGGGTTGGCCTGTTACAATAACAAAATTTTCGGACCTTTAAGTTTCATTCTCCTCTTTAACTTTCTATCATAGTTTTCACACACTGTGCCATGCGGCACTTTTCTTTGTTCAAACTCCCCTCTTCTTGCGCTGCACTGCTTTTCTTTATTTATAGTTACAAATCTCTCATGCAGTGGAGCTGGTCACACGGGCTGTGCCCCATGACATCATCAGCCACCGCCTCCATCAACTGTATAGTACACATGTACAAATAAACCTGTAGTAATATAAATACCCAATAGATCCAGGAGACTCCTCAGCGAGTCCTCCTGTTGTATTGTCCTTGTCCTGATTTGATTTAAGCACATTAAATAGGTTCAAAATATATATATATAGTGTACAACCAAGAGTTTGTATACTCTGGTGCACAACTTAGACAAGCTTTGAGTGAAGTGAGTGGGAGTGGTTACCCTTTAAGATAGGACCAAGTTTTTTGTGGGTAAACAACAGGAGGACTTGCTGAGGAGTCTCCTTGATCTATTAGGGTATTTATACTACTACAGACTATTTGTACATGTGTACTATACAGTTGATGAAGGCAGTGGCTGATAACATCACAGGGTGCAGCCTGTGTGACCAGCTCCACTGCGTGAGAGACTTGTAGCTAAAAATAAAGAAAAGGCAGTGGCACTCAGCACAAGAAAGTGAAGTTTGAACAAAATGGAAAGTGCCACATGGCACAGTGTGTGAAAACTATAAAAGAAAGTTAAAATGCGGAATGAAATTTAAAAGTCCAAAAATTGTGTATCGTAACATATAGGCTTACTCCTCATTGCTCCAATCCAGACCTGCAGGGCAAAAAAGCTCACCTGTCTGCTAGTGATGAAAACCACAATTATTCTTGACATTGTGGTGAAGTACAAGGCTGAGAACTTGGTTGCTTGGAGTGATCCAATCAATTATTGGTGCCTTCAAGCCCTTGGTATCATCTGAGCGGGCACCTGGGATCCCTCTTTGTATCTGTTTAGTAACATTGATGCCATCACACATCATGCATCATGCATCATGGTTTGAGCATAATTAATACTCTACTGATACTCTACTCACCATTTTGCACATAATCTATAGCTTATCCTCAGAAGTTGAAAGCTCCAATATATGCTCTTTCAGCCCAGGGATTAACTCAAGTAAGCTTTTGAATATGGCACTTTCCCAATGTTCTCTGCTGCGGTAGAACTGTTAGCAGCTGCCACATTGCCACAATGGTATTTGATGTTGATCTTACAGTGCAGAAAGCTCCTCTTTGTTTGTATCTTCACTCATGCATAGAAGACTACTGACAACAAGTGCATCCACATCACAGAAGGGATTTACTGTGTGGCAGAAGTGTTAGTTTTGGTGATTCTGCACCTAGTTGTGCTATCTATTTTCCCTTCTTTCTACATCACTTTCCTCTTTATTCTTTTTGCTGTATTGTTCAGTATTCACTGAGTATTCTATAATTTCGCCTTTGTGGCTGATTTGTTTACCTTTGTTGACAAAACTTCGGACTAGTATTGCAGAGTCCAGTATTCCTATTCTTTAGTTACTCATACTGTACACATTCTGTACTCTCTGATAATATAGTTACTCATACTGGACTCTAGTTCTGTCCCTGTTAGCTCTCAGCAAGTGGCTAGACACTTCCCAGAAGTTCTCAATTAAACAGGTTATGAGCCCTGTGCTCTAGCCATCTTCCTGACTTCATACCTCATCATCCAAGCACCCTACTGCTTATCCCTCTTGCAAATTGTCTTCTGGGTCTCTGATAACCCTCTCTATCATCTCTGTTTGCTTTGATTCCATCTGGATCACTCCCTATAAGCCTTTGTTGCTTGGAACCTCATTTTGGACGCTTTTTTGGCCTTATCAGTGCCATATCTCGCCCAATCCTTATCTGATCTATTAAGAACAAAGCTTGAAGGAAG